ATATATATATATCAAAAAACAGAACAATAGATATCTAAGTGTATTTCGGCATAAATGTATACCAAAATAGATAATTATAGTATGGTCACACTAATATTGAGGACGAAAATATTCAAAGGAAAGAAGGTGGTGATGGAAACTAGGTCTATAGTGATGGTGATCGAGGGAAATGAAGAATAATAAGGGAGAAAGATAGAGAGATATTAAAGAGATATTGATTTCGGCATAAATTTATGCCGAAATAGAGAGAGGGTGACCGACCGCGGTGGATGCCAAGACCTTGCTGACTAATATGGCGGTGGCGAAGCGATGGCGAGAGCCGGCGACGACGAGGTCGGAAGATCTTTTGAGAAGGGGGGACAGGGTCGGGCGAGGATGAGAATGCTCTCGAGGGAAAAAGATCGCGATTATCCCGTGGATTGGTCTAACCCTAAGGCGAAGTCACCCATTAGACTGTCGAAAAACCATCATAGCCTCACTCATACTCACCTCTGCCTTCGTCTTTATCACTTTCTTCGCCAAGACCGCCGCTCAGCTTCTCACCGGCCAGATCTTGCTCGGATTTCCCTGGGGCGTTTTTCAGACCATCACGGTCGTGTACGCCAGTGAGGTCTGCCCCGTGGTATTGCGACCATACCTAACCACCTATGTCAATCTGTGCTGGATATTTGGTCAGCTCATTGCATCGGGCGTACTCAAAGGTGTGGCGGGACGGTACGACCAATGGAGCTACAGGATTCCTTTCGGATTGCAGTGGCTGTGGCCGGTACCCATCATGATCGGTGTCTTTTTGGCTCCCGAGTCTCCCTGGTGGCTGGTCCGACACGGTCAACGAGAGAAGGCCAAAACGGCTCTCCTTCGTCTCACTTCCGCTCAAGATACCAATTTCGATCCAGATGCCACGATTACAATGATGGAACATACCGACCTGATGGAGAAGGCCGTATCCGAGGGCACGAGCTACATTGACTGCTTCAAGGGGGTCAACTTGCGCCGTACTGAGATCGCCTGCTGTACCTGGGTGACACAAGTGTTTTCAGGCATCGCCCTCAGCGCCTACTCCTCTTACTTCTATCTTCAGGCTGGTCTACCGAGGAAGCACGCCTTTACCTTGACCGTGGTCCAATATGCCCTCGGTGCTATCGGAACTGGGAGCTCTTGGGCCTTGATGTCTCGCTTTGGGCGTCGCACTCTCTACTTGGCGGGTATCGCAGGCATGTGGCTTCTTATGGTGATCGTTGGAGTGGTAGCCGTGTCCATACCTCATTCCTCCACGGAGCCAACGGCAGGCTGGGTGATTGGGAGCTTGTTGATTGCATGGACCATTATATACGATATGACTGTTGGTCCAGTATGCTATGCCTTGATCTCAGAGCTCCCTTCGACGCGACTACGGGCCAAGACGATTGTCATCGCTCGAAGTTGTTACAATGTCGCGGGGATTTTGCTGGGCGTTCTGACTCCACGCATGCTCAACCCTTCCGCATGGAACTGGGGTGGCAAGACGGGGTTTTTCTGGGCCGGCTCTTGCTTGCTGTGCTTTATCTGGACATACTTTCGTCTGCCTGAGCCCAAAGGGCGCACTTACCGTGAGCTTGACATCTTGTTTGCCCTTGACACACCGGCGAGGAAGTTTGCTGGGACCGTCATTGAAGCTGTGAGCGAGGAAAACGCTGTGTTGGAGGACGCGAAGATGCCGGTGATAGAGGTGGTCGAGAGGATTTCGTAATCCTGCCAGAATCAGGGCTCCTTATTGTCACTTCTGTTAGACTCCCTGGCCATAGTCGTCAAGTGTTCTTCTCTTGCCCGGTGGTTTCGCTAGGAACAGAATATCACAATTCACATCATGGCTGTGTGCGCTCCTTTCAATGAGCCGCTGTCCGCAAATAATCCGGGAATTCACCACAACGGACGAAGGGTATAATACTATCGCCAAATTGGCAATTAGATTAAGTCATAGGGTGTCGCAGGGCTCCCCATGCGCGAGACATTTCCTGTCCTACATTAGTTCATTGAGTATAAGAGGAACATGTTCTCTCCTTCAAAGATCGGGTTGGTTCGTCAACAAATGAGCTCTGTCAAGGTCAGCCCCGAACTTGCCTTGCATATCCCAACACACCACTAGTTATACCTTATAGGGACAGACACCTTCGCCATTACCTCGGTTCCGTAGAATACTTTCCGCATATCGGCGCGCAATACTTCTCGGCTCGTATTCATATCGGAATCGACTCCAGCCGGAGCACAACAATGTGTTCACAGGAACAGAGTGCCACACTAAAGTGCCACTATATCACCGAACGTCTGCAGTAGGTTTCTTGTGCGGGTGCCAAAGTTAAGATATTAGCTCTCCGATGTACACTTAATTCTCTTCCCCCTCAACCACCCCTCATTTGACGTGCTCTTTCAACCATCCCCTCACGGTGGAAAACCGATAGAATTCCTGTTTCCTCCCAGCCATTCCGATTCTATTGGCCACCTATAGATTTGTTAGTTGATCTAGGAGGCACGAGTGTGAAGCGAAGTAAGCTGATGGCAAGCTTGCTGCCAGCGTCTCCTCTACCCAAACCACAAGCATGCAATGCTTGCAGGCGGAGAAAGGTCCGCTGCTCCGGCGGAGAGCCTTGCCAGCAATGCGACCATCACAAGCTATCCTGTGTCTACCGGGCAGCATCAGTAGCATCAGCGAGCCGGTCACGGCTCCATGTTGCAATGCGAGGCGCAGTTATCGCGGAATCACGGGAGGGAGCCGGCGATTCCTCACCTTCGAATTTACTCTCGAACAACTCATCAGCCACATTGGGGTCTTCTCGCTATGATACAGACTTTTTTACCCGATTAGTGTCCAAGCACATTACCAGACTTTATCCGTTTTGTCCTATTGTGGATAAAGATGAGCTATATGCCATTATCGAAGTCGCCGATGTTAATCAGGATGCCGCATTCTTAATCCATGCGTACGCCGGTGTTGCCCTTCTCTTGGAACGGCTATCAAGGGAGTGGGAGCCCAACTGCTACCAGGAAGTCCTCGAAGTGGTGGCTCTCGCCATCGACTTCCTACCGCCCATGGGTCTGGATTCCAAACCACCATTTATTCGTGTGCTGGGCTATATCTTTGTTGAAATGAGTCTGTTGGGCATGAAAAGACTAGACATGGCCTTTTTCTATTTGCGGGGGGCCATATCTCTCATGCTGATGGATGGGTTGGACAATTTTCTCGGCAAATCTGAAGTCAACTCAAGGGAGCGAGCGCGCCGCGAGCGAGTTTACTGGTGCTGCTTCATCCATGAACGTCACCTAGCCCTCGAAGGCGGCACCCCGGTGTGCCTAGACCCGTTGCCATCGCTGCCCGACGTAACTTTCTTGGCGGCAAACTCGGCTGAACGAGGCTGGAATTATATCACTCAGACGTTTCTCCTCATCGACCGAGACTTCGTCAAGTTCTGGACTGGGGACCGTTCCTTGGTGACGGCGGAGTGGGTACAAGAGAAGTACTGCCAGCTCACTGACCCATCGTGGGAGCATGAGGTCACTATGCTGGCCACGGTTCAGCAGGCTGACGTGGTCATTACACGCCAATGGCTGCGAACTCTGACCTGGCAGATGGCCATGTCCAATGTCCTACTTTCGTCGGAAGCCAGCTCATCAGAGGCACTATCACTATTCATGCCACTCCGCCTTTCGACCCAGCTCAAAGAGTATTTTATCCGACTGTCAAGGCAGGGAGTCGCGGTTGATGATTTGTCGATCAGAGACAAACTTTTCGAGATCATTACTACCATTGCAGATGTTGTCACAGCTCTCCCACCCAGCAACCCTGCCACGGAAGTACTGTCGAGCATTCAGGATCTCTTGCTCGTGAAGCGCGTTCTTCTTGGCTTTTCTCACGTCAAGCCAGTCCACCGCCAACTGCTCTTGGAAAAGATGAGCTATATCAAATCTTTGTACCGCGACACGACATCGACTGTAATACTAGAAACCCTCGGCCTTGTACCAGACCATTGATCCGTAAGCAATCGTCCAACATCTCAACACCAGTAGTATACCCTGTACCTAAACTGAGTAGAACTTGAAGCTGTGAAATACAATCGCGGGGTCCGAAATCAGACGCAGACGATGGCTGGTACAGGGCCCTGGATCTTAGCAGATCTTAGTATCACGGCGAGGGAAGTAACACTCTGAGCGTTGCGGCGCTGCCCACCATCTTCGGCGGGAAATTTCCCTGCAGCCTGCGTTGAACTATAAAATGGAAGCATTCATCAGCTATCCCCCTTTTCGTAACATTGAGTGTGCAGCAGCAAGAAACGTGATCACATTATTATGGCAATGGGGTTTGGACACAAGTGCAACAATACACATTTCTGGCTCGAGAGAGTGAGGCCTACTATCAAACCCCCGTTTCACTCTCTCCAGACCAAGCCCATAGGAGAGCATTTTTTTCAACCACTGCAGTCAAACACTTGACTCGTCCGTGATGATGTCCGTTGCGGCCTGTTGGCTTACCACTTGTCTCAACATAAATACAATACGAACATCAACAGGACGAAAGCCATGCTTTGAAATCAGATTTTGATTAGAAATTCATCTTGGAAGAACGGTGTTGGTTCGGCGCCAATTTACTGCTGGGTCTGATCGTCCTCAGCCTAGAAACAAGCTAACGTTACTGTTCGACACATATACTTTGCTGCGTCCTCGGACGACCACAACCAAGCCTGCTCAATCATTCAAAACTTGATCTTCAATTTCCAACTTCCTGCCATCAACGACGGAGTATCTCATAAGTTTGCTCGCCAGACCGCATCGCCATAGGCTAGGAGGATGGGTTCATGGTTGTCAACCCCGTGGGACCCGTCTACGGGTATTCCAGACTTGACTGGAAAAGTTGCCATAGTTACTGGCGCGAAGTAACAAAACCCCAGAAAAGCAGTCATGGCTCTCCTCGGTAGAAGCTTACAGATATGATAGTACCGGGATTGGCTACCCTACTACCCTCGAGCTCGCCAGACATGGTGCCAAAGTCTATCTCGCCTGCCGGAGCAAAGTAAGGGCGCATACTGCCATTGAGTAGATGCATGCCGAAGGCTCAGAAATCCGAGTTGGCGCCTTGATCTGATTGCCACTGGATCTGATGGAACTCGACAGCGTGGCGAAAGAGGTAGAGGAATTTATGCGTTAAGAAGACCGGCTGGATATTCTCGGTATGCTCTCCCTGACTGTATAATGACACTGAGATTTCTGAATGTTGATATGTTGTTAGTGAATAATGCGGGCGTTGTAACGCTAAGCTATCAGACAACGCCGGCGGGGTTTGAAGTTGCCATGGGAGTTAAGCATTCCATGCCCTCGATCACTAAACACTTAAGTTCAGTTCATCGAGTTTAATCACTATCCTAGCCACCTAGCTCATTTCCTGTTCACGATCAACCTCCTTCCAATCTTGAAACGTACCGTGGCGCAGAAAGGTTCAGATGTGCGCGTCGTCAATGTGAGTTACCCTATTGCGCTCTCTCGAAACCTTGGTGACCGCTATCTATAGGTCTCGGCCTCTGATCATAGCATGCTGATCCCAAACACGATGCGCTTCGACAAGGTTTCCGACCTCAAGTATTGCGGCACCTCGTCGACGTCGCCCTACAACAGCAGGAGAGACCTGTTTTCCCGATATGCACTCAGCAAACTCGCCAACATCCTCTGTACGGCGGCGCTCCAACAGCGCTACAGGAACATTCTCTGCGCCTCGTGTAATCCCGGTGGGACCAACACCGTCAGGGGCATGTCTGTGTGGCCGGGTTTCCTCCGACCCGTTATGAGTCGGCTGTTTGTGTCGCCAGCAGTGGGTGCCCGGCCGGTGCTACTGCTGGCGGCGGGGAAGGATGTAGGAGCAGAGCGGGAGAGGTATCGAGGAGCCTACGTGGGAAATAAGTGTAAGGAAGACACCATCTAAGTTGGCTAGGGATGCCGGAATGGCGGAGAACTTATGGAAGATCAGTGAGGAGGCTTTGGCTGAGTGGATCAAGAAGTAAGCGATATGCCAACGAAGTTATTAGTTCATTGCACAACTACCTTGCTCTTCTGTTTGGTAACAACGTGAACCAAATTCTCTCCAGATAACTTGGTACCGACTTTAATTTAGATATCCATATCATCTTGACATACATATACCCTCACTATAGAATGTGGCCACTTTAGCACAACCGTCATACTAATTCTGTTGTTACGTTTCGCTCCACACTGGGTGTCACAACGTGTAGGGTTTCTTGACAGGCGAGGTTACTGAGAGCGTAGTACTTAAGCGCGGGGACAAGAGCGAAGTGATCACAACCAAACGTATGGGCATAATCGTGAACGAAGTGGACTATATAGTAGAGCCATAAAATGACCCTGTATATATAGTCCACTCTGATCAGCGTTCCTGACCATGTCTCAGCGATTTCTCACTGTGAATCACCCTGATTCCCACTGATTCGACTGATTGAGATCACGCGATATCTAGTTCGTTATCCCTGGTCGGTTGCGCGACCTTCCGATCCGTGATCCATCGGCTGTCTTGATAGATGCGGTACACGTACGTAGTACGAGTACGATGACGATGACGATGAACTTATCAGAATCCGGGGTAAACAGGCTTCACCAGCCTCCTGGATCATTCCTTGCCTCCCTAGGATGGCTATATAGTCTAGGGCTCCCCTAGGACCCTTTCATAGAAAACAAGGAACCTTTTGAACCTCTCACGTTTGACAGAACTCCGCAACTTCGAACGCCGATCAATAAGCGCCTTACTACGTTGGTTTTGGTTACCAATGTCACCCCAACTTGGTTGCCTTAAGACTCGGCGCCATTTGGACTCAAAAGATGGTGGAATCGGGTTAAGTCTCTTTCCAGTGGACAAACTTGTTGCGAGGACTAACATAGAACAGCGTGGGCTGTCCGTAGAGTTGATCTGTAGCTTCTAACATGTCTCGATCATACTCATACTCGTCTTGTTCGCAACGAAACGCCACCGCCTACATCAACGGCCGGGTCTACACTGTCAGCGACGCTTCACCTTGGGCGGAAGCTTTCCTTGTCGGCTCAGATGGCATGTTCGAAGCTGTAGGTACCAATATAGAGGTCATGGCGATAGCTTTGGAGGATGGCCTGATCATTTACGACCTCCGTGGCAAGTTCATTATGCCGGGCATCCACGACGCTCACGTCTACATGCTTTTGGCCGGAGTGGGCATGACGTCCCAGGCACTACTTCCCATGCAAGGGCTGAACTCGACAAACATCGCCGGAGAGCTGAATCACGGGAGTTGTATGTGTAAATACGCTCACACCAACCAGGACTGGCTCGTCGGGTGGACGTACCTGATCGAGAACTTTCACCGTGACGCGCTAGATAAGGCGTATCCGCACACTCCGGTGGTGATACACGGTGCGGCTGGGTACAGCATGTTCCTCAACACGGAAGCTCTCAGACGTGCCGGCTACAGCGTTGAGTCTGAGCAGGATGGACAAGACACGCTGCACTTGCGGGACGGCGCAGGACGCCTGACGGGTGAATTCGCCGAGATGGCCATGAGCAAAGCAGTCACGGCAATCCCGCAACCGAGCGTTGCGCACGTCAAGCGTGTATTGAAGCATACGCAGCACATACTTCATCGTTGTCAAAGGTTAGAGGTTGAAAGGTTCCTTGTTCTCTATAATAGGGTCCTAGGGGAGCCCTGGACTATATAGCCATCCTAGGGAGGCAGGGAATGATCTCAGGAGGCTGGTGAAGCCTATTCCTTACCCCGGATTCTGACAATCGTGCGGGGGTGACGAGCTGCCAGGAAGCCTCTGCAAATTCGGCCATGCTCCAGGCACTCCGGAAAGTCGACGCTGAGGGTGCTCTGAAAGTCAATATGCACACTCACATTGTCTATGCGCCTGACTGGATCGCAGAAGAAGGAGCCGAGTCGCTGCATAGGCTCATCGAAGACGCGGCAAGTTTCAAGTCCGAGCACGTCGACACGCGGTTCGTGAAGATCATTCTCGACGAGGATTTTCGGCGGTACAAGGACCTCAACATCACAGCTGAGATGTCGCCTGCCATCTTCTTTGTGCATCCTATCACCGAGTCGAGTCGAGGTCTCATGCATTGGAGTTTCCCCAGAATGATCGAACCAAGTGCTCTCATCACCATCGGGAGTGACTGGTGCGCTCCCAACCTGCCCGACCTGCTACCCATCATGAGCAACATTGTCGAAAGCGTCGGTGACGGCGACAAGAATGTGGGTGCGGCCAGAATCTGCCGCATACTGACGTTGGCGGGCGCTGAAGCAGTGGGCAGGCAAGACAAGTTTGGCAGCATCGAACGCGGGAAAAAGGCCAATTTCATCGCGCTCGATAACGATCTGAGTCGAGGTGAATTCGAGGGTGCTAGACTCTTGACCACCTGGTTTGAGGGTGAGATTGTATACGACGAGCAGAGAGCATAGTATCTCATTGACTCGGTTCATAATGAGGCCCGTGGCAAGATACAGTAGCATGAACCATGAAATCATGGCGCATCACACAGTAGAGCTTGATATTAGTTCTATCCCTCATTCCTCCCGCTTCAAGAAATAGAACGTCAGCCTCTAACCTCGCTCTCTGCACCCCCAAATCGTTTCTGCAGCACGATCCACGGCGCTAGTCATCTCACAAGCCTAAACGTTGATATCTGCTGGCCTACAGATCACGAGATGACTAGGTCACAGTGCTTGTATAGCGCAAGCACGAACTCAGACTCAGAAGTCCCTTCCAGGAACTGGTCGTGACTTCACGAATCTTCAGTCACCCCTCGTCGACTGATGGTAGATGCGGGATATCGAATGACGTCAATCATCATCTCAGCACTAGAAGCGGATTCGGCGGCGATGCTAGCGACTAGAGAATACGTCTCTAGAGTTGAGGTCCGTGGATTTTAGGGATGAGCTCTCAGAATCTTCATTCAAACCAGTTGAAGGGAAGCGTGCACAGTGATGTGTGCTGGACCTCGTGGGAGATCGGGTGCGGCGTGGGGAAAACTATCAAAGGCGATGAAGTCGAGGTCAACGTGGCTGATCAAGTCTCCCTGGTGGTGCGAGATACAAGATACGGAGCGAACCTGGAGTGTCTCGCGGTGTGGATAGATCCACTAGATCCATGCTGACGCTGGCTTGTGACGAACCGGCAATATTAGGCTCATTCCCCGGTACAAGGTCGTTATCGTGATCAGAGTGGGCCGCATCTTTGTTTGAAACCAAATCGGCATAGGGATCAATTTATGTAGCAAACGAGGTTGTTCAAGTCTAGGCAAAGAAATATCTCGATAAGGAGTAGCGACTTCCCACACCATCTTGTCTGGTAATGCCAACGCTAAATGAGGGTATTATATGTAAGCACAAGCACAGCGTAGTTATAAAAGCTAACGTACCTGAGAGGTTTCAATCTTATTCAGACGGCTCCATCTCTCTCTTATTGTCGAGCTCGACGTGCGGCATTTCTATTATGATTGTTGGAATACCGATGGGTGCGACCGCGAACCATCTCAAATGAGAGAATAAAAAGACTTGGCCACGAAAGCGATAATGATGTCAAGATCCCAAACGAATATCAAACTAAAATACAGAGAGAAATACAATAGTAGGGAAGCTCGTTTACACTTATGGTCTGTACGCCTACTGACAATACAGGTAATAGCGAGGACGACTGCGTCAGCGTTGAGCTTGGTGTTCCAGTAGCGACTCTAGAGCTGTTGTTCGAGAAGAATAAGGCCAAGGACATGGATGGAACAGAGACAAGCGTGATCACATCTATTATCCAAAGGATACTTCAGTATGAGCCGTCACAGGGTCCATCAGCTGCAAAACTTCCAGAATACCCTTGGTCTCAAAACTGGTGTTCTTATAGTACGTAGAGATAACTAGTAAATGTCCTGTGTCTTTGTATTTTAATATTTGGCGTTGCAAGATTTGTGAACGGGGCCGTAATCTAAAGAGCAAGTGAAGGCTAGGACAAGGTATTGTATCAAAGACAAAGGTCAGAGTGTATTATTAGTTAGTTAGTTCACAGGTCTGCGAGCTAACGGTGAACGCCTCACGAATGAATTGTGAAGTTGACCAACAGCATATGCCTATAGTAGTTGCAGCAGTGACGTGTAGCTTAAAGTTCCGAAGAGGGACGATGAGAAGGCTTACTATCCCGGACACTGAGAATGAGTCGATATCAATCGCCAGTCACGTTGCAACTCTTCTTGATTCATGCCTTGAGGATCCAAGGGCTGCATATTTCACAGATAAAGAGTACCCCTGCAATTTTATGACCCCACTTGTGATCAAGGCTGCGCTGAAGGACCGTGGCCAATTGGTACTCTTAGAGATAATGTCACCAACAATCGAGATCGGGGCAATAGCTGGGCCGAGAACCGGAGCTGGCTGGTAGACACGCGAGGCCACGGGCAGCATAGTTCAGGATAACCATAATTGTGAGCTATAGACTGATACTGTTCAGTCATGACCAGTGGCTGGTATAGGTAACACGCTAATTCAGGCGTACAGTATCAGTCTGTACAACACATCACATTTATAAACCTAAATCATCCCCAACTACCAAACCAAGAGGCAGAGGCCTCGCCATGATCAAGGAAGGCTTGCTACTGCTTGCCGGTCTACTTGCTTTGCTGGCGCCGAAGGCGCGGCCGCTCGACGCGTCCTGCCAGCTCTCAAATACCCTATTGTGCTGTCGCACCACTGGGGGGCCCGGCCAATATGTCAGGACCCAACATTGGCTGGCACCCAGGAGAAGAAGGTGAAGATCTTTCCACTGACTGATATCGCGCCTGCTTAGACTTGCGAAGGCGAGGACAAAACTATGTGCCCTTAAAGTTTGTGAGATGAATTCTCATTTCACGCTATTTTTAGGGATCCGTTAGATCACTCACGCGAGGCTGAGCCTTTTATGTGATGTCATTGTAAAGTAAATTCCTCGACAGTCTCGATCTCCACTGCGTTCAATGGTGGATGGTGATTTAGGGAGCTTGAGTCGTTTTCCTTTTCTCCAATACCCAAATCCCCACGAACGTAGAGACCCGTGGTACGCATTGACCACCCAAGATCAAAATTTTCTTTGGAGTAGCTCCCTGGGCCTGGCTCGATCTGCAGATTGCTAGATGCCACCTTCCCCGTGCTTTTTGTCAGTGATCCGTGCAGTTAATGATGCCGCAATCAAAAATAGCATTGCCACCGTAGTCCCACGCGCTCTGCTTCTTCCTCGGAACCTTCGATCCGACATTGGCGACACCACAGACGTTGTCTTTTCCTTGTCGCCGCGGGTTCAAGAGAAGCTTCTATCTATATCGAGTACCTGTGCATGGGGAAGCGGAGCATTAGAAGAGAGCTCTGAGATGGGATTCAGCAGCCTAGCCGAGTTTTTCGGGTTTGATTATGGGGAATTCCTGGAGCTACTATTTTTGGTGTTCTTCCACGTGAACTGTTGTATCTTCGGTGGTTAGGTCACCAGGCTCTTGTTACGTAGTATCAAAATAGTAAGTTCGTCGGCCAAGTGGTATGTGTTCGAATATGTTACATTCAAATCTATATACACGGCATATATCATGCGAAAAACAACTATATATACCAGGTGAAACCAGTAGCTCCGTCAACATCTTCATTCTCGTTATCTCAAATCGCAACAGTACAATAGCAACATACCAACGACGACTTCCTGGAAAGGCACCACATTTCAGTCAGAAATAACACCGATCTATTTTTTTACGACGTCTCTGATCACTCTTCTTGCCACGATAACCTTCTTCCGTTTCCCCGTCACAATGCAGGTCAAGACAGCAGTCCTCACTTCCCTCCCGGCTCTCGCCCTCGCTGCTCCAACTGGCTCGTCTGGCCAAAATCCAGCTCCCGATCTATACTTCCCAGCAGTGTATGGTCTGATTGTCGGCACTGATGTGCAGCCATTCCACTTTGAATCTTTCAATGCCAACAGTGGGAAGTTCTGGCTCAACTTGCCGGAGACGTCGACTTCGTGCCCCTTCACTGGCACTGACCAGGCATCCAACTGTCCACCTGGCACTGAAACGGCCTTTGTCGGCAATGGAAGCCTCTCTACCGTGGTCCCCGGCGGACAGCAAGTCTATGTCGCACCCAACGGTGCTCTGTCATTCACGGCGGCGCACTCAGGCGCCATGCCAGAGGGATCGGTCGTCGACCCGTTCATCTTCGTCAATGTCGGCGGAGAGTACGGCGAGGTGACGACTAACGCGTTTGGTGCCGATGGGTTCATGGCGTGCCCTACGTACGGAAGCATCGCGTACCAGGTCTTTGCGAACTTCGAAGGGGCCCAGGTACCTCTGGGCAATGTCAATGACTGTGTGCCTGTCACACCTCTAGCTGTGCCCTACACTCAGGGTCAAGCTGCTGCTTGGGAGTACAACTAAGCCCGGGGATGAAAGTGCTGAGTTACACAGCGTCATTAGACAGTAGAGCGCATTAGGTTACATTACAGAGGTGATTGAGATTGCTGGCTTCATTTAGTATGTGTGTTTTTGAAATTGCATAGCGGATGGAGAGTAAGAGGGCGTAAGTGTTGTATAACGAGCATATTAGTATAGTATACCGGAACAGGGAGACCCTTGAGCCACCACACCATATTGCGTATTATTGTCCTTCTCTGTCAAATGGAGTAAAACTTTCCTTCCAATTAGGACTTTTCCGACTGGGCATATCATCTCCATCTCTCACTTAAGTTCCCTTCCGTAAACTAAACTCCCTCTGCCCCCTGATTGTGCTTCACATTAGCGAATTCGATTATACCTTCGCCCAGGAATACCTCCCCTTGGTATCATTTTGATCCCTGACTTTTATGAAGCCTCTTATATCCTCTCCGTTTTCCTATTCTAGATATTTACTGGCGGTGTTTATGGTGAAGTTCTTAACCCAGTGCAGTTTCACATCCATTTCGCGCCTGAGATATCCGAACGCCTGGTAGTATGTCTCGTTGCAAGGTGAATTTGTCTGTAAGGCCAATATAAAGTGGCATTCAAATACAGCATCGGATCCTTTGCGGTCGCTCTCTCCATGTACAGTCCTATTCCAGAGCAATTGGGTCAGTCTTGACCAGCATGCGTAACGCAGCCTTCCAGGAGACAATGCATCCAGGTGCCATCGCCAGTGACCGGAATCCGCGCTGCCACGTCGTCGTGGTTGACCCAAGCCAACAGGCGAGTGATGACCTCTCGACTTTCTGTAGTGGCAATATGTATGCATTGATAAACTGAGAGTGCAGACAATTCGTCAATACTTCTTCACAAGCAGAGTGAACAGCGAACACCTCGTATTTGCGTGACTTGAAACCGTCCTGCATGCCAAAACGAACCACCCGATTCAGAGCAGAGTGTGGGAATAGTTGGACAGGTACAGTGGGTTGTGGTAGATGTAGTCGCCTAGTCGGCCGCCGTAGAAAGTCTTGTTCGTTGGGGTGGCGCAGTAGATCCGACGGGCAACAACGCCAGATCACTGAGGGTTTCAACTAGGGAAGTCACCAGACGCGAGTGAGTTTATCCTTGGTCCCGAGATCCTTGCTCCACGACTCCAGGACATTATTCAAGCTGTGGAGGAACTGAGACCAGTAAATATCAAAAGTCTTAATTTGCCAGAGCCTAATGACTAGAGTGTATGGTACATTACAAAGCTCGGGAAATAGTTCGCGCACAGAAAAGAGAAAGAGAGCATACCTGTATTATAGAATAGCAGCCTACACACTAAGGGTCGAGATCTGAAATTGCAACCGAAGGCCCGCACGAATTGTCGAGTAGTAAGAGGGCTTATAGCGCTATCCAAACATTGACTAAGTGACCTGTATCTCAAGTATTGACACTGATATCTATCCCTATCAGAATAGATAGTGAAATCCAGAATTTTTGAGTCTATACGGAGTTATCACGAGCGCTTTTGTGAGAATACACCATAGTACTTCAGGGCTCCAGCACGTTAGCTAGGTATTTTCTACTTCTGCAAGGCCTTTTGCTGCTGTGTTTCTTCTTGACTTAAATATAACGAATCCATTTTAGTGATTGTCCATTTCACTGGGGTTGACTGAGTACACGAGCTCAATCGAATCAATGAGCTTTTTGTCGCTTTCTCGAGCACGCTGGGTGATAATGTCAGCCGGTAGAATTTCCATTCCTGCCACGCTCTGTCCGCAACATCGGGACCGAGAGACAAACAAGCTCTCAGAAGCCGTGCTGACTCACTCGACTTTTCGACTCTCCACAATCCAGTCATAGGTGTCCTTCAAATGATTGGCAGCTCGCAAATCCCCAGAACGAGCATGTCCTTCGAAAAACTCGGCGCGAGCGGCTCTGCCGCACAGTCGTCCCAGACGTCCACTCGCTTCTGGATCCCTCACTTCCTGATAAGTTGTGGTACGTAAATATTTTCCTACCCATAGACCACCCGTATACCGTGCCGCTTTTCTGGTTGGCAGAACATGGTTTGTTCCAATACACTATAGCAGATACTGTTAGGAGGAGATGCTGCTTGGGCTCTGAAAGGTACCCACCTTGTCCCCGTAAGATACACAAGTATTTTCTCCCAAAAACAGGGCACCATAATTCGTCATCTTGTTCAAGGCATCCCGCGGGCTCTTGGTCAAGATCTCGACGTGCTCCGATGCGATCTCGTCAGCGAGCATCCAGGCTTCGTCCATAGAGTCAGCGACTATGATCTCTCCGAAGGAAGCCCAGGAACTTGATGCGACCGGTGCGGTTGGTAATAACTTGAGAAGCTCGTCGATCCAGTAAAGAGTGTCCTGGCCGACCTTCTCAGATGTGGTAACCAGTACTGAGGGTGTATCTGGTCCATGCTCTGCCTGGGATAAAATATCAACAGCACAAGTATACGGATCGGCTGTCTCGTCAGCCACAATCAGAATCTCTGTAGGTCCAGCAAACAGATCGATGCCAACTTCCCCGAAAAGCTGTCGCTTAGCCTCAGCGACAAATGCATTACCAGGTCCAGCCAAGAAGTCGACCTTAGCGATGATCTCGGTACCGCACGCCATGGCCGCCACGGCCTGGACGCCTCCAAGAACATAAATCTCGTCAGCTCCAGCAAGGTGCATTGCCGCAACAGTCGCCGGCGGGATTTTTCCCGCGATGGGAGGTGTGCAACCGATCACATGAGGAACCCCGGCAACTTTGGCCGTCAGAATCGTCATGTGTGCGCTGGCCAAGAGAGGATATCTTCCTCCAGGGATATATCTGCATTCAGTCAGAACTCCTGGAAGAAGTACACTGGCTTAACTGCTCAACTTACGCTCCAACTCTATTGATGGGAAGGTTTTTTTGACCCAAGAACACGCCCGGCTGGATCTCGAGCTCGAAATCCTTGAGCGACTCCTTTTGAGCCTCTGCAAACTTCCGTACATTGGTTTGGACTTCTTTGATATCCTTGATGGTCTGTTCCGGTACTTGGGCAATTATGGCCTCGATTTCTGCAGCTGACAACTTGAATGACGACGGGCTCCAAGAGTCGAACTTTTCCGAATACTTTCTAACTGCGGCATCTCCATTGGTCCGAATGTCCTCGATTACCCCTGACACAATGGTTGGCACATTGCTCGTTGTTGGCTTGTTTGCTTGCCCATTAACCCCTGTTGCACCATGGGCCTTCTTCAGATATTGAGGCATTGTGCTCGAAAAGAGTGGATTGAAAGACAAAATACCCGGGTTTAGGAAGTCTCTCTCGGCGATGGATTTCTGGTCCTGACAGCCCCTTTAATGGTATCGTCCACTGTTTTCGTTGGAATTAACAATGTACAAGTGTAGGTGGAGCCGAAGCCTGCTTGCCGACATGGGCCACCGTCACCGGCGAGAAAAGCGTTCTAGTGCTCCGAGATGACTTGCTTTCACCACTTTTCCGCTACTCGGAAGTGAGGGCGACATTTAGACAACGGTGAAAACGGACCCAATGCTAAGCAGAGTACGGTAATGCCACGCCAACTATGAGGGGCCGAGCTCAAGGCTTGGTGGCCGAGACTTCGGGAGTTGGCGGGATGGGCGAGTAACCTGGGCGCGTCTGGGGACCCCAGGGTTCCCTAAAGTACGGCCGGTTTACCGATCAAACTTGGTATTATCTCAATGATACTCCAACAAACCGTAAGAGGAGGAAGATTAGCTTTGTTATGCCGAAGCCGAAACACCTAGACCTGAATTTGTGAGAGGACTCACGCTCAGAAAAGTTGTCGCTTAGGATAGTTGACTTGGCTTAGGTAATCCCTCGCCCTTGAAATCACTCATACATTCTGAATTCGTGGGATTGTTTGTTCCCTCAGAAGTCAATCGGAGCTTTGATAGTCTTGTTCATTCCACAAGATCCGCAGAATCGAAAGCTATACGACCCTTGTGATATATTTGCCTGGTGTTACAATATTTATGAGCGACGTTCGTGATTATGGACGAGAAGTATTGAACAGGCTGAGTTGCCGGAACCTCGGCCGGCGACGTCTCTACGACTCGATAGTCTGGTCTATTCAGAACAATGCATATATGCTCCTATTGTCTCCATGGTTCCCCCACAGCGCCTGGCCACATCATCGTCACCCTCAGGGTATATGGTTGCTAGGCTATCCTTTCTAGAATGACACTCTATTCTACACACCACGTCACAAACATCCGCAATGATGAAACAGCTCACTGACTGCGAGGAGGGACAAATGCGAGTGGACAATGAAACAGTTCTCGATCGGCGGCCCACGAATGCAACAACAGCATCAGAGAACACACATACCCACCACACATGGACCATTACATATGCTTTCGGTCTATGCCGGAGCTGCTTCACCCTAGAAAATATTGTCCCTTGGACCACCTCATCGTTGGTCGGAAAATCTTTTGATGGCTCGAGCAAATCCTGCTGCATCGCAAATGTCACCTTACGATATGAATCACGAGGATTTTGATCGCACACACGCCATCATCGAGTGTCTACACCCATAAATGCCACCTTGAAAATGTAGTCTTCTATAGTGAGCGTATCTCAGCTTCCGATAAGAAAGGATTCAATGAAACCCGTGTCGAGCAGCGCGCACCGACTTGTCGATTTTGTTGTGTACGTGGGTCTATCGAATTATATCAATATTAAGTATTGGTATATTCTCCTTAACGGGAATCTTTAAGCTATGGATCCTGGATCGCCATTTCTTAGTCTGTTCTTTTTGCTTTATTGTCTTGATTGGAGTTATAAGTTGTATCCTCACTAAGCGGAAAGCGACATTAGGCGTTACGACATTTATCTATCAAACCTCAACGCCATAGTACTGAGCCTTCCGAGCTGCTCCGGTGCCTAAAGATACGATCCAATCCCAAGGAAAAGACCTTAACAGTTCATCGTCAGGTGCGTCTGTGTGGAGATAGTCAGCGGCTAGTTCGTTGAGCTCGTCAAAGTAGATGACGCGCTCGCTCGGTTTTGCCAGGATATGGAACATCTTCTCCTTGGAAGTTGTTTCTGCAAGTCGACGCGCCTCCCATTTCTTCTGTTCTTCGATTGGAGGCAACTTGATACGCCCAGACCAGAGAAGCGCACTTAGGAATGCCGACTTCTCCCAGGTCAGCCAAGAAAGCGATCCATTTGCGACACCAATAAAGGCGATATTTGGGTTGTACATGTCGAAGACATGCTGATACAACCCTGGCACTCGCTGTCCCCCCGGTACCGATGGTCGGACGTGCTTGAGGAACGGGTAGGTGTAGAAATATCCAGTCGCAAAAACAATGGTGTCGATCGACGTGAGAGCTTGTCCTCCGGAAAAATGAATGGTACCTCCCTCAATACATTCAATGGTTGGGAGAACTTCCACCCCCTTTCGTGTGAAGACAGTGGGGAAGCGAGGGTGAGGTGTTCGTTGAGAGACGTAGATTGGCCATTGGACGTATGGTAAACTTTGCAAAGTCACGTCGATGGCACTTTCGTTGCTGCCAACTACCAGAATACGCTAAGTATCAATCACTAGGATTAGCTTACATGTACACTACCAAGTGGTGGAAACCGGGCAAGAGGAGTGGCATCAGAGGTTTACTCACCTTACCGGAGAAATCCTTTCCAGAACGCCAAGTCGTCGTGTGAGAGAGCTGTCCTTTCCACGTATTCAGCCCAGGTATTGCCGGTACGTGGGGGACGGAATTATGACCCGTGGCCACAATCAAAAAATCGAATTCTTCCTCATACCATGTATCCGTGTCATTGGGGTTCTCGGTCCTGAGAGTTAATCTTAATCTCTTATTTTCGATTTTCTCCACGGCTTCGACAGTGGTGTTGTACCGGATCAACTTCTCGAACCGAAGCGCGGCTGTTACCACAGCTTCCGAAATCTGGTCGGCTGAACAATAGGGAGCTGATTCCAGTTTTGGATTAGGAAGCTTGATGGATGAATTTTCCGACATGACGTTATAGGGGATGTTGGCATAAAGGCTCTCGTAGAGAGGACTGGAAGTGAAACGCTGTTGTTTATTTCTGGCAGTTGTAACTGGAAGCTTGGCCTTTGGTCGAGGAAGTGGAGGATTAATCACGTCCGGGTCAGAGGCAGGGAATATCGGAATGACGTTGGAAATTGGGTCGTACGCCCAGCTACCTCCAGGATCCGATTTCCGTTCGAATACGTGGATCTCGAACTCGTCGCCCAACCTCTGAAAGGCGCTAGCTGATACGATGCCAGATACCCCGGCTCCAATGATGGCTACCGTCTTGGGTTTGTGATGGCCGTTGACACTGCTTGTGGTTCCGTAAGAAGTGTCATTTGTGGTACTGTCAACGTCCTCGTCAATATTTCCTTCACTGTAGGTCTTATATGTGATGTAGCCCTTGGACCCGTGGGTGTAGAAAGTGTCACGATCGTAAGGTGTGAGAGGCACCCCAAGCCGGAGCCGATTGACCAGATCAGGATTGGAGATGAATCGCCTGCCAAACACCACTGCATCGGCCAAGTCGCCATCAACAGTTAAGATCGCGGTGGCCGATGTATAGCCTCCGGCACCAAAAAGTACCGTTGGTGCATCGGAAGGGTTCGTCGGCCGAGTCTCCTGCAACAACTTATGAAAAGGGCGGAGAGAGATATCTTCTGGAGGTATGCCTTTGTGTGCAAGTCGCTGTAGGTTCTCCTCAATGCCCAGGTTTCTCGACACACGCGCTTCCCCGACGTGTATGTACGCAACTCCACGGAGAGCAAGTTCGCGAGCCAAGTGGAGTATCTGGGCTAGAGGTTGGGACCCATCCGTTTCGTGGAAGCTGGAATATCAGTGGACCTTTCCTCATTCTCAATTGACCCACTCACTTGGAAAACGGACTGAGACGCACGCCAATCTTTTGGTGACCGACGATTTGTGCAATGTCATCAACGATTTCTAGAGTAAACCTCGACCGGTTCTCCACTGATCCTCCATACTGATCTGTTCGTTGGTTGATGTTGTCATGCAAGAACTGATCAAGTAGGAATCCATTTCCGGAAAGTATCTGGTTCTATAATTAGTTTGGTAATAGTTCTGTGCGAAAGAACTCACCTCAATACCATCTGCCCCGGCCCTGACTGCATTTCGTGCTGAATTTTGGAAGTCTTCACGGATTTCTTTAATCTGTTCCAAGGATACAGAATGAGGAACACCAAATGGCTCTCCCGAGTGCGTGCAGACCCCTGATTCACCAATAGCCGAGGGCGCAAATGCTTTGTAACCGTAATCAGGCGGCTTGGAATGCCCAGCCCTCTCCCAAGCGAGTTTGACAAGAGCTGGGGATGTACAGCGACCCACATGCGTCAGTTGTTGGAACCAGATGCCGCCCTTTTTGTGTACAGCTTCGGTGATCTGGCGTACCGCCTTTATCTGACTCTCGCTGTGAATTGAAGCAGAGAAGGGCCATGCACTCCATTCGGGCTTACCACCAGTGGCCTGGGAAATGATCAAGCCGCCAGGAGTTGCTCGCTGCTCAAAGTACTTGACAGCCAAAGGACTTTCCTGACCGTAGATGCTTCTGCTTCTACCCAACGCAGCATGAACGATCCGGTGCTGTAAAGTAAAAGCACCCACCCTCAATGGCAGGAAAATTTTCGACCCTTGTCTGTCGTAGTCCAGTGGTAGTTGTACCGCATCGTCGTCAGCATCGGTAAATCCACTGGTAGGGCCACGAGCGTTGGCGGATGCTACAAGCCTAACAACCTCAGCCATCCTTCTGCCACAGGTCAGTTTGAAATAGAGGAATAGATAACGAACTACCGAAGTGGGTAGCGAAACTCTTCACAAGATATGCTTATACCAGTCCCTACTAATAGCAAAATGGAGCTTCCTGACTTCGGCCGTAAGGAGTATGCATATTTCTGATTAGAACTGCACCTCCGAGGATTTTATCATGATTCGATCGACTGTCAGTGGTATGGTGTCAGGACACCTCGATACAGAATTGCAGAAATAATGATCGCGTGATTTTAGCACGAATCATGTCATCCATAAACTAGTCTCGAAGGTCCCTCTTTCATTGCACATTTAGAGTATGGAGTAGTTATCTCTGGTATCGGAAATTCGGCTCTTTCAGGCGGAGTACAGTACACGTGGCTTTGAAGTATCCATTATCGAGGTTAACCTCCATTGGCCTGGGCTGGTATATACTTTCCCTTGACAGCTAACATACGATGGGTAGTGCCAGTTGAGTTGCTGGGAGATTTGAAGTGATTACTGATTTTTCGTGGAATGATTACTGATATTCATATTTAGCGAGAGGATTCTCACGGTGCTTCTGCTTGAACCTTTTCGCAGAAGCGCTGGCACGCCATTTTCTAGCGAGATGACGCTTGCCTAAAAGCTTTAGAGTCCACGTAACAGTAGGGCTTCAGGTACAGTGTAAACGGATTTTGCTATTAGTTGAATTCTGTGTCTATAAGAGTAAAGCTCTATAGCCATGTATAGTCGCTATCTGACTCTCATTTTTCAATCGATTGCTTGGCTTGCTTATACTGAAACAAAAAGAACAATAGCTAGAACCCAAACAAGATGGTGTTCTGTGAAAGGAAATCCCAGGAGTCGGTTGTTGTTGAGCTTCCAGCATTAGCCAGTATGTGATAAGTACCGCTGCCACTGGTCAGACAAAATTAACTAATCTTCTACATAGGAGCTGAAGCCAATCAAGGAGACGTAGGGATAGATGAAAATGCAGACATCAGACAAGGAGATGACGTGGCATTGGCATATTACCGCAAGGCACGTCAAACAGAGATTTCTGAGGCAGAGCAAAAACGGGTCTTGAGAAAGATCGATCTTCATCTGATGCCGTAAGTCACCTTCATGAGCAATTCTCACGAGCGCTGGTGGCTATTAACCCTCTTCCGGATAACTTTAGACTTCTTATGGTCAGTGGCTTCCTACAATACCTCGACAAGCAGTCTCTCAATTATTCTGTTATTTATGAACTCCGAGAGGACCTTGGCCTTGTGGGCAAGCAGTTCTCATGGGTCAGCTCGATGTTCTACTTCGGCTATCTGGTGTGGCAGTTCCCGTCTCTCTTGCTGCTACAAAAATTCCCTGTGGGAAAATATTTTTCCCTTCAAGTGTTTGCGTGGGGATGTTTCAGCTTACTTATGGCCACGACTTCCAACTTTGGCGGTCTGGCCGCGCTACGATTCTTGCTCGGTGCAGCCGAATCAGTTCAATTAGCCGCGTTTGTGTGAGTGTTTCTCTAAACTCTTCGGTCTGGCCTAGCTAATTGTACTTGAAGCATCATAACCAACATGTACTATAAACGTGAGGAGCATGCATACCGCCTCATGCTATGGTATGCTATGAATGGAGTAGCAATTATCGCGGGAGGACTTTTTGCTTATGGAGTTGGTCACATCAGGAGCAGCGTGGCTCTGTGGAAGTTCCCTTTCCTTGTCTGTGGCTCCTTGTCAACTGCCTGGTCTGTTGTTTTACTCTTCCTTTTGCCGTCAAACCCAACCTCGGCTTGGTTCTTGAACGAAACCGAACGCGCCATTGCAATTGCGAGGGTTTATGAGAATAAGACCGGTGTTGAATCCAAGACCTTCAAGCGAGACCAGGCCGTTGAAGCCCTTAAGGACCCTAAAGTTTGGCTCAATGCCATTTCAACGGGAGCAGGAAATATCCTCGGTGGAGTTTCCGCTGTAAGTACTCAACTCCAAATCTTCATTCGCGCTCCCAATCACTGAACTTGCAGTTTGCTGGGTTGATCATCAAAGGCTTCGGATTCAGCGCATTACAGACACAACTTCTGCAGTGTCCAACCGGACTCATCGAACTGATTTCCTTGCTCGTCTTTTGTAGCGCTGCCACCTTCATACCCAATTCTCGTCTAACCCTCTCTCTCGTAGCGACTGCAGTCGCGCTCGCCGGCAGCATTATGCTGTATGCAGTCAATCTCAATCATCGATGGGCACTTATCTCAGGGTATGTCTACACTCTTGTCGAACTCTATACAAGTTTTAACAACACCCAGGTTCTGGCTTATGACAGGTTTCATTCCCAACTCTTTTATCCTCGGCCTTGGTACCGTCTCAGCTAATATTGGTGGTCACACCAAAAAGTTGACGGCCCAAGCTGTGTTTTTTATCTGTTACTCTGTTGGTAGTAAGTTCTCATGGATATCGTTTTGCATACCAAGCACTGATAAATATAAAGATATTGTCGGCCCACAGCTCTATACCTCAGCCCCATATCGGCAAGGCCTACGAGCAAATGTTGTAACCTTGGTCGTCGTCCTAGTCACAAACAGTCTGAACATTGTCTACATGATATATGAAAATAGGCAGCGGAGGAAATATCTCGATGCTAACAAAGACCACTTGAGAGAAGAAGACTATGCTTTTCGGGACTACACTGACAAGCAGAATCCCTTTTGCTTCAATATATTGTAGCTCGTACAGGGAGATCCAGTATTTGACGCCGTGCGAACATATGGGACTAGTATTGGTTACTCCTAGAAATATTAGGGGGCCCGAATTGCAACATGGTTCTGTTACCTTCTCTCATGTAGTTCTCTTAAGACGCATTCCCAGTCCCTCGTTTCAAAAATGTGTTTAATTGGTGCTCGCCCCGGACAAAAAGTAAAATCTACCCGTTACTAGTTAGATGTACGGACCGAGCTGCACTTTGGCCCCCCTCCGAATACTGTCGGTAAAGCAGCACTCGAACTTGGATACGCGCCTGAGAATATCGGTAAACTGATTGGGGCTACTATTTAAACGTAGGAGCACCATCGAAGCTCTAACGTGTCCCAGGCATCACACTAACTGTCGAAAGTGTTTGTGAGGAGAGATTCGACTAGGTTTATGCTGTCTGCATTCGATACTTATTCTATATTGTCACCGGCATCTCTTTCCTCGGCTTTGTTGCCGCCATTTTCACCATAATTGCGTCTCATCACCTTACGACTCATACCCATGTGACATTGAAGAAGGCAAGCACTTTCCAAAAACAAGTCGCAAGCTGCGAAGAAAAAGCCCTGATAAGAGGATTAGTGAAGCACACGGGCTCCGGGGAGACAAGGTTCATTACCGCAGCTCTGTACCGGTTCCCGCATCTCAAATATGAGAGACTACTGGTGTACCTATATTCACGGCTTTGAGGTTACGTCTCGAAGTTCATGAGCGATAGCGTGTTCGACAAAGGATCTTCTCGACTGGCATTTTACGTTTTGTGAACGGCAACGCATTCGCGAGTATGTTCACGTCTTGAAAAGTGAACCCCATCCTTTAACAGAGCCTGGGTCAACTCCTGTGACTTGTAGCATGCCCCAGACCGTCGTAGCCACACTATCAAGGACCACGATTGCGTGATCGTGTTCCCATGTCGGTACTCTTGTTGCGCCGCGGAGATTTGTGCAGCAGATAGCAACGACATCAGCGCCTGCATCGACAGCCTCGCTCACCATCGCATCAATCTGTGACTCGTCCACGTTGCCGAAATCAAAATTGTTCGTCATGCTTAAGAACCGTTCCCGACCAGGTGTGATCTCGTAGCCTATCGATTTGTAATTTTTTCGAATAGCTTGGTTGACACAGGCGACGTAGGGGGTTACCAACCCAAGCCTCTTTGATTTAATTCTGTGAAGGAGTTCATTCAAGGACAAGATTGAGCTGGTCGCTGGAATCCCTGTGGCTTTCTGGATGGCTTTGCAGAGAACCTGGTCTTGTTCGAACCCCAGCCAACCCGACGATGTACCACTCCAACCTATAACGTCTACTGCGGCGTCGGCGAGGTGATGAGCAGCAGCTACCATGGGCTCCAGTGAAAATTGAGCATTTGCATTGCCAGATGTGTCGATGGTTGTGACGCGAATGCGAGAGTAGTGAACACTCACTTTAACATCGGTGTCGTCAATCGATGAGGCTATGGCCGATGTCAGCGGTTCAAGGACGGTGTTGGAGGATGGTACAATCACGCCTAGACGGATGCTGCGGACCATTGTGATGCTGCAGCGAGTCGAAGCTACATGCCGGTCGGCGAAAGGTACTTATCGACCGTAGGGATGTTACTAAAATCGGCCTTCCCCGATGATACGAATAATTGTCGGTCCATTCCGGGTCACAGTGGAGATAGCGACGATATCGGGACGATCCGTAGAACCGAGATTTGTAGTATCTTCTCTTTATCTCTTCCGCTCTTGGCACCTCTGAATTATCTTTCGACTGTCTCTGTACCTTGCTCGGTCGGCCATACTACCGTCGCTTCTACCGACAGTGAGGCTTTACAAACTCTATGGCTTTCCCTGCTGCGAACTTGGCCGACATGACACCTGAAGGTGACGCGCCCACTCCGAGACGTAACAAGCGCCCTCGAGTCCTTGTCGCTTGCCAAAGATGCAAATCCAAGAGACAAAGGGTATAATGGACAAATATGTCTTAACTTTGTCCTTTCCTAACGGCTATCTAGTGCGACAATGCCTCTCCTGCTTGCGCGAATTGTGCCCGATCAGGATCCTCGTGTACCTATTCCGAAAACGCCTATCCGTCTTCATATGTCAAAATGTTGGAAGACAGGGTCGGCACTCTCGAAGCACGACTCAGCTCAGTAGAACCCAGCCAACTGCAGTACCTGGAGGACCTCAACGATGATGCTCCTCCACAATCTAGGTTCGACAATCATCCTCGGACAACACGACCTCAGCAGACTACAACCTCCCCGCCTTCGAACAGCCTGACACTGGGCTTAGGCGTGCTATCATCCGTTGCAGCAGCCGAGCCCCATTACTTTGGCTCCTCGTCTGGCCTCAGTCTTGCGCATTTTGTTCAAACCGCCATTGATTCTGGGCCAAACATAGGCTCACAAGTAGCGTTGCCGCTGCTCGCGGATCGGCCATTTTCCAATCATGCTCCATCTTCACAGACGCTACCAGCGTCCCTCCCGACAGCAAAATCTGGATGTGTCTTCATCAAAGCCTACTTCACGAGTGTACATCCACTATACCCTTTTCTTGACAGGAAAGCCGTCTGGGAAATGCACGAACGCCACACTCGCGAACATCAGACAAGATCAGACGGCTCTCCTTTAGACCTAGCAGTGCTTCACCTCGTATATGCCATCGGATCTCGGTGTCTTGAGCTCCTGGGTTCTAGCAAGGTTTCAAGACACACGCCCCAAAGTCACTTTCTCGCCGCGTTAAGGTACGTTCCCGAAGAGATAAAGTGGACCAGTCTACGCTCGATTGAAATCACCTTGCTTCTCGGTATTCACTCCATGAGATCCCCTTCTGGTGAGCCGACACGCCCCTGTTGTTGAGATCTCCACCTCGGTACTGACGTACGCATCCTAGGCACTAGTGTCTGGCATCTATGTGGTCTTGCGCTGAGACAATGTCTGGAGTTAGGATTGCATAAGCAAAGAGCCGTTCCCGATCATCAGCTGCTACAGGATCAAAAACGCAAACGGCTTTTCTGGAGCACTTTGATTTTCGAGAGGAAGACTGCACTAGTCCTTGGAAGGCCATTTGCTGTCTCTGACAAGGAGATCGATGCCGATTTGCCCTTGGATGTGAACGACGGAGAAGACGATGCTACAGCATTGGCAGCGGCTAGACGACGACCCCCTGCTGCTGATGACAATCCTGCCGCCCCGCTGTCCAACATGAGCCTTCACAGACATCACATTCAGCTATACCGCATCCATACGAAAATCCGCTTCACTCTGCACGCCCTGAAGCACTCGCAACAGCCGGAGAGGCTACGAGAGAAGATTGCATTGCGTTTTCGAGAGCTGGAAGGATGGAGGGCTGGCGTCTTGGACCAGTACTCGAACACTCCGTTGGACTTGAACGTGGGAGTTGATTCACTCCCTGCGAGTGAAGCCAATGACTCGTCCGATTCAGACGCCGAAAGGACGCATCGAGCTCGACGAACTGTAGAAATTGAAAAGACAGAACTGCTTCTTGAGTACAACAAGGCTCAGCGTTCCTTGTTCCAGCCACTTATGACAGAGGGCCAGAGTCATTACACCTTTGGAGCCTCGGAATATGCAGCATGTGCTGAGGCGTCTGGCCAAATCTGTCAGCTGTATAGGCGCCTCCATCGACTCTCTCCGACACCATTCACGTTGAGAGACCTCCATGCTGTATTTGTCGCAGGCTTTACATTGATATATTGCATTTGCAACAGGCCGTCGTTGTACAATGCTCAGCACGCCGGAGATATTGGGGCATGTTCAACAGTGTTGTACGTTATCAGTGAGCAATGGACCAGCGCCAAAAAGTATCGAGACGCATTCGAAATCGTATCCGAGAGGATGATAGAGAGGAAGCGGAACGTTGTTGAGGCTGGCCTTATCCAAGGTAAAAACGCAGAGGTAGGCGACGGGAGTCAAAGCCGACGAAGCAGAGTCACAAAACCAGTCATGGGTGGACGCGATAGATCTTCTGCGCGTCGCGGCGTTGGTCGTATTTCCCAAGACTCAGATACTCCGCGCAATCAGCTAACTGGCAATACTCCCTCCTCGACCACACCCTGCGATGTCGGCGTTGACGATCATTCTGTCTTTGGCTCATATACAGATCTCCAAGACATCACCAATTTAACGGAAGCAGACAATGCTAATGCAGATTTTGATCCTGGAACCCTCAATGAGTTTTCCTTTGGCCTAGACCTTGATTCTGACCTTGACGACATTGGCGGCCTTCTGACGAATGAAGGTCTGGAATGGTTCACGGGTGCCGTGCTTTGATTGAATACTGTTCTATTGCACGGTATGAGGTAGTGTTAATATTCATTATATGCCCTTCGGACTTTGAAAGGGCCTTGCAGAGAGTGAGATCATATTGCCTGGTTTCATACATGCACCCATATCAACATTCTAAATATAATGAATGGCGTAGAAGATGGGTTATTCATCATATTAAAAGTACAATCATTTGCTGTCCTAGCCATCTGCACATGCTTATACATAGTGAGAGCTACAAGTTATATATCTGACTGTGTTTAGCCTTTGGCCCAGACGATCCGTGAGATCCTCCTTTTGTGATAAAAGCTTCGGCCCCGGTTAAGTCGAGCTAGGATTCAGATTAAACAATGGCGAGACTGGAGAGTCAACCATGCCGCTCCCACAACGCCGATACCTTCTTTGGACGCAAATTTTTCCACGCCTCATCAGGATGACACAGCCAAAGCACACCTCTGGCACTGAACATCGATAGATAGCAGGAGTATATTCGACTTCTTCACGCCACTAGATGGCACATAAAAAGGCCGACTTTCTGGGGTCAACTCGCTGCATACAAAACGTCCCAACTGCCTACCATTTTCCTGCTTAGTGGCAAGGTGCATCCCTTTCGTGGTACAAATTCGCCATACTTGCTTGAGTTCACGATTTGACCATCCCGAAAAACGACTCGACCGCGCAACAAGGTCATCTTTGGCCAATTCAAGAATTCGATCCCTTCGTATGGCGAGTAGTCACAACCATCATGCAGATCCCTGTCATGTTGAAGTCGCCTCGGTGTGAAAGATTTATGCCAGATCACCAAATCGGCATCCGATCCTACCTGTATCGCGCCCTTCTTAGGGTAGAGGCCATACAGCTTTGCCGGGTTTTCCGATGTCAATTCTACAAAGCGTTTTATGTCGATACAGCGTCTTCTCAAGACACCTTCGGAAAACAGCAGTGGGACGCGAGTCTCTACTCCGGGCAATCCGTTGGGAGTCTTGGTAAACCTACATATGAAGTTAGACTAACGCACTGTTATAATAGGCGTACACATCGAACGCACATTCCGTTGGGGTTACCATTATCTGCTCGTGAGAGTCCGAGCTGCTTACCGTGTGGACCGGTGAAACTGCGGTAGAGTCAGAGCTTTGGTTGGCCCAGGACGGAGTGCTTGGCTTACCTGTACGGACAATGATCAGAGGAGAAGATTGTAAACGTTCCGTTGATAATGCCTCTCCAGATGGCTTCGACATCATTCGGGTCGCTTCTCAATGGTGGCGAACATATAAACTTGGCACCACAGAAGTGTTCTTGTGCCAACTGCGACTTGCCAAGGAGGAGGTACTGGGGACATGTCTCAGCGAACACCGGTTTTAGATGTGATTGAGCTTTCCGGATGACTTCTGTAGACTCGGGCACTGAGACATGAACGATCAGCAGCGGAGTATCCATGACGGAAGAAAAGGTGACCGCTCGATTGGTAGCTTCTGCCTCGGCGGCTGCTGGATGAGCAATGGCCTTGTACACGGGGTCCGTCAGACCCTGGGATTCCAGCTGCTCTGTGAAGAAGTCGACCAAGTCACCATTCTCTGCGTGGACGAGCGCGACCATGCCAAGTTCGCGTGCTTTGTGAAGAGCTCGCAGAAAGTCCTTGTCAGATATCCGCATGTGCTTGTACGTCAAGAATAGTTTCATACTGCTAATCCCCTGTCGCGCGAGAACAGGAAGTTCTTGTTCGAGCACTTTTGGTGTAGGGTCGGTGATGATAATATGGAACCCATAGTCTGCATGGGAGCCCTGATACGTTGCCAGCTGATGGTATGCGTCGACCTTTTCCAGAACCGATTCTCCTCTGGACTGCTCTGCAAACAGAAGCACTGTGGTGGTGCCTCCCGCCACGGCACTTCTTGTTCCTGTCTCGACTTGATAATCATTAGTCGGCATGGTGGCGTCGGAATAGGGCGGAGCATCAACATACTTGTATCAGCACACTGGTATCCTGCCTCACGCGCCCGCGGTGATTTGTCTTGGGCCAGGTGGACGTGCCCATCGATTCCGCCCGGCGTGACAATGGCGTGTTCACATTCTATGATTTGGGTGTTCTCTGAAGCAACAAGGTTCACGCCCAGAGATGAGATCAGGCCATGCTTGATGCCAATATCACATACATAAGCGCCGTTGACATGTGCATTCCGCAGTATCACATCGAAGGACTGCATTCTGGGCAACAAGCGCAAACAATTCGTTCGATCTGGTAACCAAACCATTTATTAAGAGAGGGAAAAGCTACAGAAAAACTGTATACGGCTGCAAGATTCAAAATCGTACCCGGTCCTAATTGGTAGGGTAAAACAGAACATACATGTTTCTCTGCCGACAACGGCGCCCAACCCCTAGCTCCACATTCCAAGTGCCTCAGGTTATCTGTATCTGAGCGTTGATTAATGGCCTTCGGGCTGGTCCGTGATGATAAGGCAAGCCGAACAGCACGGGTAGAAATGAAGATTCCAGCCCAATAATATCCCTCTATGCACGTCGGACTGGCCCGGCATATCTAACTTTTCAAGATAACGATCCCGTATCTTCCCTACAGCGTCGTCCTTTCTTGAATCTTGATACACAATTCGGGTGATCATGCTCTGACATAGGACATGGAGCTTCCGAAGATGCAGATACCCTTTGCTCGTATCATATGATTGAATCATCGTATCTCAAGTTCATCGATTTGAAAGCTAGAGTATAAGATGTCGTTGATCATCTCCTCAACAAGTGAGTGTCAAGACTCAATCAATATCGACACCTCAGTGATATAACTGAACGCCTTCTCAAAAATTTTGTCGGCCAACTGCATTTCAACATGAAGAAGATCTCGAATGTTCGGGTTCGAATTCCCCAGACCACCAAGGAGTGGAAAGAAGCTATTGATACTGGGACCACGAACGACCCTTCATCACAATGGCTAAACAAAGACCTGGCTCCTACTCCTCTACAATCACGAACATGGTCTTGGTGAGTTTCGCTGTGCCATAATCATCTGAGAAGAGGACTGTGTAAGCTAACATCTTGTGATTCAGGATATCACTATCAAGCTATTGGTGGGGCAATGCCTTCAACTCGTCCCAGTGGTCCAACGGGTCCAGTCTCATCTCAGTCGGCCTCAACTGGTGGCAGGCTCTTATCGCATGCATGATGGCCAACCTCATCTCGTCGACCGTTGCACTAGCCCTGGGACGCCCTGGAGCAAGATATCATATTGGATACCCCGTCCTGGCAAGGAGTGTCTTTGGGATGTACGGGCACTATTTCTTTGTCTGGGTCCGCGCTGTGGTAGCCATCATTTGGTTTGGTGTCCAGACATGGTTCGGTTCGCAGCACTTGAGCATCATTTTCCGATGCATCTTCGGCAGCTCGTGGGAGAATATGGCAAACCATCTCCCTGCGAGCGCCGGTATCACCTCTAAGGAACTCCTCGCGTTCTTCCTGTTCTGGATGATCGAGCTACCCTTTCAAGCGGTTCACCCCATAAAGATCAAGTACTTGTTTGCTGTAAGTCTCTGTCCGCTCTTGGAGTGGGTGCCGCCACACTCAGTCATCTGACATCTCTGCACAGGCTGAATCTATCTTCTGTCCTCTTGCGTGTATTGGTACTTTCGCCTGGTGCGTCAGCTATGGTGGTGGGATTCACACCAACACTCTGGGTGCAAAGCACGTCCACGGCGGTGCTCTGGGCTGGGCGATGCTCACCGGAATCAACAGCTGCCTGGGTGTGACCTCTGCCCTCCTAGTGAATGTGAGATGATGACCCCAATTCCCGAACTGGAAACAAACCAGACAATTCAATCTCCTCATTAGTGCTGACATCTCCTCCTGAAAGCAACCTGATCTGACTCGGTACACGCGCCGACCCAAGGACGCCGGCTGGAGACAGGCGTCTTCCATCTGGGCCAGCAAAACCTTAATCTTCTTCTTCGGGATTGGTGCTACAGCCGCAGTTCAGGGCAAATTCGGCGAAGCGTATTGGAACCAGTGGGACCTGCTCAATGCCATCCTTGACCGTTTCTGGGGCCCCGCAGCAAGGGCAGGCTGCTTTTTCGCCGCCATGGGCTTCGCATTATCCGTGTTGGGCGTCAACATTGGATGCAATGCCATTCCATTCGGTATGTCACATCTCACCTTTCATTCTGTTCTTTCGTGATTTGATCGCGGTTTGGATACTCAGATTCGAGCATCTAGTGTCGAGCCTTGTCACCCAGTATGCTAACACGTCTTGTTTCTTGTGCAGGAGCCGACGTGACGGGTTTATTTCCAAAGTACTTCACCATTGTCCGAGGTCAGCTATTCTGTGGCGTTATCTCACTTGCAGTTGTCCCGTGGAAACTTTTGAGTGAGTACTTTAGTCTTTTATCACGTCTTTCTTCACTCATTTGCGGGGACAATGGTTAACTCACTCGAAGCCTCCGGATCTGGATTCATCACCTTCCTGGGAAGTTACAATATCTTCATCGCTCCCATTTGTGCGGTAAGTCCCTCCGGTATTACTTGTGCTGCCTCATTATCTCTATCTCTAGTTCCAAATCCCTTGTCCTTTAGTTAGTTAGTCCTTCTTCTCCGTCCAATCCCGCACGACAATTCAATAATGATCGTCAGCAATAAGGAAATCTGCTGAAGAAGTTGATTCTGACTTGGGCTCCCAGATTATAATGATTGACTACTTCTTTATCAAACGTGGCAATATTCACACACCATCACTCTTCGACCCATCGCGTGGGTCGTTGTACTACTATACAAAGGGTTGGAACCTGCAGGCTTTGGCATGCTGGGTCTGCGCCGCTGTATTTGGCATCCCGGGCCTCGTGGGAGCGTATCATCCGACCTGGGTGGCTGCTGCTGCAACCCACATGTATCAAACTGGATGGGTGCTGTGTTTCGCCGCTGCAGCCACGTTTTACTATTGCAGCAATCGGGTGCTGCCGCCGAAAGTGTTTCCCGCCGGTCATGAGGATACACCGAAGAGCTTTGAACGACTCGCAGAGACAGAGGGGTATTTTGAAGACGAGGACTTGATCGAGTGTGGACATGGAGATCAAGTGGCGCATGGACAAGACCCGCAAGATCCAGACCAGTCGTCGCAGTCGACGAGCGTCGTGGCTATCAATAATGTCTTAGGAATGGAGAAGGTCTAACTGCCCGAATTAATTGGACACTAGAATGCCGGACCGCAAGGCTGTAAGCCAGCAAGACTACAGAGCGCGATGTTGATGTACTGTTCTGTTCTCTGGCAAGTACCTCCATGATGAATTTGGATGTGGCTGGAAGGGGACGTGATGGACTGTGACATACATGAGATGATATGATGATGCTGCCCACAAATCTCTCTAAGTCTGCGTCCAATGTCTCGATTGTTCAAATTCCAAACCTGTGATGTGGCGCGCTTAATGCCCTTGCTGAGATCGATCCGAAATGACTCGCAGGCTAACAATGCATGTCAATGGGGTATAAGTAACTGCACGACCATTTCTATACCAAGCCTTTTGAACGAGATATAAGCCATTGTGTTTTTCATCTATTCAAGTCCCCAACGATCGTTCACGCTCCGAACGCGCCAGAATATATATTTCTGAATGGCGGAATTAGGATTGTGGTATCGATAAGTAGATGTGTCTATATCCGCTCTCTGGATTTCCCCCCTTAATATCTTAACCAAACGTACTGATGCGCTCGCAATTGAATGCCTGCTGATCTCAGCTCGACATTATAGCCACCCACTAGATCATAGGCACTTTCAGGCAAACCCATGAACCTGTCACGGCCAACCCACTGAGGAGTGTCCGAAAAGTTACATAAACACAGGAGATTAGAGTTTGAGCCTGGCCGTTGATACCCAAGCACGGTAGGGTTGCCAGTATAAAATCCTATGGCTCTCCCTCCAGCAATCTCTTCTGTGGTCTTACGTAGATGGATCAGATGCTTCATGCCGGCATACAACCTCCCAGCTATGGTGTTTTGATCGTGTCGTTCATTATAGCGCTGCTCTGGGTACCAGGGCCGATTGACCCAACGGGAGTCGTCCATTTTGGAAGGATCATTCAGATAAGAGTAGTCGTTCAACTGTCCAACTTCATCGCCGAGATATATTAGAGGTATGCCACCAGTGCTCATGGCAATGGAGTAAGCCAGGAGAATTCGTTCCAGGGCACCGTCTTGCCCCGACTCCAAACCAGCGAGCGATGCAGTAGTTCCGGAAATCCTGCAATCCCCAGTCCGGGGATTGTCCTGAAAAGGTACACCACGAGCGAATGATCCCGGATGCCGGTTGACAAAGAAAGCATTCAAAAACTTGCGGTGGTTGGCACCTTGTTTGCCAAGTTCCAGGGCGTCGTTATCAGAAAAGGTCCAGCCGATATCGTCGTGGCTTCGTACGTAATTGACCCATGCACATCCTCTGGCAATATTATGTCTTCGCTCAATAGCTTGTGCAAGCATCGAAGCGTCTCTTGTTGCCAAGGCTTCCCATGTCAAAGCCATTTGTAGAGGATTGTAGCTAAGCTGGCACTCATATCGATCGATATACTGAACAACAAAGTCCGGGTGTACAATGGCTTCTGACTTGAACAAAACCGACGGGGCAGCAATCCTACAGAGGGCATTGAAAGCTCGAAGGAGCTTATGAACCTCGGGTAAGTTTTCGCAGTCTGTGTTCATCTGTTTCCACATAAACGCCACAGCGTCCATCCGGAAAAAGTCCACGCCAATATTGGCTAAGTAAAGCATCTCCTCCGCCATAGCGCGGAAGACGGCCGGGTTTGAGTAATTGAGGTCCCATTGGAAGTGATAGAAGGTGCTCCAAACGTAGCGACCATCTGGCAACTGTATGAAAGAACCTGGGTGATCGTCCGGAAATATTTCTCGAGTTGAACGTTCGAATGCGGATGGAACGTTCCGATCTGGGAATATCCAATACATAGCCGAATGCTCTGGGTCGCCTTCTGCAGCCTTCCTTGCCCACCGATGCTCGTTGGAAGTGTGATTGAAGACCAAGTCAAGCACCAGGCTTATACCCGCCTTGCGAAGGTCCGTGGCGAGTGCTTTTAACTGATGAATATCCCCCAAAGCCGGCTCGACATCACGATAGCTGGAAACGGCGTAACCTCCGTCGTTCAGGGGCTTCGGTGATTCAAAAAGAGGCATGAGGTGTAGATATGTCAAGCCAAGTTCCTGAAAGTAGGGAATCTTCGATCGGATGCCATCGAGGTTTTTCGCATAACGATCCACGTAACAGACGCCGCCCAGCATCTGATTGGACAGATACCATTCTGGATCAAGTTCACGTTCCTGGTCAAGCTTCTGTAGTTCCAGATCTCTCGCCATCCATGACTTGCCACACATTGTTATGAGATCGACTAGCTGATCTAGACAGTCGTGACGATATCCATACAGTTCTGCGAAGATAGCGAAGATGGTGATAAAATTCATATCCAAGCGCCTGTAGAATGCCTCCTCAGCCAAAATAGATTCTCCCACAGAAGTCTTCCCTAGCTCCTGGATGACATAGGCCTTGGCTGCTCGAGCTTGCTGCTCAATGGAGAGGTGATTAGACATGCTGGTAGGGCTCGAGCTTTGATATGTTGCACAGATGATTCTGTAGAATGCTATAGTCGATGAGAACAAAGTCTGGTGTTTACTTTAACTTTTGTGCAAGAGGCCTTGCAAAGTTTCTCGCACTGGTTTTGTTAGACTAGTCAATCAGCTCAAGAAATGACAATTAGTGTCGAAGGGCAACACCTTGCGAACAATTTTATTCGCGACACTGTGGGTTGTGAGTGTACAAGCTTGTGATAAAGGAAAAATAAAACAGATGCGCAAGACAGAGCTGCCAATAATATGTAAACCTTTGCGGGCTCATTTTGATGTTTAAGTACATAGAGTTTTCATCGATTTGCGTAATTAGTGTCAATAAACACTTTAAACGTTCCTGAATCGCTCCGCTCCTGCAGTGCAGAGTGCACGGCAGATGTTCACCGATTAATCGATCCATGAACATCTAGATTGAACTTTGACAGAGGATGGGGCTTGACGGCAAAAGTCTATTATCCTTTTTCCTCGATCTGAGGCAGGGAGAGTGGCTTGTCAAGGCAAAGCCCGTGATCGCGGATAAATTCTCGGCCCGATCTGCCCCACGTTTTCTCCGCGAGGCTGGCGATCTTCTTCTCCACGCTCTTGTTAGTATATCCGAAAATCAGTGTTTGCTCTCGGTGTACGGAGTAATCAATGGAGGAATTGAACTAGCTCTACACAGTGGCGTTCTATGAAAATTTTTACATTAACCCAGATATATGCGCATATATATATTCGTCTTCTGCTTTTGTGTTTGCCCCGCGTTCGAAGGGCTGGCCTCGAGGTTCTTCTAGAGAACAAATCAATTGTTGGATTCTTATAACTTATTGTGATGATGCTTCATTAGTTTGCAGAACTCTTGCGGATTCACAACCTTCACGGCGCACTTTCTTTCGCCAAAATGCCTTCCGGACTGATGTATAACTTAAACGCTTATGAACAAGGTTTGATTCATACACAGAAGCCTAAGGTGGACAGAAAAAGGTGAAGAATAGTCGTCCCGACGAAGCTAACATCAGTGGATAGGCAGAGGGATAGAGCCTAGAATGGTGCCCTCTCGGTTTTAGGTGCACCACAACTAAATATGAATGGATTTGGAAAAGATATTCGCGGGCCACCAAAATCTCCGCAAGACCACGAGTTCTGCAAGCGCTCGAGCGTGAGTGACTAACTACATCAATGAAGTACGAGGTCGTTGATTGATGATGGGTGTTGATTCATGGACGAGCCAGAATATGAATATACCGCTAGGTGCCGAAGAACACTCAAGATCATTGCGTGCAAGAACAGGGTGACACGGGTTGGTTCCTTTATTATTGACGGTTGATTCATCTATAGCGCAGCTGAATACGTCGGTACTGCCGAGGATGAAGTTGACCTCGAACTCGTAGTGGTGTCAGCACCTGCCGCGTATCAAAAACAGAATCGCATCTACAGACAGAGCCTGCCATCTGCAGCAAGCTTTTATTTGACTGGGTTGTCTGCCCTTGCTAGCTGTGTTCTTACCTCCCTCGGGGATGCCTCCGGTAATGGTGTAGCTTTGTGTGTGGGCGCTTATTCACAGACTAAGATGCCATGTATGACGTCGGCTTATAGGGTTGAGTGCATACATTCTGATGATTATGCGCAGTTGACGATGATCGCGATACTGCACAACGCCGTGTAAACTCGACATTAATACAATAACGAATATCATACTGAAGCTCCTTAGCCAGACATTCACACATATTCGCGAACTTGATAACATGGTGCAAGTATTTTGCTGCTCCTCTATGTAAGGAACTGTGCCCCCGATGTACTCTATATCACCACACACATATGACTGCTGCCTAGTTTGTCGAACGTGAGAGTTCACAGTCAGCAAATGAGAATGGACACCGGAATACATATCGGCTATAGTATTACGCCTGATGAAAGCTCTACAGCCTGGTCTGTGCAACCACGTGGCTATGAATTGTCATGGTCAAAAGTGGCTAAAGCTTACGACTGTGTATTTGAACTCCTATTTCGGCGTCCCTTACTCTAAATTTAGCAATTGGATCGACACGCCGCTCTCAATTCAGCTAGCATGATGCGGAGGCGAGTAAAAGGGCTAAATGACACCGCGTAACGACCAAAGTCAGATTCTTCATAAGTTGTCTCCTCGTTCCTCTTCCATCACATCGCTGCCGTACATTGTGTGTCCGAAGCAGGACGATTCCAGATTGAATCCACTTCCTCTACGAATCGAGTATCATCATGTCCGAGAGTATCAAGGCTGCCCCGGATGAGAAGTCTATCAGTCAAGGAGAGGCTCTAAACGAAGAACAGGAGGAGTTCAACAAGATCCGTGATTCTTTGAAAATTAATCCAATTGGAGTGGTATGCCTTGGTAAAGACGGAGTGTTCCGATCATTGACGGCAGATCACGATGTTATTGACGCTGTTGCCCTTGCCCCAAAACATATCAAGGCCCTGCTCGACAGAATGCCATTCAGCCAGGAAGCCGCAGATATATGGCGAGGTGTGGATGGCACTACAGTGCCCCGTGAGCAGTGGTACAACCCGAACAAGGATGATTTGCCGCCACCATTGAGTGAGGGGGAGAAGGAAGAGGCAACGATGCTGATGGAAGAGCTCAAGCAGAACGGAGTGCCGAGCCTCAGGCTCGAGTTGCTGCGGTCCAATTGTGGTATCGGATCACAAGATCATGCAGCCATAGGTAAAAGTCAAGCAGCATTACCGTACTCACTGCCAGGATCTAGGGAGATTTTAGCACAGGGTTCGGTAATACTTGTTTCCGACTCCGTTCTGACGATACCAAAAGGCTTCTGAATGGATGATGCCCTTCCATAAGAAAGGATTCCATCTGTGGAAATGTAATCATGGCCTTACGGCGCATCGAACTTGTTTTCCGAGTTGATGGAAATCTAGTCGATATCAGTTTGAAGGGAAGTTCAGCTTACCGGCTCTCACATGGAGTAGAAGACCTCGACTCTCATCTCCCAAGTCACGAATTCGGGACTAGCGCCTGGAGTTGTCAACTTGACAATTTTAAGATCTAAAAGTCTCTGTGGGCATGGCTTTTCAGTTTGACATAATCCATTTCGAATTCTCCAAGTGCCGGTTTTTCCTTAGTACACACTCATTGTTTGCAGCGCGGGGCAGGGATATTGCCTCAATCAGATGATAGCTGTATCCACTCACACACATCATCGAAGCAAATCTCTCTGGACATTCAGGACATGACCTTTCGATGTCGGTTGCAGCAAAGTACTCTTCTAGAGTAATGGTACGAGCTTGAATAAGCTCGTCCACAGCTCCAGCACCAGGCTTACTGGCCATACTTCTTATTGCAGAAAGGATAATATAAGCCAGCTCTTGCAGAATCAGGACAATCCGTGAAGTTCGACCATTCGCTAGAACCAGTTACATAAGGAACCGGTCAGATTTTGTTCCGCAATGCCTGCTCGGCGCGTATCTAGCCTGTGAAGAAGGGAGTGATTCGGTCGGATCGGTTCGCAGGACATCACCGATTTTCCCTGCTATACTAGGGGAGAATCTGAAAGAGGATACAGAGGACCTTAGCCATTGATTTAGAAGGCTTCTTGCACTACTATATAATGTATTCCTCATCCGGTTAAATGTCGATTGATCAGCGTTGAGAGATGTTCATTTGAATGATCTCTTTTGTTAGTGAAAGCACGTCCTCCCTTCGAACGTAACAAAGTCATACTAAGTAAAAGAACTAAAATACGGTTGGGGATCGGTAGTCTTCCATTAGGCAGGGTCTTTCGCTTGCACATGAAAATAACACAGGTCCAGGTCAAATTTCTGGTAAGGATTCTGCCTTACAGGACTTTTGATCATGTCGGCTCCGGTGGCACGGAAGGCTTCCCAATAGCCACTGCAATCGCCCACAATCCATCCCATTGGTAGCATCAGACTAACATACCGAGGGTGGAATACGTTCGATAGCTGCTTCCCGGGGACTGTGACAATCTACGAGGGGGATTCTAGGCTTGCTTATACCCCTATCAAACCGGTTGCTCGAGGCCGTCTTACGGCTGTGCTGTCGACATTCTTTTTGTCCGGTTGGCAGTTTCAACACTAAAGGCCCCGAACTTTGGCTTTTAAACTAGTAGAAATTTCGGCACCTAATTGGGTTCAAGTGCTCTAATTCTTGCCAATATTGTCCGAATAATCTCGTCTATATCTATCGGCCGATAGATAATTAACGCGGCCGAGAGATGTAAATACCAACTCTCTTTTAAACTCGTCTACGTATTAATTTTGCAGGTAATGATTCCAAGTAATGCATATATCTCCTGTATCCCGCTCTTCCCTTGTGGTCCATTGCAAAAGGTCCTTGTGATAAGCGCGGTTTTCAATAGTTACACCTTTGAAGCACGCACGCAATCACAAGATGGCCCAAAGTGCGGTCCAGAAGAACATAGTCATACTCGGTGGATCCTACGGCGGCATTTCGACAGCTCATTATCTCCTAAAGCATGTCCTTCCGCACCTGCCAGAACATGCCTCCTATCAACTCATTCTGGTCAGCACCTCAGATCAAGTGATGTGCCGACCTGCCTGTCCTCGAGCGATGATATCAGATGAACTATTGCCTCAGGAGAAGCTTTTTATCAGTATTCCGAAAGCGTTTGATCATTATCGCAAGATGAGCTTTCGCTTTGTCCAAGGCACGGCAGTTGGGCTTGACCATGCTACGCGGAACGTCACCATCAAACAACCAACAGGAGAGTCCGAAATTATTGATTTTCATGCACTTGTCATTGCAACTGGAGCTTCTACTCAATCGCCACTTCTCGGGCTCAATCAAGATGTCAACTTCCTGCGCACCAACTGGGCAACATTCCGCGAGGCATTAAAAGCTGCCAAAACAATCGTAATCGCAGGTGGAGGCCCGACGGGAATTGAAATAGCAGGTGAACTTGGGCAATATCTTAATGGGCAGGCTGGGTGGTTTCGCTCGACTCTGACACAGCCGAGAGTCGAGATAACGGTGGTGACGGCCGGCTCTTACATCTTGCCTGTACTTCGCACGACAATTGCCAAACAAGCCGAACATTATCTCGCAAAACTCGGAGTGACGGTGATTAAGAATTCACGCGTTAAGGCTATCGAGCCTGAGGAAGCAGGAACTACAGATATAGCTTCCAAGGCGACGATAACACTTGAAAATGGGAAAATGTTGAAAGCGGACCTGTTCATCCCAGCGATGGGCACTATCCCAAACACCGGTTTTGTGGACAGGTCTCTCTTGACTTCGGATGGCCGAGTCGACACCAATGCTTCAACACTACGTGTTGATAAAGCCGGCCCACGAATATATGCTATCGGCGATGTATTCTCAGGTGCGAGGCCAGCCGTCCATAATGTTCTTAGCGCTGTTCCTGTTCTCGCTACGAACATCGAACGAGATCTACTGTATGCTGATGGACATCAAAGAAGCATTATTGGCAAGGATAGAAACTTCAAAGAGGATAAACGTGAGACTCAATTGGTACCAATAGGCCAGAGTAAAGGCGTCGGGGCAGCGATGGGCTATCAACTACCCAGCTTCATGGTCTGGCTCATCAAAGGCCGCGACTATTGGTTATGGACCACAGGCAACCTCTGGAGCGGCAAGCAATGGGAGAAGAAGTCTTAAATAGCTAGTATCTTTGATCGTCACTCAGTATTTCAATGATTTCATCAAGGTATCCTTCATGGTTGAGACAAAGGGCCAAGTTCTTCGCGCCCCTTTTACTCACTATCTTCAAAGACACTGAACATGACGCGGCGACCACGGCTCTGGCTGCTTTAGGCAAGAGATCCGGGGAACGAAAGGGCGCTTATCCATCTAGACCAAGGCATGATCGACTGCTCGCGCTTCACCCAGTTTCCGGAAGGAAGGTGATGCCACCCTTGCCCATCCCGACTCGAGCCAGCCGTGTAAGTGATGACCCTCCACTTGTCGGTTACAGGTGCGAGATTCGGATCCTATCTGCCTTATTTATGTAACGATATACATATATATGTTGAATCGACTATTCTTCGACCTGTCTGCTCAAAACACCCCCTCCATCGCCGTTCAAATCCTCGACAAGCACTTGTTGAGCTTGGCCTCCTGCGCCAACGACAAACGTCACTGTAGTAGGATACTCTGGATTTTCCAGCACAGGTCTTAAGATGAAAACATCTCGATCCCAGTGCGTCAGTGGCAAGGTCCTTTCACCAATTTGCATCGAAAGGTTGCGATTATCCGTTCCACTAACACTTACGGCTCCCACATAGTCATTGAAGTATGTCCCAACGTATACATCTTCTCCTTCAAGTGGCGCTGAAGCATTGACTGGTGTGATAGCAAGGCCGGGATCCGATACTCCAAAGTTCTCGTTGAGTTCATCGTATTCATCGTCCCAAAAAGATACCCAGTCCCGGGACCCAGTCCGGTTTCCCTGGTACACCCAATCCAAAAAGGTGTACGTAATGCCATCTGGCACACCTGTCGGCCAGCAATTACTCAGCACCACTATTCCGATGCCGTCCGCAACATTCATCCTCACATATGACCGCGTGCCAGAAGTGAAGGCACCGGCATGACCGACGAAGATGCCAGAAGACGAATAATCGACATTCCAGCCTAATCCATAGAACGCTGATCGATTCGTGGCAGGATCGGGGCCTCGGTTGATTTGGGGTTGATGAGTGTACTGCAAAGGCTCAGAAGAGACAATCTGTTGCCCGTCCCGCGTCCCATTGCCGAGTTGAAGTCTGAGCCACTGGGCAAGATCAAGGACACTGGAAGTCACACCACCTGCTGGTGCTTGAGCATCCGGGTTGCGTTCAGGTGCCCGGATATATGGCTCGCTGAAGTTGGTTCCATTGCCAGCTCGAATATGAAGCGATGCCCTGTTGGATCGCTGAAGAAAGTCATCGTATTCCGAGCTCGTGGATGTCATGTTGCAAGATTCATAAAGACGAGATGTGGCTTCTTCCCAGGAGAGACCGGCGGCGGTGGCTGCGGCAACAGCACCCATGGTGATGCCATAGTTGCTGTACTGGTAATCAACTCTGAAGGATCCAGTAGGTTCCAGAAACTTCATTCTCGACAAAATCTCCTTTCGATTGTAACCGAACGGTTCAAGATCGTTGCCTGCATTTCCAAACAACCCACTACGATGACAAAAGAAATCCTCGACAGTAACTTCACCTGTGATCCAAGGGTCGGAGAGCTCGATGCTCGAGTCAAGCTCGTTTGCTTTCGACGTCCAGCTGAGATGTCCGTTACCAACAAGCTGCGCAACTATTGTCGAGCTTATTGGCTTCGACAAGGATGCCAATTGATACACTGTCTCGGCGGTTGCTGATTCGTTGCTTCCAACCTCCCGCACTCCAAAGGCGTTGGCGTAGAGGATAGAGTCATTGTAGACGACAGCAGCAGCGATACTGGGGACCTGGGTGTCATTGAGTACGGACTGAATAAAGCTATCAAGTCTGTCTACGGCCTGCTGCACGCTCTGTTGTGACACAGCTTCCACCAAGCAGAACGGCAGCAAAAGTCCTGTGAGTATTGAAGGGAGCGGTAAAACCAGCATGATGACGGCAGCAGATTTCTCTCAAGCAGCGTCGACCCTCTTCTGCAGCCTCAGCTGCATTTATCGAGTCCAGCAGCGCCCCGTGGAGACCCGGAGAGGGGTGGTGACCTCGTATTTCGCGAGCCGCTACCAATAACAGGGGGCACTAAAGTCAAAAACTCGGAGCGTCATCAACGACTATTGTCAGTAGGTGGTCAATGCAGACTGGAAATCGAACTCATTCAAGCCGAGGGCCAAGATCTGCTCTAAGCGGCTGTGGAACATTTCAAAACCAAAAAAAAGTCTATGCTTCACTGTCTGACAACCATTGGCTACAACTTTGTATTCTTAGTTGCTGTGACATACACTTTCGCCTGTAGTAGTTCCGAACTTGCCCTCCCCTTACGAAACACGTTGAGATTTCTTACTAACCAACACGCCAAGGAAAATGCGGTCGCGTCTAGCCAAATAAGGCGTATGATTACGCTAATGTTCTAGCCAATAATCAGTAGTCGGTGCTTATATAACAAGGTTCTCAAAGGTTGGCCAAGTCAGTTGAATCGGCAGGACAATGTCAACCTGTTCTGCACCACTCTACGTAATGAATCTGAAGTCGGTGGCAGCGATACCCTCTGGCTGCATCTTAACTGCTGCGGAGGTGGACATTCTCTCTCCCGTCATCATGTTTTGTTTGGCAGCAAGGCTCTCCTCCCCATTCAGTCGAAGGTCTCGGGAGGAACCAGCTACCGAGAGGCAGACAGGAACATTTGGCTTGTTCTTGCGGTCGAGGGAACCCCTTTTTGATGAATAGTATAGTCTGCAGATTACTTCTATTACATTATCTTATAAGCCATCCTCTCAATTCTGTTTTGAACCTAAGCAAAGCCATCTAGACCTTGAAGCTCTGGGAAAACCTCCGCGGTGCGTGTAGGGAAGGACTGTATATAGTCCCCCCCACGCAACCTTGCATTTTTTACATATTTCCACACCGCCGAAATGATAGAGATTCTCGGCTCTGTAGGTCTGGCGGAAGTTGCAGTCGTTGCAAGTTGCTCCATCGGTGTCCTCGAGAAACTGTTTTAGTTCGTAATACATCAAGTCTTCGTGGGAATTAGTGACGAGACTCTGATAGCGCTGGACATCTAGGGAGTCCTTGCTCATTCTTTCCTCCTTTGTATCAACACGGTTCCAAAGCTTTACATGGCGGCGGGCTTCGTCGATAACCTCTGCCGTTTCAGGAGTGCCCATAGTCAAATTTTCTTCGACAAAACAATACCGCCGCATCACAATGTGAATAGGGCCTCCGATATTTCGTAAGAAATTAACAACGTGTCAAAGTTCTGACTTCATTGCCCAGCAGGTATCCAGAGCCCATAGGGTCTCGCGGGCCTGGTGGAGTGCGTGAATTCGCAATTCTACTGGTACGGAGGCGAAGGTGCTGTTCGTCACACCCTCAGAACGGTGCTTGAAGAAAGCGACAGCGTCCTACAGCGTGTCTGCAAGCTCGGTCAGAATTTCAAATTGTTCGTTCGAAAAGTAGACATCATCTAGGTCGTTGCGTGCCACTGCAGCCGCAATAGTAAACCGGGCGAGTGCGTTTCCGTCCCGCATGCGAAACCACTGCCTTGGTGACCGGGCTAGAGCGTTGACATATCGCCGAAAGAGCTCCCCTCAGACGAGATTCGGTCCGAGTTTACTTCCAAGCAGGATATCATCATTCAGACCACCGTTTCGCGGCAGTATCTCAATGTGTGCATCGAGGAAACTATGCGTTCAACAACAATGTGGTTCACCTTTTCGCGTTATGGGTCCCTTGGGGTGTCACAACAGGAAAACAGGGCGTGGTAACGACTTGTCATGTCATGAGTATTGTGTTGTAAAGATGCAGTCGGAAGACGCAAGAAGAGATCTATGTAACTTATGCTATCCCAGATCGGGAAGATGCGCCTTGGCGCAACCAGAGGAATGCCTCGCAAAACAGGAAAGTGCCCTGAGGGCGCAATAGCGTAGTACCATATATACTCAAAGTATATTTTGCAGGTCCTCACAAATTCTCACAACAAACAACTTTGACACAAAGCCTCTTGATTCTCTCTTTCTTCTCTTGATACTTCCTGCATTCCATCCAACTTTCTGATTTTACATCTTCACACTGAAGTGATACACCTATACGAATTGTCAACATACCATAATGGCTCGCCGTCGGTTTATTGCGTCGTCCTCAGACTACGAACCTCCTATGACCACCGAGTTCGAAGAGGACCTTACTGCGAACCTGCGTCTTCTCAGTCTTCTGGAGAATCCATCCTCATCACCTTCTGCCCAGAGCCTACCTGAACCTCAGCAAAAGCAGATCGAACTTGCACGAATGCTTAGTATCAAATCAGTCATTTCCACTACATCGTCATTCGCGGAGGAACAATCAAAGGCTAATGAGAGCTCTGTTCGCACATTCAGAAAGATTGGTGCAGGAGCTTGTGGGATAGTGTTTACTGTTGATGGACAATCATTATCATACAAGATCGGAAAAACACTAGATGATGATGATGCTCTATTCAATGATTACACTATGCATCAAACCATCAAGAGAGCTGTTCGTCAGTTCTCTACTGAGATCGAGATTCCGGATGTTTATGGGATCATTGAGCGTGATGACACAAAATGGTGGAATGAGCATCATGACTTGTATACAACTGCAAGAGACGTTGTCAATCTTCCTGCACCAGTTGTGATAACAGAAAGAATTCTGCCGCTCCCAGCTCCAACACGGACTCAACTTATCAATCATTTCTGCAGAGAGAACCTTCAGCAAAGCGCAAAAGCGGATTCAGCAAATAAGGATTGTCTAGTACGACCTTATTTAGGATCAATGAAAGGACGAAAGACCGCGTTCTTTTCCTTGAGAAACTTCAAGCTGCATCTCAATCAGATGATTGATATTGGACTTGACTATGAAATGCTTGCAGTATCAATGGGCGAGGTACTAGCCATCATGCATTGGAGAGCCCAGACAGATGCCAGAGACATTGAACTTGTTCTTGGAAGCTCTACAACAAATACAAATCAGGAAGAAAATGACGGCCCTTCAAGTGAGAACTTTGTCCGCCGAGAGACCCGACTCTTTATTCTCGACTTTAACCAAGTACGAAAGATAAGCATGGACGACACTGGAGTTGCGGACGCAGTCGACGCCTTCTTTCTCAATGATCCATATTACCCCCGTCCCTGCGAGAGCTCAAGAGTTCAACAAGAGCTGTGGAATTCGTTTGTTCGGAGCTATCTCAATACTGCAGATACTATCTTGGGAGGTCACCAAGTCCTCCAACGTAAGTTCATCGCAGAAGTAATTTCGCGGACCACGGAGAAGAGAAGGGTGGAGGCAAAGGAGTGAGAAGAGTGGTCATCGATATACACTTGCATGAGATGAGATAGATACAGCTGAGAGGTTATTCTTTGTCTCAACCTGAGAGAGAGTCAGCACCTACAGCCTCGAGCACACCCCGAACTGGGAGGAGAACGACGATAGATTGTCAACTTTCCACTTAGGCCACGGCACTGATGGAGGCTAATCAGTACTCGGCGCCGACTTATCGATGCATGTTTGATTACTTCTTAGAGATACTATTAGTATCTGCATCACGGAGTGTCACAGCAAAAAGGGGTCGTGCGATACAAAATGACATAGCCGATGTAATAGACAAGTCCTGCTCGGTCACCAGCCGAGATTGTTAGCGTCTATCCCCTTGAGTCTCTCTGACAAATTCAATGTGGGAGGTGCCACGTAAGCATGATGAGTAGCGGCTGTCCACAGCAAGTCATATGTTGGCATCGAGTCCGGAAATGCGAGCTGCGATATTGGCCCGAGATATAATGTGAATTCGCTAAGGGCAGAGTGTTGGTCACGTGTGGTCACATGTAACCAAGTCACGTGGAGTGGTCTTGGCAACACAGCAAACACTGCCTTTGTAGCACCTGCCTATTTTATAGGACCTCGCTCCTTCATAGTTGATGCGATCAATGAAGTGATTCAACAACAGGTAGCACGCTCCTTCTACACAGAGAAGAAGACGAATATCGATCCTTCTCTTGTAAAAGAGTCAGCGCACGAGGGCTCCATGGGGATGCCGCTAGGCAGCGCGTCACGACTCAGATAATGAGTCGCCATGGGTGTCACTGTCTCTGTCCATTTTCGAACAAACAACAGATGCGTCCACGCTTCTGGTTTTGGAAAAAGCTGTTGAGAACGTCAGCTGAGGCTTGTAGCCGGCAGAATATTACTCCGTACGGAGTAATGCAAATTTACTGCTGCTCGGGAATTCAGAGCTCGCAGTAGCGATCTGTGTCGTGCTGTTCCTGGCCGTTAGTAAGGCTTTGAAGTCCTCTTGCATCCGAACTAAGTCGATTAATGTGGCCTATGAGGCTATGAATCGTCAAAGGAAGCCGATCGAGCAAAGTGTTTCCATAGAAATCTCACTTTCGAAGAGCATTTGCGACCAGAGTTATGAGACAGATTGAACTTTCTCACTTTCTTGCGACTTCTCTAATTCCTAAATGACCATTACCACTTGAGAAAGGAGAATAAACTTCTCTTATTCTTCTGAACGACTGTCTCTTAGTCCATAACCCTCCTTTCCAGTCAACTCCCCGCTCATTGAAACCATCGGGGACTTCCGGGGCGCGGGCACAAGGGAATGATGCTGCATAACCTTATTCGGCTTTTATGCTTTTGGTAGGTAGCTTTGGATGCAACGGATTTTGACGGCAATGATGCAACAAACATTTCCCCCCTAGCTGATGAAGTAGCCTTCCAGACTTTGAGAGAGGTTTGGACAAGAGTTCAGAGGTAACTACCGATCGGCTATTGGTATAAGCTAAAGCCCACCAACGCGTGTCCACGTCATTTCAGTGACCGAGTATCCGATCGGGCCGTGTTTCACCACGCCACCATCACTTTACTGTGCATTGTGTGTCAAACAAGCTTCCTAAGCTTATGTCGTAGAGCATTGTCTTCAGGCTCCACAGTCAACATACAAGTACCGGGTGTGGGTTATTGCGTACTTCGGGGTCTCTGGCGGAGGCAGTCTGAGGGCGGGGACTGTTCGAGGGGTCTCACCAAGCTCTAGGTATATATGTCGCCTTACCCAGACCCTTCAAGTGAATGTCTCCCCTGACTCAATTTTCCCCACGAAGAAATCAGAATGCCTTCCATCAGACTTGAAGGGCACGCTCTGGGACTGCTCGTTAGCTGCGTAGGGGCCGTGGCATTCTTGCTACAGGGCTATGATCAGGCTGTCGTCAACGGTCTTCTGACCTTGCCTACGTGGGAAATGCGGTTTCCTTCCATCAACACGAGTGCGGACAAGAGCCAGAGTCGATCGGTATTGCAAGGCACGATAGTTGCTCTCTACGAAGTCGGCTGCTCTGTCGGAGCCCTCTCCTGCTGTTTTCTGGGCGACTTCTTAGGCAGACGCAAGACGATTTTTCTCGCAGCGTGCATTATCATCATCGGTGTCATAATCCAAGCCACACCATTCAGTCTCGGCCAACTCATCCCTGCGAGGATCATCACCGGGCTGGGAGTTGGTGCTTTCACCGCGACAGTCCCCATGTGGGTTACGGAGTGTTCCAAAGCACACAACCGTGGCAGGCTGGTAATGATGGAAGGTTGTTTTGCAATTGGTGGTGTTTGCTTCGCAACATGGCTCGACTTTGGCTTTTACTTTGTCAAAAACAACTCTGTCAATTGGAGGTTTCCCATTGCATTCCAATTAGTGTTTGCGCTGATTGTACTCTCGTTGATTTTTTATTTGCCAGGTATGACAGACCGAACCATTTCTTGTTAGCGCCTGGCTCACTCTCGCAGAATCGCCCCGTTGGCTGATCAAGCAAGACGATTATGAAGGTGCCATGGACTCACTTTCGCGCCTGGAAGGCTTGCCCAGAGACTCAAGATTGATCGCCCACGAGATTAGTACGATCAAAGCATCAATTGATGCAGAGCATGTGGGAACCTCGGGGAACCCGTTTGCAACAACGAGAAACCGGCATCTGCATCGAACTCTCCTGGCAATGGCCGTCAATATGCTGGCCCAAATGACTGGTGTCAACATTGTCACATTTTACTCGAACACCATCTTCCAGAACATCCTCGGGTACTCGCCAGTTCTGTCGCGCGTCATATCAGGCTGCCTGCAAATCTGGCAGTTCTTGTGCGCCACACTCGCAATGTTCCTGGTCGATCGGATCGGCCGACGCAAGTTGCTCTTGATTGGCTCCTTTGGAATGATTATATCCCAGTCCGGCCTTGCAGCGCTCACAAAGTATGCACCCGGGGATAAGCGCGTCGCTGGAGCCACTTTGCTCTTCGATTTCATGTCTCTCTTCTTCTTTCCCATTGGCCTGTTTCTGATCCCTTTCATGTACGCCGCAGAGATCTCTCCCCTCCGCATCCGCGCAAAAGTCACTGCAATGTCAGCGTCAACGAATTGGATCTTCAATTTCCTCTTGGCCGAGGTCACTCCGCTTGGGTTTGACAATCTCGGATGGAAATATTACCTCGTCTACGTCTGCACAAGCTCCCTGGCGTTTGCAGTGTTTTTCCTCTTCTGTCCAGAGACCAAAGAGCGACCACTTGAAGATATCGATGAGATTTTCTTGAGATCGAGCAATATCTTTGAGCCTGTGAAGATTGCAAAGACATTGCCGGTTGGCGCAGGCGCGGAGCTAGATATAGAGAACGAGAAGGCCGAGCAAGAGGAAGTGGTCGTGCAAGTGTCATAAGCTGGGTTTTTGTAAGATCTTTATTGAACATTGCTAACAGTCTTTGTTCGCATAACAATCCTTTCTACTAGGTTACTCCTTTGGCGATTTAATGTACCAACCTTTGTTCCCTCCTTCGTGCGGGATTTAGCAAAGCAACACCCTTACAGCATCCTGCTCATCGCCTTTCTCGCTTGGCTCTCGCTCAAGATCCACGTAGTTCCACTAGCTTTTAGAATGTACGTAGTAACTGCCGAGCTCAGGAAACACAGATTTTGTAATAAGTATCCTTTGATACAAACACAGGTCCACACGTAGGTGCTCACAATGATACAAACAACAACCCCCTACCAATCTTGCTCGTCTAATAACCTCTCTAGCTCACGCACAGGCTCTATTGACGGTGGATTGGGAACTTTGGCTCTCCATGTTTCACGCCCGTCCTTGTAAACAACCAGGGTTGGCCACCAGACCACTTCCGCCTCACGCTGAATTGTACTACCCGGCTCGATAAGTCCATTTACCTGGTGGGTGAGCGTTGTTAGCCCCTATACCTGGGTTCAGAATGGACAGCGGCAGATATGCCATGTGACAAGAGAGGGCCTGTGTAGTCCTGGGTAGACACACCATCGCTCTGTGCTAATGGTCTCTAGAGAAGAAAACGATTCGTTCGAAAAGGGTACACTAACCTTAAAAAACCGGATGGTCTTGTTCGAGTCTTTATTGGCGATTGCGTCGTAGAGCGGTGCAATGACCTGAAACATGTCAGCGAGACCATGTAAAAAGATCTCCGTAGGAGAAAATTGTAATCGGATTTGGGACATTGCAGTCTTGTACTGATGGTTCATGACCGAATGGCGTGGTGCAGATTCATACCTTGCAGGGTGGACACTGCGTCGAATAGAAATCGATCACAACCACGCCAGGTTTGGTAAGTTCTTCGCGATATAGTTCGGGTGTGGTAAGTTCTGCGATTGCCATTTCTCAATGTATGTGTGTGTATAGTTCCTGAATGTGTGATTTTCGGTCTTGGAGGTATGTATACGGATCAAGGCGTGTAAGCGCTATGCAGATTGTGTCTATATATTGGAGTGAGCTAACTTAGGGCTGGTCTTTATTTATGTGGCCAGGGTTCAGGACGCATCTTGATATTTGAAAGAGAACGAAAAGCGGCAGATCCTTTCTTGCCAGCTTGAGGAGCGAAATTATCGATCGGTCTATCCAACCGGCCCAAGCAACAACTCCGGCACGGTATCCCCAATTCGTACTACCCAGAAACCAAAGAAAAGTCCCATTCCACTTGCCAAGGTGAATTTTTGTGGGTCGAGTATAAGGTGCAAGAGTATTCCACTATGGCGTGCTGTTATCAATGTAAGAATACTTTCCGAAAGCCTTGCGTAAGTGGGGTTTTTCCATTAGAACAGGGCAATCAGTTCAAGCGGAAGGAGTCACGATACCATCTGGAGAGGGAACAGGATACCCAAGTCTATGCAGCTCAGTGGCTCGAGTTCGGCAGTAAAGTACAAGAAAGCTCAGGCCCGCGCAACAAGGTTAACAACTATGGTGGCTACTCAAGCACAATCCAGCGAGCCGTATTCTTCAATGACGCTCTTCGGCTGGCTATACTCACCAACGGGGTGGTACTGTATATTGTCATACCCATAAGACTTTGGTCCACCAACCTCAAGACCTCGAGGTGTCTCAGTCCATCGCGGAGAGCAAGCAATGGCCAGAACAATGACATGACACCCGTACCGATACTCAGGAACACCGACAGCGCGTCCACTCTGCTTGTCGATTACAGTGATCAAATCAGGCACACTGGCAAGAACCTCTGTGCTTCCATCTGCGCCGGCATGTTCGGCATAGATGTTCTCATTGATGAAAGGAATGCGCAGCGTTCCGTCGGTGTAGCCTTGCGAGGTGTACCCAGTTTCAGCTTCTATAAGCCCCCCACCAGTGATGTGTAACACCCCTACAGAAAGACCTTTGTGCAATGTGCGTTCAATCGAGGTGATTTTGCCACGATACAGGATTTTGGCGCTTCTTGGACCTCCGACTTCTTCGACAATCCTCTCTGCGACAAGAGAGATCGTGTTGCTTGAGTCAGCACGCGCCATGGCTCTCCCGATTCGCCATGCTAATGAAACAGTGTTGAGGACAGCGTATTTTTGGACAATCTCGCCTGTCGTCGGCCGTCCTGCTAGTCCTACCAGCGAGCCAAGCTCCGTGATTGCACCGCGCAGCGGCTTGTCAACGTCTTCGTCACGCGGCGCTCGCGTCATCAGCATAGTGCGGCCGGTGCCAGAGTCAATCGCGCATGGCACAAATTCGCCTGGTCGATGCACGGTCAATGTGATCTGCCAGCACATTGGATTGGCACGACCCATCAAGTCTGCGTCCACAACAGGCCGATCAAAGAAGCGCGAGGATCCCCAGAGACAAGGCTCTAGGCCGTTGGATCCGCCGATCTCGAGTCCCATGACAGCATCAAAAGCATCCTGGTGTAGGTACGACATGAGTTCTCTGATTGCTAGGACAGTCTCGTGGGCTTGCAGACGCTCTGATATTGCTGCGGGCGATCCCATACGGCCTCCCCAATAGACTGTTGACGTTTTGGAAAGGGAACATGAATCGATTACGCGGATTGTATGTCCTAATGAGAGCATGGCTTGTAGTTGGATTTTGCCAGCGTAAGGAGGACCACCGCCGCCGCAACCAAGCAGGTAACATCCATCCGCGATGTAATCCAGGTCCACTGAGGTAAGATGCCATTCAAGGACGCCGGTGATAGTGTTGCGAATTATGGTGGGTCGGTAGCTATCGTGATCGATGCGTTTGAGTTCTGCCACACTGGCTACTTCACTTGGTGGTTGCAACTCTGCAGCCTCGCCAATACTGTTATCGCCATCGTCCTGCAATTCTGGCCGAGGGTGGTTGGTCTCAAGATCAACTTCACCAATTGCCTTGATGACGACACGGCTCTGGTTGCTCAAGTATGGTATCGGCATTACCTCAATTTCGGCGATGTATACACTGTCTTCGATCGCACCCAATGATACAGCTTTGCGGATCGCCCGATTTTTTGCTTCCGTCACTATTTGATCGTGAGTTTGTCTCGACGTATCTCGAATTTCGTCGATCTGCGCACCAACTTTGGAGCATGCGGCACCGACCGCGTTGGCCACATCGTGATAAGGAGGTATCGTTACACTTGAGGCTCCTGCCAAGTCAGTGGGTGCTAGTATCGATCCCCCTCCAACAAGGAACACTGGGAGCGGAGCTGGAGAAGTCTTGACCGTGTCTACTGCTTCCTCGAGAAGCCTCCTTATTCGAAGTCGCGCCTGGGTGACGAGATTGAGATCGAGATGCGATACAAGGTTTTGTGATCCTACTCTTGCATTGCCAGCGGCAACTACAATGTCAGTCGCCGTAGTAATGTCACCACCAAATACCAGAGCTTTTGTCAGGATATCTTTGCCGACAGATTTCGGTCCGACTCGAACGCTGTCACCAGATGATGCGCTGACGATAGAGCCTCCTCCCAAGCCAATTGAAAATAGGTGTGGTAAAGAGTAATTGACCTTCACTTCAGCAACGGAAGAGTATGCCGATGCCTGCCTGGGAAGGCCAGATGGCAGCAAGACGCCCACATCGGTCGTCGTACCACCAATATCGACGACAATTGCTGAGATCCGGCTGCTTCCAGTAAGAGTATGACCGGATAAATGTGCAGCTCCTCGCATGGAATTGGTGACTCCGGAAGAAAACGTGCGTATAGGAGTTCGCGCGGCTCCTGCTGCGTCAAGCAGAGTTCCATCATTCTGTGTCAGGTATAGGGGACACCTTGACATGCCCAACCGGCCCATGGCCGATTCAAAACTTCGAACAGTTCTTCTAGCATATCGTAAAATGGCCGCGTTAAGGATTGCTGCATTCTCTCGCTCAAGAAACCCTGGTCCTGGTCAGACGGAGGATCATGAATCTACGGTGTGCGTACGTACCGATGTTTGCAACCTCATGTGAGCAGACCACATCAATGCCCGGAATTTCACGGAGGATGATCTCTTTGACTTTTTCCTCTTGTCGGAACTGAGTGTCGATAGGTGAATAAACTCCTGCCACAACCACTGCTCTTGCTTTTCGGGTACGAATATCAGAGCATGCCCGCACAACCTCGTTTACATCGATAGAGGCCTCTTCCGTGCCGTCGATATTCAAACCTCCACCCACGTAACCCACGTAGCTCTCGATAATCGCAGCTAGGTCCCTAGGCCATTCCGAGAACGGCTTAACGTCACGCAAGAAGCTCCTAGATAGGCGCAAAACCGCGACGCGGCTCAGATGGCGACTCTCCCTTTGGATCACGGCATTGAGAAAAGCTGTGGTTCCAATGGTAATGGAAGCGATTTGATCAGGTGGGACACCAGAGATTTCCAAAACTGCACGGATGGCTGACTCGACGCCTGAAGTGGTGTCGGGGGTGGTGGGAGTTTTGTGAGTAGCGAGCACGCCACGGTTCTGTTCGGCATGGCGTTTCGGGTCGAGAACCACGGCGTCAGTATTCGTACCTTGAATGCATCTGCGTCAGCTGTGAACTTATGGGTGCAGGTCGTATGGCAACCTCACCTCCGACATCAACTCCAACTCTCATTTTGCGCGCCATGAATGCTATCGCTTTGGAGTTTCCGCGACAACTTGACCTGCGACGAAGGGTGCCGAGGGAAGACCGATATGGCGAAGATCGCTAGTTCTAGAATCCTAGGAAAGGTATAATAAGCTGGAACGGATCGGGACTCGATGGAAATTTGCGTTTGAAATTGACATCCTGTGTTCCAAATTTGGACAGGGAGACAAGCAATTCCACACCAGAAATCTGATATTGAAGTGCCGGGCGAGGTATGCAACCTTGCACTGAGCGGGCTCCCAAAGGTCTGGGTCGGGCTAGCCAAGTTCTTAATCATTCCTCTACTGGATGTGTCAGTGTCTACTAGTTAGAGCTCGGACGTCAAAGAGGGTCGACGTTGGGCCGCAGTGGATTAGAGTGGATTGTTATCGTGAACCACGTGGGTAATAAACCGAGATTCAGAGATCACGACATTTCCTCGATCGATGGTGCGATTAACGCGACTCTTTGATATATGCTAGAATGCCTTTCTTGAACTGGAACAGTGAGCAGGATGTATCAGATCTGCAACGCCGGAAGGAAGAAACAAAAACAGGGCCAAAAAGATGGCCGCCCTTCGAAAGATTCAGCGTAAAGTCGAGTTGCACCAAGGCAGCGACGATATTCCGCCCAACCGCTGGCAGAATCGAGACTTGATACCCCTTCCGCCTTGTACGTATTCAAGCTCCGGGGGTCTGCAATTGACATGCTGCTGATTTACTAACCTTGCGAGCAGCCCGGCGACAATGGCGAGATCTTGACTTCATTGGCCTCTGGAGCACAGTCTTCCTGACCGTCTACGGGTGGCAGGCAACTGCCTCCGTACTCTCCTTCGGCCTGAATGTGTGGCAGTCAATCATCTGTACGATTATAGCGCGAGTCATCCAGCTTGCTGTTGTTCTCAGCCTTGGCTGGTGGGTGGAGAGATCGTTGGACTGGCGAGGGCCCGGCTGACCATATACAGGATGGGTGGCGTATGGCACATTGGATATACTGTACAGTCCAGATTCACTTTTGGTGTCTGGGGCTCGTATTTCCCCATATTGATCCGTGTGGGAGTAACTTGCGGTATGGGGTGAGTCGTTTTTGATTTACAACAACTAACGAGAATTTCGTAGTCTGGTACGGCATTCAAAGCTTCACTGGAGGCCTACTTGTCAGTACAATTCTCTCGACCATATTTCCCTCTTACCAGCACATGAAGAACACGCTTCCCGCGTCAGCTTCGATGACAACGAAGCAATTTGTGGGCTTCGTTCTATACAACATCAGTAAGCAGCCATGCATCTCTATCTGTGTCTCGGGCTATCTGACCTAAGCTCAGTTGCAATTCCAATGTTGTATTTCCCACCTGACCGGCTCCGTGTGCCTCTGAAGGTTGCATTGGGGATAAGTGCTTGCACCATTTTCGGGCTGTCGATTGGCTTGATGGCGGCGGCGCATGGAGTGGGTAACTATATTTCCACCAAGACGACGGCCAAGGCAGGCTCTGAGCTGGGTTGGGCGTTTGTTCACGGCATTACTGCTCTTGTAGGCGGCAATGCGGTGGGAATGACCAGCCAAACCGATTTCTCACGGTTTGCCCGGCACCCGAGGGACCAGGTATTGGGCCAGTCCTTTGGGGAACTGTTCTTTGGAGTCGTCGTTCCTGTCTTTGGTGTGCTGGGTACCTCAGCCGCCGGCAAGATGTACGGAGATGTCAATGAACTGGGTTTATGGAATCCACCCAACATCGTACAGCTGTGGCTGGACACCGACTATCATAACCCGAAGTTACGTGCGGCAGCATTCTTCACCGCCCTCGGCCTGTTGGCAAACATTATGGCCCTGAACTCGGTTGAGAACGGTGTCTCGGGAGGTATGGATTTTGCTGGACTGTGCCCAAAGTACATCAATATTCGCCGGGGATCCTACCTCATTGCCGTCATCTCGATACTGCTCAATCCCTGGCAAATCCTGGCGAAGGCTTCTACATTCACTGCAGCACTTAGCAGTTTCGGAGGTAAGCTGACGACCAACCATGCCCTTAATTGTCGCTGAAAATTAACTCGTTCAACAGTTGTCCTAGGGCCCATGATGGGTGTCTTCACATCGGAATACTACATGGTTCGTAAACAAAGAGTCAAACTCAGCGACCTGTACCACAGCGACCCTAGAGGCATATACTACTTCTGGAGAGGCATTAATATTCGCGCCTATGTCTCGGCTACAGTTGGAATTGCCCCCTTTATCGGTGGCATGGCATCAGTTAACCCAAATAACAACATTCCGATTGGGTTGACACGAACATTCTACCTCGGCTTCATAGCAGGCTACGTTATTTCCTTCCTTACCCAATGGGGACTGAATGTTGCCTTCCCACCCGCTGGGCAAGGAGAAGTTGACGAATATGACACAGTAAGTTCACATGATGTAATGAAGAGCGAAGATACTAACAAGATCAATCAGTTTGGTACTTTCACAGAGGATGAGGCTCACAAGCTCGGTATTAAGACAAACTTGGAAGCTGGAGATGTACTCGAACAGATAAACCTCGAGGCATTGAATAAGAAGGATCGGTTAGGTGAAGGTAGGAGCGTAGCCTCCTGATTTACCACGTCAGTCCCGTGGCTCGGGTTTTAAGCCATCGGAAGATGATCCCAAGAAAGCTACTCGCGATACATGCCCGAATTACTTGTTTCCCACAAAATTCATATTTCAAAGTTGGAAATCCTCCGTGTCCCGCAGGCAAAGGATAAGATGAACATTATGACATCCTGGGGGGTAAGTAGACACAGCTGGGAACGTTACCTCAAGTGTTACAGAGTCCTCCGTCAACAACTAGAAATCGCTTCCGAGACAAGCGCTACGCTGCGGTGAAGACGAGGGACCCGAGGGCTAATTGAAAGAGGGCGTATATTTAGGAACATGGCCGCAAACTTCGAGGAAACAGTGGGAGTCGATGAGGCCATGGTGAACGTAGCTATCTGTGTCGCTCGTCATTCGCCCTGAGCGAGGACCATTCGATATGTGACTGTCTCCGAAGCAATCTGTCACATACCTACAACAAATGAAGCTGCGGGGGAACCGGCGGCTCTGGATGGCCCCTCTCAGTACCCTGTGGGAGAGGGACCTACAATCAAGCGTCCAAAGACTGTGGAGCCGGTACAATCCGGGCCCATTTATTCAAACCTAAAGTTCAGAGCGTCATTTTGTAGTCTGCGGAGAGATTCGAACTTTGCGGGTCGACAACAACGGTGGCTACCGTCTCGTCAAGGGTAGGGTGTCCTGGAGCAAAGAAGGTGGCGGGGAACAGAACGAAAATGGCCTGGCCACTTGAAGATCCTGGTGACATCCCTCCTAATGTTGAATTCCTCACGGGCAGTTGTAGAGGAGCTCAAATCGCTTGATATGATCGTGAATGCCCAGGTACGAAAAGACATCCCTGCGTCGCATAACACAGAACAATAAAATATTTGCAATTACTATTTTCAGACACATTGCTCTCAAGGGCTGCGATGTCTTCTGCTATCTCAACATGAAGGGACAACGAGAGTCAAAGAGAGTGCGCCAGGCTTGCCAGAATTGTCGGTGCGTACTGATCTACTTTGCCAGTATTGCAATGAAGCTCTTATTGCTAATTCAATCTGTCCGAAGACGAAAGAAGGCGAAATGCGACGGACAGCGACCTTCTTGTAATTTTTGTTCTCGGTTGAATCAAGAATGCGTTTATGGCGATGGCCCAGTCGTATGCCACCATGCTTTGCCCAGAGCTCAGGTCAATGCCGATGTAAGGTGCTACCATCCGCGGAATAAGTGCTTTTCGACTCAGCTGACGCAGGCCTAAGGAGATCGGTCTTGCGACCAGAGTGTCATTATTAGAAGCAAGATTCAGCCTTATGAATGAGATGGATCATCGTGCGAAGAGCAAGGCGTCGCCAGGAGCAGGCTCTGCCGCGTCCAGTCCCGGGTCAACATCTCAGAGCTTTCGGTAGGCTTCACACGATTCAGGTTGTTACAGATATTAATATTACACCTGCTGATTCTTGTGAGATATAGCAGCAAGTACTCACAGTTACCTCCAGAACCAGTCCTTCGATCTCTTCTCGACACTTTTTTTCGCTCGTGCCAGAATCAGCCATACGTTTACTTTCGCCAGGCGGTATTCTACCGTCGACTGGAGGACAAAGAATATCCGGACTATCTTCTTCTTGCCATGATCGCCCTATCTGCCCGCTTCTCTGATGAGCCCTTCTTTGAGTCTCAGCAGCTGGCGGCGGTGGATTTCTACGGTCGAACCGCGTGGAGCGAGATTTTTGACCAGGCTTTCGCCGACGACACCCAGCTTTTAGATATCCATATGGTGCAAGCAACGAATCTTTTGGCCGTGGTAGATTTCACAGGTAACTTTTCTCCATTCATGCTTTTCCCACGACTGACTAGATTTTGCAAGCCGGTCGCCATCGTCTCGGTTGGGTCAAGATCGGCTTAGCGGTCAGATTTGCGCAGAGTTTGCAACTTAATACAGAGCCACGATCGGACTTGCCATTCGAGGAACAGGATGAGAGGCGATTGACATTTTGGTCCGTCTACTTGCTTGATAGACTAGCCTCCTGCGGTGCCTACCGGCCATCGACGATTGCAGACAGTGATTGCTCCACCCTACTCCCTTCAGATTGCCCCGACGCGCACCAGACAATGCCTGGGTTGCGACTACTAGAAGAAATGCACACTATTCATGAGACAAGACACATGGATCCTTTCACATATACGATTCTCATGGCGTCGGCATTAGGAAGGGTGGAACGACAGGCACTCCAACAACAAGGATCTACCGATCGCTATCCTCCCTGGGATTCCCGAAGCGACTTTGCGGCCATCTACAGCTTGCTTCTGAGTTTCGAAGGATATTCCAGGGTGACTGACGCTTCAGTCTCGGATGCAGTTCGAACCCACTACCTTGACCTAGAGGGATCAATCGATTAGCAGAAAGCAGGGCATTTTATCTTTGCCACGATGCTTTGCCATATGAACCAATGTATTTTGCATCATCCCTATCTCTTTCGCAAGCGGCTGCAGTCATTTGAAGCTGCAGTACCACTGAGTTTCATAACTGAAATCCTCCGACGGTCGTTTGGGTATGCAGAACAATTGATCTCTACCGTGAGAGCGATACAGGAGCTTGGGATGGCCATCAGCTCATTTTATGGCTATCCAATGGTTGTCGGGGGAGTGATTTGCAAGCTCTTCTCCTACCATAACGACATTGCGACTCGTAACACCGCCAAACGACTATACCGCCATACCTTGGAGTTTCTCGACCAGGGGCGCAGTCTTTGGGGACATTATCCCAAGATGGTTAGGATTTCTCCCTGACTTCTTTTCCCCCGTATGCATGCTGATGTCATGATTCACAGGCCATTGCGTTAGAGCAATTCAAACCAGATCCTCTGGCTGCTAGAGAGCTTGTCACTGCTTCTCGATCCACAGAGCTCAGTGACGACCCCAGTTTTCATTCCATCGAACACCTCCTTGATTATGGCTGGCTCTCCGATCCCGCCCGATCCATCTCTTTGGCCACGAATGTTGCAGATCCATTGCATCACATTTGGTTCGAGTCTTCTGCGTCCAGTGATGACAGCTCAGTGTCCAATGGAAAGGATTGTGAAGTATCGGGTATTTCAGAAGTGCAACAAGTACGACCCCTTGATCAAAATCGCTTTGACGACGGCGGCGATGTCGTACTCAAAGACATCAATTTTGGTGGCGAGATACACCAACACGAAGGGTTCGACATGGACTTGATAAATCACCTTGAACTACCAATGCAAGATTTCTGGGATAACAGCCTCGGGGAAAATCACCATTCATTCCCTTTGTTGGTACACCGACTAGGGTGTGATAATAGTAGACTGGAGATCAGCTGTGAGGAGTCCGGCTAAACCCAGAGTCGCAAAAGAGTCAATGTTACGTACCTCTATATGTTGTTGATCCCGAGTTATCCAGTATCATATTGAGACCAATTGTGTTAACTATAAAACTCGTGTTTCTTCAGTCCCTTCCATGCTGCTGGAGACGACGAAGCTCATATGGGCAATGTGATTATTCCCGGGGCACGGTGGCCGGACGTCCCGCCCCGGCCCGCTAAGATGGACTGTACTCAGACAGCTAGGAGTAGATTCATTCACTATGCGCCCAAAAGCCCCTAGAATCCACGGTCCGACCAGGAACCTTCGCAGGCCACCATATCTATGACAAGACTTGCGCCGTTCGAACGAGGAAAAACAACAATTGTTCTGGCTGGGGTAGTGCCATCAATTACATTTCTTTCAGGGCTCATTCAGTCATCTCGCTTACAGGCATGACCAGGCAAGACATCAATGAGAATCACGGACCTACCGACCTCGAACGACATGTCTCGTTCTGGGATCGTGACGGGGATGGAGTGATCCACGTGTCCGATGTTTGGAATGGATTCCGTGAGCTCGGATTTTCCATCCCTTACAGCCTCATCAGCCTATTCATTCCCCTCCTATTCTCGTACGCAACTCAGTCAGGTCATCCCAAATGCACGAGACGAGACCCTCGATTCCGAATCTGTGTATACAACATTCACCGTACCATCCATAGCAGTCATTCCGAGGTGTTTGACGATCGGGGCCGCTTTAACCAGGTGAAATTCGACGCCATGTTCAAGCAATTCGACGTGGGAAACAAGGACTATCTTAGCACCTGCGAGTTTCTGCGAATGTGGAGATCAAATTGCGACCCTTGCGATTTTGGAGGCTGGCTTTACAGTTTTATGGAACTCTTCACTACATGGCTACTCATTCAGAAGAATGGACAGATAGCGAGAGCAGAACTCCGCGGAGTCTACGACGGAAGCCTGTTCTATTCCATCAAGGAGTCCAGACACTTTAAGAGAATTCAGAAGAGGTAAAAAGACGTTTTATCTATCTATATCCAGATATTGGAGTGACAAGATAGATCACAGTCACGGTGAGGCCATTGACCTGCTTCGTTGAGACAACGAAAGAAATCAAAGAATAAGTAAATGGTAGATAAAGTCACTATATGAACACCATTATCGAGAGGATCAGTTTACACAATTGTGCTCTGGAGTGTTTTCTTTTCAGGCTCTCGGACAAGCAAGTGTTATTGAGAATACGCGCATCCTCACGCCCTCGCAGCATCATATTCTCAGTTCTAATCTCTCAAGTAACCATGGCGCTATGGAGAATTTCGCTTCAAGAATAGAGTCTGCGAGTTGCAGAAAGACTTTAGTCCGCCGACACCCCATTCTACTCCAATGCCGCTCTGCTTGTGTCCGCCAAATGGAAATCGGGGGTCGAGCTCGAAATGCGTGTTCACCCACACGTTTCCCGCGTCAAGTTTGAGAGCAATATTGTTCGCACGTTCAATATCGTTGCACCAAACCGAAGCTCCTAGGCCCATATGGGTATCATTTGCCAGCTTGATTGCCTCTGCGTCATCCATAAACGTCAGGAAGGGAACTATCGGGCCTATTTCGCGGCTAGCTGTCAGTAGTGACCACGTTTGGATGATCAGGGAAGAGACTACGTACCAAATGACTCTTCCCTCACAATCCTTGAGTCTAGTGGAGGACGTTCAATGATGGTAGGAGTGATAAAGTATCCTTTACCTCCTGGATTTGTCCCACCGACGGCGACCTTCCAGTTCTGTGCTTCTATATCTGCAAAAAGGGTCTTGACCTTCTCATATTGCATTTTGTTTTGGATCGGGCCAAGGTAGACGTCGGGGTCAGTTCCTGGGCCGATCTAATGGATGGCTTTATCAGCGAAAAGCAAGGCTGTGATCATGATTATGTTGTCGTACCTTGAGATTCTTGGTCGCCTCTACCATTGCCTGTAGAAATTCATTTGCAATAGTTTCTTGAACAAATATCCGTTTCAGAGCTAGACATATCTATAGCTTGGTAAGTCATCTGAGCACTCCCGACTCGCAATCGGAATCATAGGCTTACTTGGCCCGAGTTGAGGAATGCGAGCCCTGCGATCTGTCGAATGATTCAGCTGACATTAACTTGAAAACGGCTAACAATTCTCACCTTGGGAGCTACAGCTGCTATGTCCACATTGTCAGTGACAATTGCTGGATCATTGCCACCACTGGTCATCAGATTAAGTAGTCAGCTTTGTACTTCTCCAGTAATTCTAACAAGGGAAACACTCACAGTTCCAGGGTCACTCGTTTTAGTGTCTTGCTGGCGGATTCCATGACCTTCTTCCCGGTGAAGGTCGACCCAGTGAAACTGATCTTGGCCGGGATAGGATGCTCTGTAAGTATGGGCCCCAGACTGTCATCTCCAGACAGCACTTGTACTACGCCAGGAGGGAAGAACCGTTGTGCAAGTTCAACCAGTTTCAAGTCTCCTGCAGGGGTGAATGGCGATGGTTTGATGACAATGGTGTTGCCTGTCACGACGGCTGGAGCAATCTTTCCCGTTGCGAGGAGGATCGGATAGTTCCATGGAACAATGCCGACCGTCACGCCCAGCGGAGTATATCTGACACGAATCTCTTTGTCGTCTTCAAAAACACTTTCCTCTGGAAGCTCGAGTTTGGCGATGTCGCGCATCCATTGGATGGCAAGGTCAAGCTCAAATCGGGCAAATACCAACTAGATAAAGGAAGAAGGATATCAGAGACATTCGGCTTGAAACAGAGAGTATATTTGAAACTGTTAGCCATCAATACGCACCGGTTTGCCCTGCTCCTGGGTCAGGAGTTGTGAAAAGTTTTCTTTCTCAATTTCCAATGCATCTGCAAATGCCAGCACAGCGTGCTGTCTATCTGAATACGAGACTTGGGACCACTTCTCGAATGCCACTTTCGCGGCCTCTAGTGTTCGATCAACATCGCCCTTTGTCGCGACAGGTACTTCTGGCCCAGGTTCTCCAGTAGCCGGATTGATACTACGCCGTGTCTTGGACGTTGTCTCGAGTTCTCCGTTGATGACATTCTTGAAAGAGCTCCAATCGAGGAGTCCTTTGGTACGGTGAACCTCTACACCATTGGTGTGGCCGTCGACAGGGACCTTTTGAGCTGGCATTCTTAATACCTGCGAGTAAAGTGTGGGCTGAACTTCAAAGTTGAGATTGAGGCAAGGACCAACCGCAAATATTTCTGGACTAGTTGGTCCAGTAATCACTTATAGCACGGATTTCGAACAACCCCGCTCACCTCAGGGCCCAACGCAAGAGGACAATAACGCCCGGGCCGGGAGCCGGAGGGTGTCGAGCCAGTATACCAATCTCCCCGATCTAACGTATTTAGTTTGGAGTTTGGAGTCTATGAATGTGGAGGCGCGGGGAGGGCGGCACGGAAAGAGCACGGCATCTTGTTCACAGCATGTAGCTCTCTGATCTGCAACAGTAAGGAGTCAATTTGGTAAACTCACGTCGACAGTTTGTCATAGACACGGATGACCAGATTTGATCAGAACCGTGCTCAGTCTGATAGTCAGTGAGTCTGTAAAGTTTCACTTCAAGCGTGGCAAACCGGCCCGCCATGACCTCAACCATGTTGTGCAAAGGTGAACTATAAGGCAGTCTGAGTTGAGAGTTTCCCTCCACGTCCGCACAGCTTCAGGAGCTCCTTCCAGCATCTCTCCAAGACACGTCGTTTTCATTTGTTTGCACTATTTTCTATTAGGACCTTGAACCACATGATGGATAACGGACTCGATTACGATGTTGATCATGTAGAGAAGGGTCATTCCCAGCAGAAGCTCAATCATGAGAACGGAAGGCCCCAGGGGTTTCCAGACCTCAAACAAGTCCAGACTACCATTACATTATCACCAGAGCAATTTGAGAGGCTGTATCTCGCACCAATTGGCCGTCATCAGCCAGCTCTAGCCAAAAAGTTTGGAAATCCAACACCGCTGTAAGCACCCCTCGTCTCTACTGTGAGGTGCAAAGTCAGAAGACAAGTTTTAACGATCAAAAATCCGTTCAGGGCGATTGCAAGCTTTGTTCCGACAACAACTCCGGTGTCTTGCGCGCTGATGGGATGGAGAGGAGCCGGCAATAATGGCGTTGCCGTCGAGTACGTCGTCTCAGCATCGACTCTTTTGTGCATGATCTCTGACCTTGAGTTTATAGTGGTGCAATGGTGTTTCTTGGTGGAACAATGCTAGTGGTCTCTGGTCTTCTTGAATTCGTCCTAGGCAACACCTTTCCTTTTGTCGTCTTCTGCTCTTTCGGTAAGAGGTGATGGTCAGGCAGTGGGAGATATTCCGGAGCTGACGAGTCTAATCAGGTGGCTTCTGGCTTACTTTCGGATGCACACTGCAAGCTTCGTTCGGTGCAGCCTGTATGTCTCTCATGGTGCTCTCGTAGATCAAAATCGGACGGGAGATTGGGCACTGACATTCTTATCACAGCTCCATATTCAACCACTGGAACCAACACCGCTGAAGGTCTGGCATCAGCAGGGTTCATGAGTACTTTTGGTCAGTTCAGCAAGCAGGAAATCCATTACTCCTTCTAACAACCCGGATTGTAGGCTTCCTGCTCCTCGCGATGGATTTGTTGGTGGTTGTCTATGCTATCTGCGCAACAAGAACGAATGCCGTTTTCTTCACCGTCTTTCTCTCTTTGATAGTCGTCTTCTCGTTACTGACGGCATCGTTCTGGATGTTGGCATTGGGTGATACTGTGGTGGGAGTGAGGCTGTACAAGGTGAGCAATGCAAAATTTTACTATAATCTCTGCTACTTAAACGTTCTAGCCAATCCTCAGGGTGGCGGCGGAGCTCTTTTCGGGACCAGCTTGCTAGGATGGTATCTCCTCACAGGCCAACTATTTGAAGCAGTTGGGATGCCCTTCACTTTACCTGTTGGGGATATGAGTCGCGTATGGAATCTGGGAAAGGACAGAGATTAGGGGAGGTCACGCATCGAACAATACCGCTCAAGTGACAGCGGAGATGGGCTAGGTGAGGAGCAAGTAGCTTTATGATGGACAGAATTCTGACACGGTGGGATTGGTGATTACACCGCGAAGAGTAGGGTCTCGTTCGACCATGTCATCAACCCACACTGCGACAACAGGTAAATAGACAAATCACCATTATTCAAGCTTTCCTTTCCTTGAACGCTTAAAGGGATACCTGCAGCTGGAGACCTCCGATACTCCTTTGTTGAAAGCCTTCCTAGATATAAAAGATATAAGAGGAGTATGTCAGAATAGGCCATCAGATGCGTCCCCGACCTCCTGTGGTCACTAGCCACTCTTCACCTAGTGACTATATAGTTATCACATCCTCGAGGCCCCAGGTAAAGACAACAGAGATTCTTTCACCCATCGTTTCGCTCCCTCAACGACGATAGAGTAAGGAGTGTATGCGTGGCTCCACAGTAAACATCATCAACAGTGCTATCTGAAGTAGATGGTGGCTTTTCTGCTCCCTATACTTATATGAGACTAAGAACTGGACTAAGATCTAATTCTACATAGTCATATAATCCCAGGCTTACCTTTTTCGTTAATCGTAAGCCCATCCTCCAGTAGCCGTCTCCTCAATCGCAGTGATTGCATGGTCATTGTGACGGACGAAATTGACATCAAAGCTGCCCCTAAGGAGCTGGGCCACAAAATACTTGCGTTAGTTTCTTCTGTTTGGTTCACACAGTGGGCGGTGAACTACTTACGGTTTGAGAGTATACCCCAGGGGCCTCACCATACCGGTGGCGAGACTCAAGGCAACGAGATTATAGCAAAAGGCCCAAATGACATTCCAACGGATCTGGCGCATTGTCTTTTGGACAATAGTGCCGAGTAATTGCAAGCACGCGAGATCAGAGTTGAGAATCATGACTGAACCTCCGACTGTCGCAGCCGATGAGTTACAAGTCATGATGATTCCCACATCAGATGCTGCCAGGCTTGGGGCGTCGTTGAGGCCGTCGCCCACCTGTCAGATATCTATCAGCATCTTTTCTGGTGACAACAGAGCCTGCAAGTCTAAAAGTGACCAATTTACCATTGCTACTTTCGAACCAGCCTTCTGAAGTGACCGGATATGTCGAAGCTTGTCTGACGGACTGGCTCGAAATGCGAGTACTGGTATCCCTAACTGAAGCCCCACTCGGGACGCCTCAGCTTCAGCATCTCCAGTCAACTAAAATCAGAAATATAGAGATCAACAAGTCGATCGGCTGGTCTGGCTTCCCTCAACATACCATAGCGACCCCATAACCCCGATCAACAAGATTTCGTAATGTCTCTCCTGCTTCCGGTCTGATCCGGTCCTGTCCTATGTTTCAATATGAGATGGAATTAGCTGGACATTCACTCACCTGTAGATATAATGTCGCTACCAGAACCCCGTTGATCCCAATATGTACAGCGATACCTGACAATGGTGGCGTCGCTGGGGAAGTGTCCCAACAGGGAGCAACAGAATTCTCTCGCAAGAACTCTTGGCTGCCGATCAAAACACGATACCATGAAGACGAACCATGAGCATCCTCAATGCCAATCTTACCAACAACTCCGCGACCTGGGACGGTGGCAGTCTCACATATTTTTGGCCGATCGACGGAATCTAGCCACCTGGTACCAATCTCCTGAAGCCCCTTTTTGAACAAAGCCACCCCTACAGGATGTCCGTTTGCCTCTTGTTCTTCGAGTGTGCACACCAGCGTCCATAGCATGATCTCCTTACCATCCCAGGTGGGATGCAATGTAACGCTTTCAACTACGAAGGCTCCTTCAGTCAGAGTCCCGGTCTTGTCGAAAACAATCATGTCAACTTGCTCCAGCTCTCGGAGGGTTGAGGCTCCCTTGGTCAAGAGGATTCCTTTGGAATGCGCGGCATCTTGATGAAAGTAATTCAGCTCGAGTTCGAGGGTAGACCTCAGGCTTTGCGAAGGGACTCACCGATTGCCGCGACAACGGCCGATGGCACCGCAAGGCCAAGAGCACATGGACATGCGCTGACTAGTATGGTCATTATACGCTCGACAAATCTCGATAATCCCACATAAAACCCGACTGGGTGCCGCTTTTGTTGGTAGAACAGCTCCAAGGGTGGTGAAAAGATCGCCAGCAACACCACTGCCAGAGAGAACCAGCGAGTTACCGCATCGATCATGCCTTGGCCTTTTATTTTGTTGGCACCAGCTTCAGAGACACTTCGGACCAATTGAGCATAGAACGACTCTTCACGTTCCCTGTGGACGATGCATAACAGACTTCCGTTGAGATTCTTGGTTCCTGCCAGTAGGAAGTCGCCCAATGACTTTGTTATGGGCAAGGCCTCGCCCGTCACCAGTGACTGATTGAAGGTGGAAGTGCCTTGAACCACGTAGCAGTCGCAGGGAACTACGCAGAATGGGTCGAGCTTGATGGTGTCCCCCGGACGTAGAAACGAGCTGGGTACTTTCTGCCCTCGCCCATCCGTTAGTATTTGAATAGTTATGGCTTAGACTGTCACCAACCTTGCCACTTGGGTGCAATTTAACATAGTCGCGACCTGAGAGTCCTTCATACAGCTTGACGAGATGTTTGGAAGCCTGTCTTCTGGATAATTTGTCGAGATATCTTCCCGCGACCACAACCAAAGTCAATCCTGAAGTCGTCATCGCGTAGGACGTCGATCGTAGCGGACCCACAGCCAGTATGTCGAGAACGGTGAACAGGAGTCCCACCACAGTAGAGAAAGAGATGAGGGAGTTCATATTTAGATGTTTCTTTTTAAGCAGTCGCCAGCAGTCTGAATGAATCCAGCCCGCACATTAATACTGGCTGATGACGGTAATGAGGACTTGGGAGAGACGAACAACACCCACCCATGTCGCCGCCGCGAAGCTCTCGGAACTCCATCTGCCAGCAATACTACCAGTAGAGGCGAGGAGCTGTAGAGAAGCCCCGTACCGTGCCAACCCGGAGAAGGATGCCCTTAGCAGCGCAAGATCCTTTTTCAGCTGCAAGAGCTCCAATACCTCACTGTGTGTCCGAGAGCCTAGGCGTGCCTCATAGCCAGTCTCACGGACGACATCAATCAGTCGCGCGTTATCGAGATGCTTCCCGGTGCTGAGAACCACAGACTCGTTTGTCTGGAGAGATGTGCGCACCTCTTTGACCTCGTCCAAGAGCTCAAGTGCCTCATTAACTGTTTGCACGCATGTCGAACAAGTCATGCCGTCGATAGACAGGATTACCGATGTTTGGTCTGTGTTGTCATTGTAGCTTTCTGGCCCACCATCCCGTGTGTCGTCCTGGGCTTTCCCCGATGCGATGGTTGGGTCTCTCTCATCATTATACTGGATTGTCTGATCCAGATCCAAGAATTGGCATGTTTTGACCAGTTGGCCAACGCAAAATGCTGCTATGTAGCAACAAGCCATTTGCGCTTCCCTTACACTTCAGACATTTCGAATCCGACTGCTATTTAGTTGACTACACTAGTTAGTTACTGAGGCTTGCAATCGCGGAAGGTTGGAGACTAGCTGCTCGAGAATATCTGAGCCCCAATCATTTCGGGCCGAGAGTGGGCCCGGCTCAACCGGGCCGAAGTTTGTCTCTTAAGGGAGCTTGACTCTCAAGGCCGGAGACTCTACTATGGGCGCGGATGGGAGTACGAGTTGCTCGGACCAACGATGTGGGATGATGGAAGAGTGTAGAATGGCTTGCATGACTCCTCGACTTTTATGGCCTCCCGGCCCGTGATCGACAATGTCGAGTGTTTGTTGAATTCTACTACACCGGAACGCGGGCAATGATGCGGGGAAGTCACTGTCACCACAGCGCTGAAAGTGTGAATATGGGCAGAGTAGGTATATTTCCTTCTAGTGACGATCTTGCAGCAGCACTGGTGCTATCCTCTGTCTTGAGACTATGCCTTCGAGCTCCCACGATTCAATGCCTGAACGTTGAGTTTGCACTGTACGAAGTACATTACCTTAACGTAAGGAAACTATACGTCGATCACGTCCAAGTTTCCATTTGATAGGCGTGAAATGGTGGCCAGATGTATGTATTGTTAAACTTAATTTTAATACGTCCACATAACGTCAATACCATACTGCGTGCAAGTGGAACACCCTTCGAGAGCCTTAATCATTCTTGTAATCAGTCATGCTTCCCCAAGTTTCTTTCAAATGCCCTCATGCGATTCATCCCCATCTAATCCTGAGGCTTGATAATAATCTGAGTTCGACCGTTGATGGCGACTTTGGCCGAAGCCTTGCCTTCAGCATCGGCAACCAGAGAACCACCTGTACTCAAAGAATATGACTTGCCGGGAGCCAGTCGCTGGAGTCCAAGTGTGAAAGTACCCGGATCTTGACCGTTGTAAAGCACGAGATCAAGATCCTTGCCGGTGTGACTGTATGCTTTGGCCACAAGCACTTCGGGGAATGGTGCATCCTCCAGCAGCGGTCCGGTCAGCACCTCTTGAGATGGTCCGTACAAGGTAGCATTGGCAAGATCGCGGCATTTAATCATCCGGGCCATCAGAGCAATAACTTGTGTGGTTGCAGAAAGACCCGTGTTTCTCAAAGATCCAGACTTGGTAGTCTCGACAGGGAAATATTTTGTGTCGATTTGCTCCAATGCTTGTTTGGGCACTGTTTCGTCGCCAAATTCGGCGGCGGTTGTGGCAATGAAGGCTCGCAACGGGCCCTCGCCGGCTTTGTAGTTACTGGGGTCCATCTTGTCTGCACCCTTAAGGCCGTTGACGGTCAGATTGCCGCTCTTGTCATAGGTCAGGAACTCCTTGCGAATCATTGCCCAGTTACGGTGCGCCAAATGTGGGAGATACGCAGTGAGCAACATCGCGTTGATACAATCCGTCAAGGTACCGCAGAGCCCCGGAAGCTATCATTCAAGTCAGTCTCCAATGTAATTGCTTAGACGAGCTAGACAGGCTTACTGTCAAACCTGTAAACTCGCTACGGATGGGTAATATGCGCCCATCTGTCTCAGTGAACTCTTCCTCAAGAGACTTACTAAATCTGTTTCGTAGCTTAGCAGCCAGGTCCCGTCCCAATACTCGGTCGGCAATCACAAGCCCGGCCATTCCGGTCAAGCTATACAGAGACTTAGCATTCGCCACTGTTTGCGCAAAGCAATATTGACTCACTTGCAGAGGGAATAGGTCCAGTTAGGCTCGCATGGGTAAAGACAGTATGGGTTCTGCGTCATGTTGTCGTTAAGAGCATCTGCAAGCCCTTCGAAATTTGTCTTGTAATGCTTGCCGTCATCGATGACAAACTCAAGTGCGTTCTTTCCCATATATCGTCGGTCTCCAGTGACTTGCGAGTACAGGCCAATGACGCAACTGAGATAGCCTGTGACCATCTGAATTGAGTGTGAGCAAGGTTATACCAATCCTGATTGAATGGACCCACAATGTTATCCTTCTTGATGGGATCCCAGTCACTCAACGTAAATTTTCCAAAGATAGATTCCCATTTCCAGTACCTAGATTGCTATTGTCAATGAGGTCCTTTCACATAAGAAAGGCGACACTTACGACATGATCCGCTTTTGAAGGCTCTTCTCGATGCAATTTTGCGAAGCTTTAGACAAGTAGCCATGGAAGCTTGGAGCATAGTGACATTGATAAAGGCTGAGAACATCGACGACCCCATACAGTTGGTATCGAACAGCACCGGTCTGGAATTGATCGATAACATCGTGAAAGCTGAAGTCATTCTTTGGGCTCAATCCTCGCTCAATCATATACTGTACGTGGCGAAGGGTCTCCAGATCCAATTCTCGGCTTCCAGGAGCAGGGGCTTGCTGGGCATTTGCACGTTGCTCCTTGACTGCTTCAACGAGATACTTGTTGCGCTCTTGAGCCAAAGTATATCCAGCCGCATTGAGTTGTCGAGCATTGTGCATTAGCCATGCGATACCACCGTAGCAAAAGACTGCCCAAACGACACCAGCGTTGTCAAAGAGCTTTTCCTGAGCCAGCGCGCCAGCGGCCACTGCAGAGCCCAGCCACAGTGCAATAGGGAAGAAGATGCCGCCCATCGCGAACCACATAAAGATGGTGATAGGGAACAGGACCAATGTCAACAGAAAGGCTCCTAGGGCAGGGATGGTGCCAACGCCGATGAATCCTGCTCCAGGAAATAGCAGACCCAAAGCAGCAGCTCTGTACGCTGTGGATGAGAGGTTGTTGAACGACCAGATGCCAATCAAGGACATGGCAATGTATTGATACAGAGTCCGACGTTGGTGATACTTCTTGATCAAGCCTCTTCCCGCGTTCGGTGGAATCAAGACATCTGATCACAGTTGATATATAACGTTCAAGATGGTAGCATGAATACGTACCTTGGAGTTTCCAAGGGCCCCATTCAAAATCACCGACACCGGTGTACGATACCGGTTGCCTGGCCTTGGTGTCGCCGTTGACCAAGGTGAGTTCATTCGAAGGAAACTCATGCTCCCCTATCAGGTGCATAGGCTGCGGCTTTGTTTGGATCTCAGTGGCCTACAATTAAGAATTTCAGTGAAGATTGCGGGAACCTGGTAGGGGAACGTACTGTTGTCAACATTGTGATTACTCTCAGTCCTGTCGAGTCTTTGAAATAAAAGGACAAGCGATAGCAGTCTCTCTCTGATGGGCATTTTCAATATCATGAATCTTCCTCAACTATATCATTTGTCGATTCCCCCTTAGGGCGGACCACGGCCCGAGCAGGGGTGAGGGGTGCAGATGCCCAACGTCAGTCAACGCTGCGGCCGTCCCGGGATCCTGGGGTCGTTTACGGGGTATGGGGGGCCACCTACTCCGTGACACGGATACTATAACATTAGTGAAGACCAAACAAACTGGGGACGGAGCTTATGGGTTCTCCAGGAAAGCCATTGCGGCTGAACCTTCTCCATGGTGCAGGTATGATCACGGCCCGGGCACTCGTTGAGCACGATCAACGATTAGAGAACAAAGGACGGCACGTCCACAGGGTTAATGTAGGAACATTGCATAATATCTGTCATGGTCGCTTTCGAATCAACACTATCTGTCAAGACATCCCTTTCACTAGATTCCTTATGGCTCCAGATCTTGCAAGAGCAATAGTGTGTCACCCTCCACGGGATGGCCATCGGCAATGGAAGCTGGAAGATGTCGAGGTCCACGCCCCTGCTGAGGGTGAAGTGCTCGTAAAAATCGTAGCTAGTGGTGTTTGCCACACGGACCTGGGATGCGGTTCTTTCCCAGACGGAGTCGGCTTTCCAGTTCCTCCTTATCCGCGTGTACTTGGGCACGAAGGTGAGCGTCAGTTCATTGAGTTTTAAGGATATGCTGACATTGAGATCAAGAGCAGGATATGTGATCCGGGTTGGGAAGGGTGTAACAAAAGTCAAGCCGGGGGATTCGGTGCTGCTTTCCTTTGCATTTTGCGGTGAATGCCACAATTGTAGATATGGAGCACCAGGGTACTGCACCCAATTCACGCCTCTCAATTTCTGCGGGAATTCCAAGGCATTTGAGGCTCCCGGCCCGAAAGAAAGACATGCGATCGGAGGCTCCTTTTTCGGCCAGTCGAGCTTCTCAAATTTGACAAGAGTCCAGGAGACCTCTGTTGTCAGAGTGACGGACATGGTTAAAAATGAGGAAGATCTGAAACTTTTCGCGCCGTTGGGTTGTGGTATTCAGGTGAGAGAGGAGAATTTAATTTAATTTAATTTTCTTTTTCTGGTTACGGACCGACTGCAAAGGCGAAAAAGGCTGACGGATCATCGACATGCAGACAGGTGCGGGAACAGTCACAGAGCTCGGCCAGGCTAGGGCGTCGGATAAGTTGGCGATTATTGGCCTTGGGGGCGTTGGTCTCGCTGCAGTAATGGTGAGTTGAGATACTTCCATAACCTTGCTTGTGGCTAACCCAAAATCAGGCGGCGAGACACCGAGGATGTCGCATTATCATTGGGATTGATCGTGTCGAAGCGAGACTTGATCTTGCCAGGTCACTTGGCGCGACACACACCATCAACACGTCGACAGTTGGGGGCGGACTTGAACAAGCCGTTCGTGACATCACTAGCGGTAGTGGGACCACAATCACTATCGATGCCACTGGCGTTGTTCCTTTGATCCAACAAGGACTTGAGTTCACGGCCAACCAAGGCAAGATGATTCTTCTTGGAGTGGCTCCCATGACTGCAGCCCTTCAGGTTGCTTTGGTATCCTTCATGGTGGTGAGTGGAACTTGTCGTGGAAAATGACCAAGTCTGACGGCCTTGTGAAGACTGGAAAACAATCGTTTGGAAGCATGGAAGGCGGAGTGCGCCCTTCTGATGTCAGTTGGTCTCCGCCCTGAGACTATGACTATGGACTGACATTGCTTGGTGCAGTACGTTCCCCGAATGATTCAATGGCATCGTCAAGGCAACTTTCCAATTGATAAATTGGTCAAGTACTACAAGGTAAGTTTGCATCGAAGTTCAACAGCATAACTTAATGTTTCGAGCAGGTTGAGGAGTTTGAAAAGGCGATTCATGACATGGAACAGGGTACCACTGTGAAGCCGATATTGCTGTGGTGAGTTGTGCTTCGGTCTTGTGGTCGCAAAATTTGCTGGGTTCAAGAATTTGCTGGGGCGGTTGGACGTGTCTCAGACAGATCAAAGCTCCGAGCAGTTGGCAGTGCTGGGACTGGTATAGCTTCCGGTCGAACGTCCTGAAGATCATTCAGCGGACTCTCTTGTTAAGCCAGACTCAATGACGTCGACCCAAGTTCCAAATGTAGGATCGGTGACAGTGGGATCAAAATAATCGAGGTCAATAGGTAGGGCGCTTGATTTTGGCATAAAATTATCCACAGTGGACATGCCTTGATCCAAATCCAAAGAACTAAACGTGGGCTCCCCCTGGCCGACATTGTGTGTTTTATCGCATGCCTCGGGTGATGATGAGGGTCTAGCAGAATCACAAAGCCATCCGTAGTCGAGCAAATCCCACATGAAGTCCATGCTAGCATCTGCAAAAGTGCCATCCAGCGACGGTTCTGAGGCAGCGGTCACCAGCCATCTGGCTAGGGCGGGATCCGGATCAAGCTGCATCAAAGCATATGCCTGAATCCATTAGAGATGCTAACGTTTTGTCAGAACTATTCACTTACCATGCGTGAATAGTGTCGCCAGACATCTTGACCGTGGAGAAGAAAAAGCACCGAGCATTCAAAGAGCACTTTAGAGTTATTTGCGACGCGCTCATCTTCGTGAAAGGTATAAAGCTTGTGGATTGTCGCAGCGGCAGTGCAAGCGTAGGCATAAAAGCTCGCCAGTGACATGTTTCGTTGTTGGACAACACGCAGAGCCGACGTGAGAAGACTTGCATGTTCCAACCCTTGAAAAAGGGCTTGTTTAAGAAAGCTTGACGGGATTCTGGTTTTGCAGCCTTTGACATGGTTGCGTAAAAGGAAAGGATGGTGAAGCAGGCAGTGATTTAGGTGATACAAGATGGTTGAGAAGACAAAATGTCCGACCCGTCTTTGGTCAATTGCATCGCCGGTCCAGCACCAACGATCCAAGGCTTCGGGGAAGGGTACCAAAATGGCGTCGGAGTAGGTCTCAAAGTCTAGCAAGAGACTATAAATCTTGCAATATTCGCCACGATTATGCCAAAGCTTGTACTGACCTCCTGAGATGTGTTTCTGCAATGAAAACCTCTCGACTTTTCCCAGGACAGACGCCATAAGAATCGTATGGGCAAACTGGCTCAGATTTTGGGGCATTGCGGAATCAGTCAAGTCTTGGAGAGTTTGAAGTGTCAGTTGGCTCGATCTCAACTCCGCACCAACTTTGGTACAGTCAGTTGGTAGCCGGACAGAACAGTCGCTGTCAAGTATCGTCGGGGGTCTCGTTGTGCCACATGAGACAAGCCTGTCGAGAAGGTACACGGACCAAAAGGTCAAAACTCTCTCTTCTTGTTCTTCCAAGGTCAACTCTGTTGGCGGGTCCATGGTCAAATGTAGGCTCTGTGCAAATCGTACACTCAGGCCAATCTTGACCCATGCGAGCTTATGCTTGCCAGCTAGGGTATGTCAGCCACAGCATGCGCATTGGAGAGCATCCGCCTACTGGTGAAGTCAACTACCGCCAACATGTTGATTGCTTGAATAACCGTTATATCCAAGGTGTCGTCTTCTGAAAAAGACTTTTCAAAGATCTCATCCCACGCGGATCGTGAGTAGAGATCAATCATGTCTTGCTGGTTCCCGTCCAAGAAGGGATCCTGAGAGAAGTGTGCTGCCATAGCCAGGACGGCCTTGAGGAGATATGAGGGCACTTTGCCATCTTGGAGCTTTCGCCGGAAAAAGGCCTCTTCGAAATAGCAATATGGCTGGCAGTGGCAATATCGAAAGTATGCATCTATCAATGCGAGCACAATCGAAAGAGGCGGTAGAACATCAGCCTCGCTGCTTACAAAATCAGTTCCAGGTCAACAAATGGCACATTGAGAGCAAGCGCCAACCTTCCACGACGGGTCTTGGGAGAATCTAAGGCAGAGAATACTAGATGTCGATCCAAATTCCGGGTACCATCGTTTGAAGGCACTTCGTGTGTGGAAATACCGAAGCTGCCACGCGTCTTGTCAGTTCATCGAGACGAAGTTACAAGCAATCTACTTACTCAAGGCTTGCACTGTCGAGAAGACTGAGTTTTGATTCCAAAAGGGCGACCCTTGCAGCCAAGGTCATATCCTGTGGCAGTCAGGGCTTTAGTAACGCCGACCGAGTGTGCTGCTCACAGTAGGGTTGCTAGCATCAGACCCAGGCCCTGGCTCATAGCAGCATTCCTGCTTGAGGCGAGCGCAGAACGCGCAAGTCGGCTTCTCTCCGGAGCAACGGGTCTTCTTGCGCCTATGAAAGTAAGCGGACCAGGTCAGAGATAGCAAGGATATCTGTCGCCCACGGAACTCCGCCAAGACGTACCTGCAGTTCTGGCATGCTTGTCGCACTCGTTTGGTCTCTCGTTCCTCGCTCATGTTACTGCGATTCTGTAACAAAGGGTTCATAGGGCGGCAGCGACTTGAAACGGCAGTTCCAGGAGAGTCGACACGAGACAGACGGATTTAGAATCGGCGGGGTTGACAGCCTTACCAAGGCGGGGCGCCAATGCCGACGGTCCGGGGTAATTGAGGACAGAACGCTGTTAAAGTCTCCACAGCTCGACTGTCGAGCTTGAGATCCTGACTCGACTCAAACTGAGTACGAAACGACTTGATGAAGTCGGGAATAATTGTGAGTGGCTGGCTAAGTGAGCGGCCATGGCTCCTATCAACATCATGTAAAGATATCCACGTCAATTGAGGCCAGGACCACACAGTAATTACCTGGTTGTCGTCCTGATCTCGTCAGACTGTGGAGGTGAATCTCTTTGCGGCTTTCTGCACTACAGGGGTGAACTAGTCGACAGGAATTTGCGGATCCGGATTGCCTGAATCCGCCGTCCCGGAGCTTACACATCGATGGGCGGTCGTGATGAATGGAAGGTTGATGGACTGTGTCGCCGAATTGCTCACCTGCGACACAAGATCCAGCTCGCTCACAGCTTGGCCATCCTGGCCCCTGGCCGCCAAAATCATAACGGAGTCCGCAGCTCACCAATCAGGCTGCCACTCGGTAGACTCTGGCTTGAGCAAGGAGGGGGACCCCCTGCGTCGATGTTCGTCGCTCCAGGAACTCGTCTGCCTCAGCATGAATGGAGTGTCTTGCGACGAAAGCCACATAGATGGTGTTGGTCATACTTGCAAGAGAGTGGCTGGCCATGCAAAGCTCATCGCAGTACCTACAGTAGAGGTTGGTGGCGAAAACACGACAGCCTTGCGATCCCAGGAAAGGAAGGTTAGCCCATGCACTCAGCCTTGCACGTGACTACTCACGTGCTCGGTCGAGCGCCCTAACCTAATGTAGCTGAAGCGACTGGACGCGATACAAGTTGCTTGTGCTTGTGCTTGTATGGGCGCAAGGTCTAGGAGGGAATTCAATGTCAGATGACTTTTGATCACGACGTAACACCTCTTCCTAGAGAAGCTCAGAGAGCGAGTCAGGTCCATTGGGAGGGCTGCCACTACTTGTCGCCAGAACAAACCACCAAGGGAGGATTGCAACCCAATGTTTCTGGGCAGGCAACCGCACGATCTGGTTGCTCTCACAGTCCACTCTCGGGATCGCAAGACCAGCGCCAGAGGGTGGACTTCCCCAAAGCGGCTCCTCTATATTTCTCCCAACCTACATTGTGCGCTCCTGTCAGCAGTTGTTGTTGTCACCGTGTTTTAGCCGTGAGACAAAGGAGATATTTAGCCGGCAATTATCCTCTACCAAGTATCATTTGCTCGCTTCATACGCCAAGGACGTTGGCGAGAACTTAAGAGTCGCTTTTCATTTAAGGCTTCCAAGACTCCAAAAACCTGTCGAAAGGGCGACGCTCACCTCGAGACGAGGTGTTCCCCGTGGAGCTCCCCAGACCCCAGCGACCATCTCCGCGCTACGTCTGGTAAGATGCGAAGAAGCCCATACCAGTCAACGATCCCGCGGCTCATCAAATTGCCAGCCCATTTCCCTTGGCTATCATGCCAAGATGTCTTCACATCTGCGTCGTCGTCTTGATTGGTCCGGTCCAGTCCAGCTGATGCGACCCGTGAGATCCTTACACAACCTACATTGCCCCGCTCCGTCTACAGGAGGCCCGGAGCACAGCTAAGCCTTGAATGAATGTGTCCGCGAGACGGCCTTACCGGGTATTTTGCTGCCGTAATGGCGGAGATATCAAAGGCGCCAGAAGTTGATCGACGTTGTTGTTGTTGTTGGTCAATGGCCACTGGTGTGCTCTACACCTAAGCTAGAGTCGATCCGGTCCAAGGCCCGAGAGAACAAGATGGACGGCCGCTCTAACTGATTTACAATAAAAAGGTTGCTTGCCCAGGGTCTACCTCCCTATCATCATATTCCATGCCCGTCAAACCCCTATAGTATTGACCCAACATGGCACCCAACATTAGCAACCTCAAGGTGCATGAGAAGGGAGCCAGCGACCCTATTGTCCAGAGACTTGCTCAGGAAGACAGAGTTCCATGGTACAGGAAGCCTAATCTGCGATCTCTGTACTTCCTACTTCTTCCAACATGCATGGGCATCGAGATAACGAGCGGGTTCGACTCTCAGATGATTAATGCACTTCAAATATCGGACCACTGGCAAGACTGTGAGTTGACTAGCTCATCGAATGCACCATCAACCTTGCAAGAGTAAAGCTTACAGACGCAGACTTCCATGAACCCAAAGGATCCTGGTCTGGGTTCATCAACGCCTCTTATTCTCTGGGAGCTATCCTGAGTTTACCTCTTGTTCCTATAATCAACGATCGATTCGGCCGTCGATGGGCGATATTCATTGGCTCTTGGGTCATGGTAGCTGGGGCGATTGTTCAGTGCTTTGCGCAGAATGGTGAGTTCCTGCTTGACTCTCTATCTTACGCATCTCTCCCTCACACACGCACTGACCTTCATAGCTGGAAATTACATCTTTGCCCGTATCATGTTGGGATTTGGGATTCCCACCTGCATCGTCGCTGCGTCTGCCTTGATCGGCGAGCTAGGCTACCCAAAGGAACGACCTGTTCTTACCTCTCTCTTCAACGTCTCATACTTTGTCGGGGAGCTCACGGCCGCCGGGATCTGTTTTGCAACCAACACCATCGCAAGTAACTGGTCCTGGAGGACGCCGTCCATCCTCCAGGCCGTACCATCCTTGATCCAAATATCGTTGGTTCTCTTGCTCCCTGAAAGCCCAAGGTGGTTGATCAGCAAAGACCGGCATGAGGAGGCTCACGAGATCCTGACCAAGTATCACGCCGAGGGCGACCGCAACTCGGAGTTCGTGCGGGCCGAGATGGCACAGATCCGCGCAACCCTCCACATGGAAATCGAGGCGTCTAAGAAGTCGTGGCTGGACCTCTTCACTACCGCCGGAATGCGAAGGCGTGTCGTTCTATCAACTGCACTCGGCTTGTTCACTCAGTGGAGTGGCAACACATTGATCAGTTACTACCTTGGAAAGCTGCTCAAAATGATCGGGTGGACCAAGTCGACCGACATTCAAAAAGTCAATGTCGGTCTTTCAGCATGGTCTCTCATCACGGCTGGCACAGCAGCGCTCTTGGTCACCCGATTCCGCCGAAGGGTAATGTACATGACGTGCGCCATATCGCTGCTCTGCGTCTACATCGCGTGGACCATCTGTATGGAGGAGACCATGACATCGGACGCCGCCGGCCATATCAACCACGGCGCCGGAATCGGCGTCATATTTTTCATATTTGCCTACAAACCGGCGTACAACATTGGGTATGTACATGTTGCCATGGCAGATGCAAAACAAAAGACATACTAACAGACACCCAGGTACAATGCTCTGACCTACACGTACCTGGTAGAATTGTGGCCGTTCGCCGAGCGGTCTCGTGGCATTGCATACTTTCAGTTATGGGGAAGACTAGCAGCTTTCTTTACGACTTTTATCAATCCTATTGGCCTCGAGAACATCAAGTGGCGCTGGTTGATCTTCTACTGTTGCTGGCTTGGTTTCGAAAATGTCTTTATCTACTTCCTCTTCCCCGAAACCTATGGGAGGACCTTGGAGGAACTTGCTTTCAGTGAGTCTGTCGCGTCCTTGATCGGGTCTAAACTAACAGGTTGCAGTCTTTGAAGATAAAGAGAAGTCCGACAGGGCAGTTGCGGCGGTTGAGAAAGCAAGAGCCGGGCTTGATGACGATGAGAATGAGAAACGTGTTGAGACCATAGTTGAGCACGTCGGCGATCGAACTTAGGTCCATGACTTTTGTTGGAAGAGGAGGTAAGGTGTCGGACCAGTGGAGCACGAATTACAAACAGTCTCAGAGGGTCGTTCGGATTCATTTGAAGCCATGGTTTCTGTTTTCGTCGACTGTTCATCGGAGGTGTCGAATATTTTCCAGGACTGCAGGTATATCAGAATGCAAGCAGATGCTAAACGGCTTTCGATCGGATCCCAGTGTGATATCATTGCCGTCCATATGTCTCGTCTGCCCCTCGTCCGCTATCAGTCGAACTCGAGATGCACATGATTCAGGGGTGGTGCCTGACTGCCACATCAGTAGAACCTCGCCGTGTGCGGAGTAGTGGATATCGCCATAGACATCCTCGGCGGCTTTTGGAACTGGTTTCTGCTACATTGAGGCTGCCGAGAAAGGGACCTGTGAAACTATGTTTTTGGGAAGTCCGATGCTGTAGTCCCTGGAGGCGGCTTTGTGGCACCTATGAATGACCTGCTGAGGTTCCGAAGGTTTATCGTTGAAAGTGTATGCTGGCAATGCATGGCCTGCTCTGTCCGTTGCGCATGAATGGGTCCACAAGTGTGTCACTCACAACCGAGGTAAGTTCGCCGAGGGTTATCCGACAGAATAGATGAATAGTCACAGGCTTCCAGACGGATGTTGGATGTTAGGGAGAGTCTAGGATGAATTATTATCCAGTCGGATAGTTTTGAGGACTCTCAGGAGCCGTTCAAGGCTCGTGAGAAGTTGTTTCTGGCGATGTCACGTCGGCACTGTCCTCAAGACGAGTATATTCCAAGGTACGCGGCCTCCAACATTCGCAGATCCAGAATAGCGCAACGACGACCGTAAAGATAAAGAAAAGCCCGGACAGAGTAAGGACAAACACACCGGGTGTAAAGCTAATAACATATATTAGCATTGATCTTTCTGTAAGATTCTATCGCCGTTGCATGCCGAATGGGTAAATGAATGAATCAGTCGGCGTACCTTGGTGCCTTTTGTCTGTGTATCGTATCATCATCCGTGATGGGTTCTTCGTTTTCGATGTGGTTGTGAGTTTTGCCTTCTGCCACATTGGGCAGCTCGGTGCCCGCTGCAGTGCAGAGCGTCACTTGTTCGAGTGTGATGTTTTGAAGCTGCTGTTGGTGCTGAAGATCTAGAGGTGCTTCAATGAACGTAGCTGCCAGTCCAGTCTCGGCGTGCCACTCCATATGGCAGTGCAGAAGCCAAACCCCTGAAGCACCCCTACATCAGCCGGGTCCATGCTATTCAAGACCAAATGACTGAGATGCTTCAGTACTTACCAGGATTATCAGCTCGAAATCTTATAACCACGCTGCCGCCATTCGGAACCACTATGGTATCACGTTGGACAGGGAGCTGGATGAATGCATCATCGGTCACGGTCGAGGATGAGAAGTCTCCAGCACCAGGTGCCGAGCGCCAGACGGCCTGGAAATGGTGTCCGTGTAAATGAACAGGATGGTTCGTCATATGCCGATTGTACAAGATGACTTCAATCACTTGGTCGCGTTCGAGCACCCAGGGATTGGAAGACATTCCGTATGTGGCGAAGTGTGCCGCCGAATCACCACTTGTCAGCGCCGTGTACAAGGTTGGGACTTCCGGCGACGCATAGGCAATGTCGTTAAAGAAATAGCTGCCAGAGTCAGCACAATCACGATATGACAAGTATTCTCATACTAAGAGCCACCATTCGCATGTTTCATGTTTATATTCAGTCGTATGCTTTGATCTGGCTTGCGTAGCAAAGGCGTCTGATCATAGGGAATGATGGTCATGTCATCGATTGGAGCAAACTCGTCAATCTGAGAGGCCGACAAAAGCGGTTGGCTTGAGTTGTACACCAACCATCCCGTAACGTTGGCATTGACATGATCTGCCTTCATGAATAGGCTCTGGTAAAGCATCAGTTGGATCTTTCAAAAGCGGAAGTCATCATACTCGATCCATAGAGGCCATAAGCGGGTAATTCCGGCTCACTTCAGACTTGGTTGTCAAAAGAAAACTGCAGCGTTGGCCTGATGCAAGGTAGATCATCTCAGCGGTTGTCGGCTGAGTGTATGATCCGTCAAGCTCAACTATGGTCATTGTATGGCCCTCTATCCAAAAGTATTGGCCCGCAAAAGCGCCCACGTTGACGATACGAACTAGATAGGTCTGCTCGGGGGCAACAGGTACCTGAAGATTCTGGGTATCGTTGAGAAGATTGGCGTCAGGTACAGGCTCCCTGGACATCATGCCGTTTCCATGTCTGTACTCTGGTAGAAGGACGGCCATTTCTTGGTGGTACCAGTCAGAGACAGAGAGAAGGATTTCATCATCGAAGTCTCCTCGAAAAGGATTTTCGGGGTCATGGATGATCAGTGAGCCCCTCAGCCCGTCCACATATTGTCCCTTGACATGTGAATGGTACCAAAAAGTGCCTACTTGCGCTGCCTAAAGCTGTGTTAGGTATGAAGAGATCTCGTGTTGTTTCTCGCACCTTGAAGCGGTAGGTAAAAGATGATCCAGGAGGGATGGAACACTGTGAGACTTGCGCTGGTCCATCCATGTGAGTGGTGCCATTCATGAAGAGACCATGAAAATGGAGCGATGTTGATTGATTCCCGAGAAGATTCAGCACCGTCACGACAATGTCGTCCCCGAAGTTGGCTTCGATCTGGGGAGGCGGCCATTGACCATTGACACCAATCCCTGGCCGGACGAAGGCATCATCAGGGTTTGCACTCGTCCAGGTAATGTTCCAGTTGTAAGCTACAGTAGCAGCAGTAGCAGGCTGCATGCAGCATGAGAGTAGCAGCAGCAAAAGTGGACATAGACAAACTCCGAAGTGCATAGTATCAGTCAACCACGAGTCCAAACCCCCTCTTGCAAAAAAAAAAATCTGGGTAGTGGTGTTCAACGTACGCGCTTACATAGATAGTTTCCGGCGATAAGGCCCCTATCAGAATCATACCACGTTCAGCGGGTGGAAACTTGCTCATCTTGGCCAAGAACACAATTGACGCTTGACAGACACCGGGTTAGCTACTGTGGCTTTTCAAATAAGCTTCGGGGTCTGTGCTGATTTCGCGCATGGTCCCCGAGTTTGGAACATGAAAGAATTCTGAAGTCATCAGATAAAGCGAGTCATTGGTGATAGGTGCTCTGTGAAATTTTCTGGCTTCAAGCAGGATGATAAAGATACCGACCATGGAGTCCGTGGTATATTATGGTATTCATGACACTCGAAAAAGCCATTAGCCGATACCAAGAACCTGTTCCATCCCCGTTACCGCGACTCGATTGCGCGGTTCATTTCACACTGTCATCACAATCAATTCCATAGTACCGAATACAGGCCGTCATAATAGTACAGAGAGGGGGTGGATGGTCACTGCAGGTCAATAGATAAATCATCCACTTCCCTACTTGTGTCACCATTCGAAGTCAAAGCCGCAACCACGGTGTAGTGGCTAGTGACTCGAGCATCCCATACCCCGACATCCTCCCAAGATCTGCAAGCCGACTCCGAAGCCAAAGAACTTGCTTGTTTTCGATATTCTCCAGGTTTGTAGCAAGTGACAGAGGCCAGATCGTCATTGAAGAGAAGTAGGGTCTGATATCCTCCTTTGACTCTTGAATAATTGAATGATCAGGTGTAAGCGAAGCATCAAGCTCCCTCAGTTTGAATCTCTCCAAGCTGTAAGGCAGGCTAGATGCAAAGTCTATTGCCATGTTGTCGGCAGACGATGCGCATTCGGCCAGTTCTCGCTCTACAGCGGCCAAGGGCTGAAACTGCTCGCTCTCTAGGATTCTGATACGGGTACTGAGCGAAAGCATTCGAGTCGAGTAGTACTGATTCCATACTGCTGCATGAGCGATACTGGAATAGCTGTAGATTGAAGCAGAGAAGAAGTTGCTTGTTGGAAATTGGCCGTGGTCAGGGAGTGTGAACCGCTGGTAGGACCAAGTGCTGGGAAAATGCAGCGCCCAATGTTCGAGGGTTTTATCGATATCCCGCGCTTCTTGCGCAAGTTGTTCTGCCTTTGTGCGATCGAACTCACCATGTCGTCCGAAAAAGACGAAAATCTCATGACGGAGATTCGCTAGTCGAACAACAATGCGATCATATTCAAGCTCCAGCCCGCGTTCGCCGAATGTGCTGCCATCGACGATCCATGCAGGTAAGCCCTGTTTTCTCAGTAGAGCAGACTTGATCATCCCACGTCGAGTGTACTTCATAATGTCGGTTGCAGGCTGGTCCACACTGAGATGGTTTTTCCACATCTTCAGAATGGACAGTGCGCCATCATGGTGTCGAAAGCTCTTTGGCCCAACCACTTGCCGATCGATGTCATCTCTCGGTTCATATACTACGTCTTCATACCGGCTCATGAAGAATATTGATATGAGGCAAGTGTCGATGTCGTTGTTAACAAGAGATGGTATGGAAGTCCGCGCAACTTGCAACAGATGCTGGTAATTGAGAGACGCTTCAATCGCAGCCGGCTGATACTTGTACCTTCGTGAAAAAACCGCCAGCGCCATGCAAGAGACGGCGAGATCAATGATAGGGCTATCCAGTTTAGGAATCCATGCAAGCAGGTAATCCTCTGAGAGTGCTTTGAGTACTTTCGGCGCCTTTCTAGGCGCCTTGAGGTGTTGACTGTAATAGTATAGTATCGCTCGAGTCTTCAGTTCGACGCAATCCCCGGACAGCGTAGAGCCAAAGCCGATGTTGCTGCTTTTCCGCAGCACCGACCGGGGACCCCGAGGCCGCTTCTTCACTCCACTGGCATAGGAGTTCTCGATATGGACGGCGGCGAGAGCGCCCATACCATAGCAAACCCTCCGAGCCTTCAGACATCTCTGACAAGTCGGGCGGGTTTGATCGCACTTTGCCAGTCAACAACCGTAGACGGGTGAAGACGGCTCTACTCACCTTAATTCGTCGGATCTTGCAGGTCTCGCATCCTGTGCTGGGGAAAACCATTTGCGCGATCTGGAGGTTCAATCCTGGATTTGAACAGTATCTCAGCGCCCGCCAGTTCTTTGGATAATATGGGACAGAAGCAGACGGTCATTTTCAAAGTTGAAACGCGCCCGCCATCAGCCGCCGGCAATAATATGCCGGTTCCCTTGTTAACTCCGTATACGAGATACGAGATTAGCTTCTCGGAGAAATCGAAGTATTTATCAGTGACATTTTTTTGGTCTGCCACATCTGCAACTCTTCGAAAGCGAAGCACTTGAAACACACCAGGACTGATCTCACATGGCACCTTTAAAGGCCTCTCAGAGCCCTCCTAGCGGCTACACATCGACCAGCGACCAGTCTGAATTGATCGAGTTTGGAGACTTCCAAAACCCCCCTGCCAAACGAAGGCGCATCTCGATCGACACTGACATCAGCCACGACGACGACAAAGTCCGAACCACGTCTGAGCCAACCTCATTATCAAGAGTGAAGCCTCCCACGCAAGGCCCTAGGAATCATTTGGTGCCGCCGTCCCACTCGATACCGACGACCTCCGCTACTTTCGAGAGCCTAAACATTGCGCCATGGTTGACACATTCGCTAGCTGCAATGGCCATTTTGCATCCCACAGAAATCCAACGAGCATGCATCCCAGAGATAATGCAGGGAAGAGACTGCATTGGTGGGTCGAGGACCGGTACGGGCAAGACAGTAGCATTCGCGGTGCCGATTCTACAGAAGTGGGCAGAGGATCCTTTCGGCATATATGCCGTCGTTCTCACTCCAACTCGAGAACTTGCCCTACAAATCTATGAACAGTTCCAGGCGCTCGGCACGCCACAGGGATTGAAGACGGTCTTGATCACTGGCGGTAGTGACATGAGGCCGCAAGCTGTGGCGCTATCGAAACGACCACATATTGTTGTTGCAACACCAGGTCGGCTAGCTGATCATATCCTAAACTCGGGGGAAGAAACAGTTGTCGGGCTAAAACGGGCCAAAGCAGTGGTCTTGGATGAGGCCGACAGATTGCTTGACCCAGGGTCTGGTATGCTGCCAGACCTTAACACTTGTCTTTCCGCCCTGCCGCCGGCTTCCTCCCGGCTGACGCTTCTGTTCACGGCCACCGTTACCCCAGAAGTTCGTGCATTGAAAGAGTTGCCACGGCCGGAGGGCCGCCTACCGGTTTTTGTCTCCGAGATCACAGACCTGTCCGATTCTTCCATTGCGTCCAGTCTACTTCCCACAAGTTTATCACAAACCTATCTTCAAACCCCAATGACCCACAAAGACGCCTTTTTACACGTACTCCTCACCGTGCCTTCGTTCACCAAGGTACCAGAGCCTAGTATCATCGTGTTTGTCAATAGAACCTCTACTGCTGACATCCTCCACCGGACACTGTTGTCACTGGGGCATCCTGTTACCGCGTTGCATTCTGAGCTGGCGCAGATTCAACGGAATCGCAATCTCTCTGATTTCCGGGCTCGAAAGTCCCGGGTACTCATTGCAACGGACGTCGCATCAAGAGGCCTCGATATTCCAGAAGTCAATATCGTCATCAACTACGACGTCCCTCGCAACCCCACAGACTATGTGCACCGGGTCGGGCGTACCGCAAGGGCGGGAAGGCGGGGTACGAGCGTTACCTTCGTCGGCCAGCGGGACGTGGCTTTGGTCCATGCGATCGAAGAGTACGTGGGGGCAAAGATGGATGAATGGACTGAAGAAGGGGTCAACGTCGAGACCAGAGTAGTCCGAGGGAGGACGTTGAAGGACGTCGCAGAAGCGAAGATGGAAGCTTTGCGAGATGTTGAGGGAGGGAAGGATGTCAATGGCTGGAGAAGGAAGATCAAGAAAGACAGGAAACGCGTGTTGGAGGTGTGAGTGTCTTGAAGGAGACGTAGATGTAGCACTTGATGCGTCCTGAAGAATACAGCTGTTTCTGTACATTGCGTGTCTGGTCAATCGTCGCAACTACGAAGTACTCGTCGTCGTCGTAGTTATAACTGACCTCCATCTCAAATGCGCAGCCTTGCAAGGGACAAACGCCATGGTGCAATCCGATTGGACAGAGCGAGTTTCTGCGGGCGGCATCATTTCGCTGTGTGCTTCAACTCTCGCTCACCACAATCGAACTTGTCAGCCCATCCGTCGCAGAGGTCCATTCGTGGCACTGATCAATCTCATCTACGAGTCTGTCACGCCGGCAGTTTCTTTCCTCGCAGCGTTTCTCATTCTAATCCCCCCTCGAGTTCATCCGCTTCCAATGAGCCACTGAAAGCGCAACGTGGCCCCTCTACGGGTCAGCGCAACGGGACAGCATGACCTCTCGTACGTCTTGTCGGTGTACACAAGTCCAGTCGCTGATTGATTATCCAGTCAAGCAATTTATTCGCAATGTGCGAGCGTCCAAGACCATCGCCGACGAACGAGCCGTCGTCCAAAAGGAGAGTGCGGCGATCCGAGCCAGTTTCCGCGAAGAAAGTCACGATTCCAATATAAGGTCTTTAAACGCGCCAGGACATCCAATGTGCAGATTCTGACTATGAACAGGAGGAACAATGTCGCCAAACTTCTCTATCTCTTTACGCTCGGCGAGCGCACCCATTTCGGCCAGATCGAATGTCTCAAACTGCTCGCCTCGCCTCGCTTCGCAGACAAACGCCTGGGCTACTTGGGTACTATGCTCTTGTTGGATGAGAACCAAGAAGTCCTAACTTTGGTAACAAACTCGTTGAAAAAGTAAGCTCTCCTCACAGTCCCATACTGCAGGATCTCTAAATGGCGGTAGCGATCTGAACCACTCCAACCAATATGTTGTTGGCCTTGCTCTTTGCACCCTTGGAAATATCGCCTCGATTGAAATGTCCCGAGACCTATTCCCTGAGATTGAAACGCTCATATCGACTGCGAACCCCTACATTCGTCGAAAGGCTGCTCTGTGCGCAATGAGAATATGTCGCAAGGTGCCAGACCTGCAAGAACATTTTTTGGAGAAAGCCAAACTGCTCCTACAAGACAGAAATCATGGAGTTTTGCTCTGTGGCATAACTCTGATTGCGAGCATGTGTGAGGCGGACGAAGCAGAGGGCGGTGAAGAGGGCCTCGTCGAGATGTTTCGACCTGTTGTTCCTCACCTAGTCAGAACGTTAAAAAGCCTGACCAGCTCCGGATACACCCCTGAGCACGACGTGTCCGGAATCACGGATCCATTTCTACAAGTGAAGATTCTGCAATTACTCCGAGTACTAGGACGGGGCGATGCGACAACGAGTGAATTAATGAACGACATTTTGGCCCAAGTGGCCACCAACACCGAGTCTACCAAGAATGTCGGAAATGCGATTCTCTACGAAGCAGTTCTCACTATCCTTGATATTGAGGCCGATTCAGGACTACGAGTGCTGGGAGTCAATATCCTGGGGAAATTCCTCGCCAACAAAGACAACAATATCCGTTACGTGGCGTTGAACACTTTGATTAAGGTTGTGGCGATTGAGCCGAATGCGGTCCAACGACACCGAAACACCATTCTAGAGTGCCTGAGGGATCCGGATATTTCCATCCGCAGACGCGCTTTGGATCTCAGCTTCACCCTGATTCGGGAAGACAATGTGCGTGTACTAGTGAGAGAACTGCTTGCATTTTTGGAAGTGGCGGACAACGAGTTCAAATCCGTCATCACCACACAGATTGGAATTGCCGCCGATCGTTTTGCTCCCAACAAACGATGGCATATCGACACCATGCTGAGAGTTGTCAAGTTAGCGGGCAACTACGTCAGGGAGCAAATTCTGTCATCCTTCATACGGCTTATCGCTACGTCACCCGATCAGCAGTCGTACTCTGTCCAAAAGTTGTACTCAGCCTTGAAGGCCGATATCACCCAAGAAGCTCTGACTCTGGCTGGCGTATGGGTCATTGGTGAGTTTGGAGATGCTCTGCTCCAAGGAGGCTCATATGAAGAGGAAGAACTGGTGAAGGAGGTTAGGGAAAGTGATATTGTCGACCTATATTCCACGATCCTGAACTCAACCTATGCAAATCAGGTCGTGACTGAATTCATCATAACGTCTTCCATGAAGCTGACCACAAGAATGTCCGACCAGTCACAGGTCGAGAGAATACGACGACTGATGCAATCGAGGACATCTGATCTAAGTGTTGAGATCCAGCAACGAGCGGTCGAGTACAGTAATCTCTTTGGGTACGACTCCATACGTCGAGGCGTCTTGGAGAGAATGCCTCCACCAGAAATCAAGGAGGAACAGCGTGTTCTCGGACAGGCGACTGCTCCCGCAAAGGATAAACGGAAGACGTTGAAGGCAAAGACGAACACCAAAGTTTCCAAGACCACCGAGTCAGATATGCTTTTGGATCTGATGGGCGGCTCAGACGTCCCAGCTGTAACTGCGAGCGCTACCCTCAACGGTCGGCAACAAACTGCAGACCTCCTCGCCGATATTCTTGGTGGAGGAGCCTCCGTTTCGAGCCCTCCGCCGCAGACGAAAAGCCCTGTGCCAACTTCCAACACCGATTCCATCATGGACCTGTTTGGTAACGGAACAGCCAAGAATGCCAGTCCTGCTCTATCTGGGTTACAGGCACATCCAGCCTATAACAAGAATGACTTGGTGGTTTTTATGCAGCTGTCGAAGAGCAGTTCCGGGGCGCAGATCGTCGCTCGCTTCAAGAACAACTCGTCATTTGGGAGCATGACCGGCGTAGGCCTTCAAGCTGCAGTGCCAAAGAGTCAGAAGTTGACGCTGCAGGCCATCAACCGGAGCACCCTTGGTGGTGGCGAGGAGGCTGCCCAGGCTATGAAGGTTGTTCCAGCTACGGGGGTGAGTCAATGTATTACCTTTTTTCTTCGTTTCTACTGCTGACACTGGTTTTAGTCTCTGCCTCCCAAACTCCGATTGCGTCTAAAAATATCCTACACCAAGGAGGGAGCGGCACCGGTGACGGAGCAGGTGGACTGGACAGAACCATGATCTTACTGTTTTGGTGCTTTGCGAAGAAGTTCGCACATGCATCCTCAGGTATACATCTGGCATACGTTCACAGGACATGGATAGATGATCGTCCGATGCTGCAAGGGCTTCAACAGCGCGGAGGGTCCTTAGGTGCGATGAGCTTGTCATAATTGTCAGAATAGCTTTCAACCGACAACCCGCCGCTCTGGCCTCTACTTGGCTGTCTCCATCTGTCATTTCCGACGCCAACCGTAGAAGACGGAATGGCTTCCGCGCTCAGCTAGAGTACGAGTTAGATGTATACACCACTTTTGCCTTGCCAGATCCCCGAGCGCTGTTCTTCGCACCTCGTGTCCGTCACTACTTGTACCTGAGAGAGCCTAGTCAGCCCTCTTCCGCCGATCCCCCGGAGTTTCTAGCTCCAACCTCGTCACTTGTACTTTGGGATCTGGTCTTTTTGGCATTGGCAGCGGAAATTTGCCGGCAAAGCCTTCTTAGGACTTTTCTGCATCTTGCAAGACCCTTGACAGTCACTTAAGCTATCTCTCCCGCTAGCTATACTGATCCTGTCCACGACATATATCAATGATTCAAGGCCTCTCTCGAATGATGCAGCGAAAGAAAAGACCACTGAAGACCTAAGTCGGTGCTTTTTGACCGGTATCCCAGGCCTTGATCAATTAACCATACCTAGGGACTGCCTTTTCATTTTCTCTTACGCAGGACCTATCTACGGTTACCGAGGGTTACAGATCTAGGATCACGATCAAGAGCAACGTCGGCACCAAAAACCAGCGTCAGCTTCGGCTTCAATATCCGGATCAAACGCGGGATCAAAGCCAAAGTCAAAATGTTGATCTCATTGTTGTTGTGCTTGATCCCAGCAATCGTGGTCTACACTCTGGTCCGAAACTACTTTCTTCTGCCGTCGTCGATTCCAGGTCCTTTCTTCGCTCGTTTCACCGACGCATACCGGGCACTCCTGGTCTACAGACGCAATCCCCACGAGGTGCATCTCGCGCTGCACAAGAAGCACGGCAACCTCGTACGTCTGGGGCCGAACTACGTTTCCGTGTCCGGTTCACGAGGCTACACCCCTCAGATCTACGGTATCGGCAAAGGTCTCGTCAAGTCGGACTTTTACAGCGTTTTCCAAAACATTGTCAACGGGCGACGCGCAGCCAGTCTAGTGGCTGAGACGGACGAGACGGCCCACGCCAAATCCAAGAGACTGATTGCCCACGCCTACTCGTTAAGCACGCTCGTGGAGTACGAGAGTCTAGTTGAGCGGACGACACTGTGTTTCTTGGACACGTTGGAATCGCGGTTTGCCAAATCCAGTGCCTCTGAGAATGAGACTGTCAGTGGCAATGCCAACGACAGCCCAACTTGTGCTGCGAGTGACAACGACCATGACAAACTCACCGCCACGACAACCACCATCAGCCCCGGCCGTTGCCTAGATCTCGCACAATACCTCCAGTTCTTCGCCTTTGATGTCATCGGCGAACTTACCTTCAGTCGCCGGCTGGGCTTCATCGAGTCCGGCACTGACGTCGACGGGATCATTGACGCCATCGGATCCAACTTCTCGTACTTCAGCGTCCTTGGCCAAATGCCGTGGCTAGACGAGGCTTTCCTGGGCAAGAATCCGGTCTACGTCAAGTACTTTCGCAAGAGTGTCAGTTCGCCTATTTTGATCTTTGCACAGCGTTTGCTCAAGGGACGTCTTCAAGACCTTGAAAAAGGGGGTGGTGGCGACCAGAAAAACCAAGACGCCGACAACAGTTTCAGCAGACCCGATTTCCTCACCCGATTTCTCAAAGTCAGAAAGGAACAGGCCGATGGAGACGAAGCCTTGACGGACGGTCAGATTCTATCATATCTTTTCGTTGGTGTACCTTTTATTGTATCTACTTCAAAAGCACCCGCCCCATCCCCCTTCTCCGTTCTCTTTTCCCCCTTTTTCTTGATATCACTCACTACTAACATTCTGTTGCGTTGGGTTTCTCTGGTTTTCAGTAGACGCCACGTCTTTTCAACCCCTGTCCCCATCCACGTCCTCATCTTCGTCTCAATATACAGCAAATACAGGCTCACACGTCCACGCCCGCTGACGCAAAACCAGATGAACATCAACGCAGGAAGTGACACAATCGCATCCACACTTCGCGCGATCTTCTACTATCTTCTCAAACACCCCGAGTCCCTCGCTACACTGGTCCACGAACTCGACCGTGCCGCACGAGACTCGAAAATCTCCGTACCATGCCCGACGTGGGCCGAAACGCAAGAGAGCCTACCGTATCTCTGTGCGGTGATCAAAGAAGGTCTGCGACTGAATCCGGCGCTATCATTACCTTTGGAACGTGTCGTCCCGAAGACCAACGCAAACAACGCAAACGCAAACGCAAACACCACCAAAAACAACGTCGGCATTGGCGGAAGGGGAGGAGAAGGAGAAGGGCTAGCACTCCTCCACGAGGACGGGACTCGAACCTTCTTCCCAGCGGGGACAATAATCGGGATCAACCCATGGGTCTTTCACAGAAGCACGCACGTTTTCGGTGACGACGCCGAGTCGTGGAATCCGAGCCGGTGGCTGAGCGACGAAGAGGTGGCGACCAAATCGATGGAGCACAGTCTCCTGTCCTTTGGCGCAGGGAAGAGGTCGTGCCTGGGCAAGAACATCGCGCTGCTCGAACTGCACAAGCTCGTGCCGGCCATGTTGTTGAAGTTCAAGATCGAGCTCGCGCATCCAGAGTGGGAGTGGACGGTTGAGAACGCCTGGGCTTTGAACCAGAGAGACATTGAGGTCACTTTGTCGCTGAGATAGACCCTGACCTCTTTTCACCTGTTCATCGGGATAGACTTGACCTTTCGTCGAGGTGAACCTTGTCTTTAATTTTGTCACGGAGATACAGCTTATGTTTCAATTATAGTTCCTTAATGGCGTGACGTGATATGAGAGGGATAAAGAACCCTCGGAAGAATAAATCAAGTCGAGGTCTCTCACCCCTATCCTGCATGATGACACAGTGAGGGCATAAGGGCAAGTCGAATTCCCTATTCATACACCAAGAAACAAAAAAAGGATACTACCAAGTCCAATGTTTTGCTTCTCTCGGGGTACGAAGAAGAATCAATATCACCGGTGCCCAGATTCAATGACCTCAACCAGCACCTTCAGAGACCGCCATATATCCTCATCCCAACAGCCTCTCAACGACTCAATCAGTCGTTGACTAACGATGCACATGCCATCATGGACGGCCCTCGCCATGTTTCTCATACTCTCCGCGGGCACCGTCAAGCAGGACGACGAGGACGACGCTGATTGCACTTCACTATTGGACCGATTGTAGTCAAGACCCAGCATCGCTCTCGCCTTGGTAGGGATCCTATCCAGGTTTCCCGGCAAGTGCGAGTGCGAGTGCGAGTGCAAGTGCACCGCCCCTCCAGGACATCCATATCCATGCCCACTCGTCTCAGACGCGACCACCTCGAAATGTGTAAAGTATACGTCGATCAGAATCCACGCTGCGAGGCTCGACAATAGTATGGCGGGCGCCGTCGGGAATATCTTTCCAAGCGTGCCGATATAAATCTGGTCTGCTACATTCGGGGATCGGACCGCGAGTACTGACGGGGACCCAAGCTGAAGCATTCCATCAGGATAATTGGAAATGGCCAGTGTCACGGCTTTGAGAACCCTATTCATTTTTCGACAGGTCGACCGCGCCGCCACTTCGTCAGTGGGAGACAAAGAGGGTAAAGACACAAGCCCGACACCACCAGATCGATCTCGTGCGAGCCCTGCTCTAACACTGAATGTCGATGACGAGTCCGAGCATGTCGACCACCTTTTGGACACGGTGAATGGGTCAGCCAAGACCGGCGATACTTGCGGCTCGTCGACACCACGCACGCCACTGCTCGACCGTTGAGGTATCGGCTTTCTTGTCAAGTGACACAAAGAAGCAGGTACAGCAGCAGGGCTCAGCTGATTCGAAGGAGAGTGCCGAGGCATTTCATCCGCCGCTGCAGCCAGGGAATTCTCTGACTGCGGTATTTCTGCAACTTCGCTCGGAGTGTCATAAGGACTGAACGCAGAGACCTCCATGGTCGCTTGTACCGGTGTCGATGGGTTTTGTGGAATTTCCGCCGTCGGCGTTGACCCCTGCCGACGGGACAGAGGTCGCTGAATCTGGACAATCTTCGGTTTGCCAGATCCAACCAGCACGGTAGCGACCATCTGTGACCGTTAGGTACATAGAGTCTCGTCAGAGGCAGGGAGAATTTGCACTCACCACTTGATCGTCTGCGTATTCTGGGTCGTATTGGCTGTAGGGGTGCTGAACAATTTGGTATAATCTTGCTTTGAACCGTCTGCGTCTCTCATCATGAGATGTCGTATTCGCCAGCCATCCCGACTCGTCCGAACAAACAAACGCAGGTGGGATCTGATCGATCGGGGTGACTGGAAAAGAGTCGGACGTAGTACTTTTATCATTTTCATCCGCCTTCTCGTCAGGGCCTGAGTTGGAACACAACGACGCCATGGTTGTACTGCTGCGGGAATCTTCCTCGTTGCAATAATACGATAGGATTTGTAACTTGTCGAGCACAGCATCATTCAAAGTCTGACTTGAATCTCGAGTCTCAGAGGCTCCAAAGTATGAGTCCTCTCCGTCTTTTGGCATATGTGTGATTGGAGACGGGAGCAGTGGCGTGGTTGGACTACTGGCATGCTGTTTCGCAAGGCCACGGAGGTCGTCAGAGCTCGTTCCTGATCTTCGAAGCTCTCGCGAACACAGCGTCGTAGACGAATGCTCTTCGCTGACACGAGGAGACTCATTTAGCTTGAGAGGGAAGGGAGCTTTAAGCTGGGGCACCCCCGGCCTGGTCGCCATCCTGCGAAGCCGTGCCTGAAGTCCGTTCGCTTTCGACCTCACCGAGAGTGTTCGTTGTAGAAGCTTCGAAAACTGGATCCGAGACCCATCTTGGGTTGGAGGTGATCCTCGAGGAGTTGAAGGAATGAACGCTCCTTCGACCAAAGAATGCATGAGGCTGTATGTAGGCTGACTGGATGGATCACGCACGATGTAAATCTTGATGTGTCCATTGTCCCATTGTGGGAATGGTTCAGTATAGATAGGGGTGTTGTCGAGGCGAGACAGGGGAGATGGGAATCACCAGATCGCAGACACAATACAGGACGCGCAGCAACGTGTATTGCGAATCCAGCTGCCATGGCGTCTGTCGAGTTAGCTGTGCAACCAGCCGCCTGTCTCAGACATGATTTCATGTCTGCCCTTGCATTTCCCGATGCAGCTCGCATCTCGTGTTACACAAACATCCCGCCTCCTGGTGGGAGCTGGATCTGGCCTTTTCAAGGAGTTTCTCTCAAGTGGGAAGCACACCCCCTTGCGTCAAAGTCAACTTTATGTCCGGTGACTAGGCGAAAATTTCAGCCGCGACAGTAGCACCGGAGTAAACAGGGTCGAAATTAAAAATTCAGAGTCCAGGCTCTAATTGTCATGCCTTGCATGGTGGAAGCACAGCGCTGGGCTCTTGTGTCGCAGATAACCTGTCGCGATATGAGATGGACTCTTAAAAGGGGTGTTTTGCCGGATAAAACCTTGTCTTATTGGAATTCGTCTCACCAGACGCAGTCTGCAGTGTTGCTCCACTGCCTAGCCAAAATTAATGTATCGTATCGAAAGACTTCTGTCGAGAGAAAGTTCGTCCGCAAGTATGTAGAGTCCTCGCATATTGAGGTCGGGTACAGGGTGAGGTGTTTCAGCTAGGCTTCTCAACTAGGGTCCAAGATTGAGCACAAGGTCTATATTGATCTATATATGTTCGATTGGCTCTTCTGGGAGCAAATGAGTGTGCTCCGAGGGCTCCTCCTCCCCCCTTCTGGGAAGTAGAGCTCGGATGGGTGGTCTCACAAGGTCGTTGAACATGAAGGTACCATAAACAAGCTACACGGTGTAAGCATCCGCAGTAAGTCGCATGCAATTGTCCACTTACGAGAGCAAATCCAGCGACTTGAAGCCACTTGAATGATTCCCAACCCAACCCAAGGGAAACAAGCCATATGAAAAGAGTGCGGCATGTATCGATGATGGAGCGGGATGTTGCAGAAATACTTCTCGTCACGGACAGTCCAAAGAAGTTGAAGCCACCAATCGACACCATAATAGCAAGACTTGAGATTCCAATTGCTCTGTTGGTGAACACTTGTCGATAACCTTCCTCGGCGTCGAAGTACCCATACCTCCCATTTTTTGTAATTCCGATGCTGAAGTGTAAGATTACCTGCACCAAGATCGTGACCACAAAGCCAAACAGTCCTTCCCAAGCGACTACTTTCAGCGGCTCGAGTGCGTAGTTTTCCAGAATCCATTCTTCCAGGCAGAATTGGGTTGCGGTGAAGATTTGAGCGAAAGCGATCAGAAGAATGCCAACAAGGGTCTTGAGGACTTCTGTGCTAGCGGCCTCAGCAACCACAGACCGCACCCAAAGACGCACACCAAGCAGTGTCTCCTGAGGATCCTGTGGAGGCGATGGCTGCCTGTTGCCAGATGAGATGACGCCAGCCAGGCCAACCAAGGCGACACCAGCCACCACAATCACAAGGGACAGCCAGTGATAGGCATAGAGCCTTCTCTTGAGAAACACTACACTAAAGAGACCAACAAAGAGCACTAGAGCGCCTCTTGTCATTTGGTATATTGAAGCCGCCACAAATAGCAGACCAACGTTCATCAGAGTGGTTCCTGCAATGTCACAGCAAGATGGGAGACTGAGTAGTGCCAGTTTCCAGCCCTCCAGTGGAGCTCGATCGTCGGCATTTGGTATGAGAGGCTTCAACGCGGGACTCGGGGCGTTTCTTGAGGTCGGTCGTACGGTAACATCGTCGTCTTCTTCTGGTTCGTCGGTGTTCACGGGCTGATAGAGCAGAGGAGCTTCGCGGGTAGACAGGATGAAGAATCGGTATAAGTAGAAGCCTAATATCACAAGCCAGCTGCCCATCTCACCGATGAACATTTGTACGCTGTTGTACCGTTAGCTAGGTTCAGGTCCGCGTCCCCAAGTCTGCAGTTCCTTACGTCTGGATAACAGGCTGTTCGAAGGTCTTAGGGTTATCATCACAATCGCGTACGCATTGCTGGTCTTGATACTTGGTCAGGATTGTATTGGCACAGCCGGTCAGTAACATCATCCCAACCAGGATGGGAATGACTGCTTTGGTCGCCATGCTGGGCGTTGGTTCTTGTGAGAGTAGAGCTATCGCCCCAGTAAGCAGAGTCAGGAGCTCTAGTCCGGGCTTAAACCAACATGAACAGCAGAGTCGTCTAAAGGATTAAGGTCAAACGATAACGATGATGGAGCTCTAGAATGCAGCAGTCCGGGACGCCTCGGGGCCTCGGCTAGGCCACCTAATCAATCTAGCCTCGCTAGCCTACTTAGCATCTGTTATCGAGAGAAATTGGAAGGTCGGGCGGGCTGGCGAAGCTATGACAAGGAGGCTGGCGAGGCCCGCACCGGGTGCATGGGCCGCCTTTGCTTGATGGCAGGGCCATCCACGAATACAACCACATTAGTCTGGACAGAGTATTGTGCGGTATACTGTACGACCACTCGCACTCACTTGCATTGAGATCAGCAGGGATCAGGTACTGTGCCTATTCAGTACCTTACGCAGGAATTAATGCATCGCACTACCAGCATAATACTCGTACTTCCGTGCGGATCCGTACAGGTAAGCGAGTACCGTCTACGTAAACATTACATGTTTTCGTTTGGGACAAAATCGCAACCGGAGGTAAGATCCGCAGGCTGGAGTTCTTCCAAGCTCGACATGCTGGGGATGACATCGAGTAGTATTGTTCGGTGCCGCGTTGCCCTCAAGAATCTTGGATTGCAGTATTGGCGACGGCGTACTATGTAGATATTCCTGCAGCCGATGTGCTCTCACAGCGTCCACCATGGTATCTGTTTGCAACCTCATCAATCTTCCCGTAAAGACCTTCAAACATCGCGTGCCGGGAAGCGTTACCGATGGATGACCCAAAAAAACGTGCGCAACTGCTCAATATCGGTACAATAACCTCATTCATTCGTATAGACAACCAGTGGTATCGTCGCTCAAAGAGAAAGCTCAAGGTTCCGGAACTCAACCAGTCGAGTATACCCTACTCGGTCTGCGTACGCTCGATAAACTGCCGCTTCGACTTCTGCGCCGTCTTCTGCTGCCGTTACTGCGGACTTTTCTCTCTACCACGACCTCTTCCCGTCCTACCCTGTTGTTGTTGTTGTTTAACGAGTTGAACAGATATATCAGCAGGATGGTTCCGAAAAATGTACCGAGGATTGCTCCTGCGAGGGTCCCGCCGGAATATTGGCCGGAGCAAGATGGTGAGGAGTTGGTGACAATGGTCGTTGTGGCCTGTCGCGCAACGAGCACGGGCGTCGCGGGATCAAGCGCAGACGCAGGGCTGGGGAATGGCGACTGTCAAACTGTATCAGCGATCCGTCTCGCACCCACTTAGGAAGGCCAGCGCGCGTACCATGTCGAAGATTATATAGGCAATACCAAGTATCTTCTTTGTAAATGCGCACTTTCACAGCGCAGTGCTGGCCCCAGAATAGCTGGTGTTCGGGTGCGGCAGTACGAAACAACCCATGCGCTTCCGCTAGTTGGTGCCAGCCTTTTATTTTCTGGATGGTAGAGGTATTGGTGGTGGAATTCGGGTCGCAGCCAGTATCGCAATCGATATGGCACAGCAATCACTGGGGCACTGGGGGCAGCGCTGGCGATGAGAGAAAAGCGAGAAGTGAGTGTCAGGTCGCAAAGGCGAGGGGCCGCGCCGATGGTGGTGTTGTTGACAGTCGCATCATGGTGCACTAGGCTTATCCTTGTTCTGGTGCTGGCGTACTGTACAGGAAGGAGTAAGACTCGGTGGGACCTCGGGTGTTCCAATTTGACGTCAGCAGCAGCCATCGCCAGCTATAAGGTACAGCGCGAGTCCTGTACGGAGTATTGCAGCACCAAACTAGTGGGGGCTCACTGGGGGCTCACAGGGAGCTCACTACTGGACTAGGTAGGCTGCTCCCACTGGCAACACAATGCTATTCGTACGTGGCATATCCGTACATTGTACGCCTCTGTGATTCCTTGCCCTACAGTCCAGGGCGCAAGCGATCACCCTAGAGACATTGGAAAGTCGCAGATATCTCGTACTCTACCCTTTCCTCCGAGCAGGATGCCAGAATATTGCGTACATCAATCTTGCACCTGGCCAGACAGACTCGCCATGCCTGGAACAGTCCCCCAGACTGATCGCCCCGGCAGGCCGTAGATGAACCTCTCCAAAAAAAAACGCATATGTGTCGATGCTATTGTGTGACCCTCAGGCTGACTCCAGCCTAGCGGCGATTTAATAGACGATTATCCCATCTAGGATTGACAGAGGTTGTCGCCAGTTAGGGATGTCTCAATGTATCATGCGAAAATGTTCATGGATCGGATTCCAATATGAGATTCGATGCAGGGACATAGAGCATTGGGAAGGGACACACCAACAATCCCTAGCCTCCGAGTCAGTGGTGGCTAACCGGTAAGCCGGCAGTAGAATGATGGCCAACATCTTTCGATGAGTCGATCTCGGCGTCTTCCCGATCAAGCTCTCCTAGAAATCACCTGCTTGGTACCTGAGCTGATATCCTTCTGTCTGAGACTCGCGATATCTGCAGCAAGATTCGGTTGTTGTGAAGAGTCGCTCGAGCCCGGACCTTGGACACTTCTCAAGCTTCGCATGCCGGGCTTGTTTGGTGTTACGGCGACTCCGATGAAGCAGAGGCAGATAGATTCACCATAGCCAAACTGTATAGAACATCCCGAGGATCAAGACAGCAACATGTACCAAAGTAACATTGTTCGAGACATCGCGCCCGTCATTCTGGGTTGACCATAGCCTTGACTTGTCTTCGTTACATGTTGGCGGTCGCATAGCAAAACACCAGCCTTGTTGCTTGAGCTTTCCATCGATGGTTCGAGTTTCAAATAACTGGAGCGATGTTGGTTTCATTTTTTGGCTACACTGGCTCACTCCTTGGAGAGCACTCTTCCGAGCTTGAGATCCTCCAGACTGTTCCGCCGACCCCAATTCTTGGGCTGCCGCTTGAGAAAGGCTCCAACCGAGCCAAGATAACCTTCGTGCCGCAGGAAATAGGCCTGTTTTTCACCCTTGGACCAAAACTTGATGGCGTATGAAAGGGTATTCATGGTCTGAGTGTGGCCACGGATAAAGGATCCCCCAAAGTATATGTGCTTCAGATTATGCTTCTCCGACTGCAGATATGCGATCTGTCCGATATTGTTAGATATAGCGTAGAGGAGACTTCGTGCCATGTCCTCGATTTTGAAACCCTGTACACGACCTTCATCCTCGTCATGCGGGTCACCGTTAGAGAGGCCTTCACCGTCTTCTGCATTCCTCTCCGCGAGCCTCTTCATGCGGAATACTTTTCCAAATGTGCTTGCTATTGTTGTGGCCTTGAGGCCAATCTTGCTATAGCCCGTGCCATAAATGTCTCCAACCAGCATGTCGACGCCGCTGTTGTCACCCTTTTCTGCCAAAGCGAGCATCTCGTCGAAAGTTCGCGCACCGGTGAGCAGGGAGAGTATTCCCCAGAATGTGCCACCTCCTAGTGACGTTCCGCCAACTCGCTGGAATTCGCCAGGGCCAGACACCTTCACCATGGACACACCAGATCCGATATTGACAAGGAGGTAGGGGTAGACATCTGCTCGAGCTTCGACAAACTGAATCGGTTCGTCTTCGCTATAAGTGAAGACTTCGCCAGGAATCTCGGTAATGAAGAAGTCAAGCCCTGTTCAAGCCTTGATTAGTAGTGCTCTAAGCCATGCGACAGAAACAACTAACCAATGATGAGGCACTCCATTTCATCTTCTTGAATGACATCGACATGCAACACCTCCCTCATCCTATTGTAGAACTTGAAAGCTCCGCCTCCTGTGGCCATGACACATAACTGATGGGGGGCAGATCCGTTCAATTTGGAATGTGTCTGCTTCAGTTCCTGGATAAAGTCGATGCAGAGGTCGAGGCGATCGGTTTCGAAGTTAACGAAGTTCAAGCGGCCGCCGCCATGGGTCGACCCAGGCTCGCGGGAGAAGTATACCAGCTTCGCCAAAGAGCCGCCAATCTAACAAAGTAAGTCACAGGATTAACACAGCGCCAGGAGGTCTGGATACGTACATCGACAGCTACGTGACTGACCACGTCCGTATGGTGCGGAAGACGAATATCGTGGCGGTCCCAGTGAACGAACTCGCTGCCCGCGCCATTTCTGCCGCAGACATCTTCGTCGACAATGAATGCACCCTCAACATTGATCTTGACGGAAGCAGGGATGGGAGGCGCTCGAGGAGGTCGAACAGGACCATCGACGTCGATGATTGCAGATGCGTCCTCAAAGTCGGTGTCCGCCAACGGCCTTTCCAGTGCAGCCATGGTTAACGACCTCGGTCAGTTCAGCCAGTCACCCATAAAAATCAAGAGAGGTGTCGTCTTTCAGGGCGCATCTAGAGACCACATATGCGCTCAGAGACCTCCACGTGCGACACCTTATGGTTGCATTATTGTTATCCGGCTGGCCGAGATTCGCTCGGTTCGGTAGGCTTATAGAATTCTAACTCGGCATCACCAAAAAAAAGTTGCAGGCTTCGGTGCCATTACGGACGGGCGAATAAGTAGCTGCATTATAGGTGGGATGGTTCGGGAGTCACGACCTCGGCATGATAAGCCTCACTAACGTTAGCCCTTCCAGCCAGCTGTACGAAGTACGAGTAACTGGGCACCCCGCACGCACTCAACTAAAGCACCCTTAGGTACCCGGCTAGGCCTAGTTAGCCCCTAGAGGCTTTGGCCCACTAGCCTACGCATCTTTTCTGTAGGCAATATTTTAGTGTTGTGTGTAATGAGAAGTATTCTATACTCTATATTGTGTGTGAAGTTATCTCAGGGTAGAGTAGATATCCATACCCTAGCTACCTACCTAGGTATAGTGTATTGTACAGTAGATACCTACTCCGTATCATCACATGGAAAATCTGTCCTGCTTCTTGAAGCTTTAGTCACCTTCGGCTTACCTTCTGCTTCTGCTTCTGCTTCTGCTTCTTAAGCAACCTCAAGCACTACCTTCTCTCTTTATTTAACTCACAACATTAACTTTCGTTTAGTTCAAACGACGGACCCGTCTCAGATGCTGGGGGATATACTCATGTACTCAAACGAGTCGAAGCTCTCATACGATCTTAGCGCGGACTGGCGTGCCCGTGTAGACACCATGAAATTAATTGGCCGCCGCCCGCACCCAGTCCGTTTTCAGCAAAAGACTGTGTTTTGTTTCCTTTTAATGAACAGTAACCATGTATTACCTGAAAGGAAAGTACAATCTTTCAGGTATACACACACACACCCACACACACACCCACAAGGGGGTACGTACGGAGTACAAGGTACTGTACAGTAAGTGAATCAATTCTCTTCACGCCGCTATAATCACAGAAGGTGCGGGGGCTCAGAGGCACCTTGGGTTCTTATGCTACTGTCGTTACATGAGCCCCCGGTCAGCAATGTAACGGTTACAGGTAGGAATTTGAAGGTCAGAATCAGTTCAAAGGTCTTCATTCGCGTACAGGTAGTACAACAACCCTGCTGGTCCTGTGTCCTGCACGAGCCGTGGATATGATAGCGACCTCCTTCTCAGCAAAATCGCCTGGGCTCTACCGTGCTTCTACTTCTTCCACCCGGGCCCTTATCATTCCACCTATCCCTCGCAGCCCGTCTCCAGTCTGATCGTAGACTCTGTAGGTATTTTCGCTCTGAATGCGAGTGACAGCCTATGAAGGTGCGCATGAACTTGTCGCAAAGGTGTGAGGGCTAGGAAGACACCGCTCACACAAGGGCCCTTGAGAAAATTCCAATCGCAATTACCGAGATCAAAGACGTCAAGGACAGGGCTTGATAGATGCTGGATCCATCGGCTATCGGTGGCGACTGGGGGTTCATGATCGGAGGCACGGTCGTTGCAAGCCCTACGAGTGTAGCTTGCGCGCACTGGCTCGGGGTAACTCCCTTCGCATCGTGAGTTAGATGCTTTGCAACATTCTCGAGGCGGATTTTCGTTCTTGGAGAGTACTTACTGCCTCACAACATCGGCTGAGAGCGACCCCAGTACCACACTGCAGGCCACCTGAGCATATTCCTAGAGACGGGTTTCAGCGGTTTTGTCGAGCAAGCATGGAAAAGCACCATACCGCTCCCATCTACACAGCAAGTATCCCCAGCTGTGAGATCAACACACCCTGCTCCAGCAAGGTACAGGCAGAGACTGCTGCTGTTTGGACAGACGAACGTGTCCTCTCGCCGTGCATGACCTATGGACTGAGGACGGGAGGGGTTGAAGCAGTTGAAAAGATAAAGAAGCGTTGCAGCGGTTGAGGTCTTCATGCTGAATATGGCACCAGAAAGCGTTAATCAACAGCAGCTTCTGCACGGGACCATCGTGCTCATAAATGGGATTCGTAGGACACGGGACTTACAAGGTTCCAAGATTTCGTGTATGGTCGGAAATTTCAAAGAGACATTTCAGCCGCAGGTTGTTCACTCTCCCGGTTCTGAGGAATTGATACAACCAAGCATGTCTCATAGCCTTCTCCTTTCCATATGCGGCTCCAATAAGGTCGGATGATGGTGTTAAAGATGGCACTTGAGTCATACCAGAAATTGACGGTCAGAGACCAGCCTGAGCCGCAGTAGTTGGACGAGCTGGAAGCCGTGTGTCTCACCACACATCTCACCAGTTTGAATGCTCACACGCACACATCCGCCGCCCTTGATAGTCATGCTTGAGACCTGTGATGAATAATGGATGAGCCATCAACATTGACTTGAGACAGGCCAATGTTGTTTTGGACATGATTTCCTCGTGCCACCGAAAGTAGCCGACTCATTCTATTCTAATGTTGCTTCTTGGACTAGATGAACCTCTCGCCAATGTCGATCGATGACTCCTTTGTCCAAATTGGCTCGCCATATATCTAACTGCCAAAAAGGTGATGCAGAACCTGCCTTACGAGGTAGATGATATCGAATTGGAAAGACAAAGTGCATAGTGTATGTTCGTGGCTTTTTGAATGTGTCGATAACAGGCGCGTAAGCTGACTTGGTGGTCAACATCGCCCACAGATGGTCCATGACATTCTTGTCTGAGAGCATCTCGGAATCTGCTTGCGCGGGAATGTTAATCGTCCAGCACTTTTGCCACGGGGAGAAGGTCACGTTCAACAGATTCGGGAAATGCGTCAGATCCGGCATCCACTGCGGCTCGGTTTCGAAGACATTCAATCGCACATGGCGGATTTCTTCAAGGAGCCTCAGGGCAGCCATCCTACTCACGAACACGCCAAGGGCTTTCTGACAATGAACCTCCCAGATGGCAAGTTGCACAAAGGCCCTTTGCGCCTCGCATCGCACCTGGATAGGCATATCGGTGCTCAGCAGCCACAGATGATCTGCTCGGTATGGACCTCTGACTTCGGAGGAACAGTAACAGCCGGATCTGCTCGTGACGAAAACTCGATTTGACCAAAAGGCGTGTTCGAAGATCTTCCAGCGAAGCTCGGCTGGTAGCTCAGGCAAATGAGATACCACCATTGCCAACCTGTCGTCACGCGAGTCGACCGGGGACAAGTAGGGGCGAGAATTCAGTGTGTGATAGTACGCATCTTCGGCCAATGCTGATTCGGCCATCATGGATACCTAGGTACCTGAGCTGTCAAAGGGGACTCTAGAAGGGAAGATAGCAAAATAGGGCATCTGTGTGTGTTTCGCTCAGGTGATCGATCCACAGCGCATGGAAGTGAGTGCAGAGAGAAGATCGTTGGGCGAGAGTATTGGTGATGATTCTCGCGTGGTGTCGTACCACAGATGAAGTAAATATATTGTCCACCACATGGATTCTCCCCACTCCATGATCGCCATCTCCAACTTGGTAACTCCGAGTATGTGAATCTTTTTATTTTTGCGTTCTTCCATGCGGCCTGGGATTGTTAACACCACACCTCCTGCTTAGCAATGTCAAGAACGAAAGCGCATGCCCGCAAACAAGGTGGACGGAAGCGAAGTCTCGAAGATGTTGATGGGACCGAAAATGATCGTCCTTCAAAACGACAAGCCTCGCAACCTACACCTCTACCCAGGCCTACCGAAGTCGACGAGACCATTGCCATGATGAACCCTGCTCTGCTCGCTGATCATTTCGCCAAGGCAATCAGAAAGTACAATCCGAACAGCGCTTCTCTGGAGCTCGAAGAACAATACCTGCCCACAAAGGCGTTTCGAGATACCACTGGTTTCGACGGGATTCATAGCGCTGACCGACTGGCAGCTTTCCTCGAGCAATTTTCGGAGAACGGCAAAGCCGAGTTGACCGCATGCGAAGCAAAGCAACAACCACACACCCTAATCATTGCTCCTTCGGGAATCCGGGCGGCGGACCTCAACAGGGAAATGCGTGGTTTCAATACCAAGCAATCCAAAGTCGCAAAGTTCATTGCGAAGCACATGAAGCTCAAAGAGAACGTGGAATACATGAAAAAGAACAAGGTGGGAATTGTCATCGGCACGCCTGCAAGATTAGTAGACGTGATCGGCACCGGGGCAATCAAGGAAACCAGTGTTCGGCGAATTGTCGTGGATGGGTCCTATCGCGACGAGAAGAAGAGAAATATCTTTGAGATGCAGGAACTGTTTCAACCGCTACTGGCATTGCTGAACCTCAAGGCTTTTCGAGCCAGGTACGACGCGGAGGACCAACTTGAAATCCTTGTGTTCTGAGGTGCCTTTTCAACACTGTTGGTAAAACAATGTTGACTTCGAGGAGAAAGGTCAGTGTGCTATGAGGTTTCACTTCGTGGCATCTGGAATGGAATTGAATTGGGTCCTGCCATCCTGCCATGTGCTGATACAATACAAACTCAAGTCCCCAGCAGGACAGATGAACGTTCAGGATTCGCATCTGATAGGCAAATCACCAGCAGATCAGTTGATCGCTTTGGATGTGGGAGCCGGTCTCGGAAGCGAACATTCCACCACACCAAGAAACTCGCCCCTCGGCCTTGCACAATAACCTGCGCAGAGATAGGAGCACCAGCATATATTGAGATGCTGTTGCATGCAACAAGAAGCTCTCCGGCGAATACGAGACTCAGAGATAACCTCAGACACAAGGTATCGCTTGTCGAGAAGACAGATTCAACCGTCATGCGCGGCCTGAGATATGGCAGAGTTGGCGAGCAAACGTAAGTGCAGGGTGTGTTAATCATCCCAAGGGATGTGCTGATTTCTAGTCCCAGGGGCACTTGTTGCTATGGATCTCTCCAGTCATGGCGAGCCAGAGGCATTTTCCACGAGCCGTTCGACCATTTTCTCCATGGTAGCCTCGATGGTGAAAGAAGAGGCTGGCGTAAATAGTGGTCTCCGAGAGGAACTAAATCCACAATGGGCTCAGTACTGCTTCCCAAACTCTCCCATCTCAACCCATTCTAGATATCGTTGCATGAGAAAGTGATATGGTAACCGGTTGCTGCCCAGTCTTTCTCGAACGCCCCTTTTTGCCACAAAGCAGAAACTTTTAGATTGATAAAGTGTCCATCCGATTCTCAGGACTTAATGAAGAATTATGCCACGTCGTGAAGTCCCCTGTGAGAGTTCAAGGTATAAAATACGACGGCAGAAACAAGCCTTGGATAGACGCATCTGACATGTTCGGTACTTAAAAAGCACAGTTCCCAGCTTACAGGAACATGTTGGACAATATGCCAAACTCGTATTCGTACTCGTAGCGCAGGCAAGCTTGTGTCAGAAATTCTCCGCCGACGGTCCTTATGCAAGGTGCGCCCACATGGTACACAACGACCAGGCGACGAGTTACCGTCTACCTATCAATTAGTACGAGTACAGAGGGCAGAGTACCTGGTACAATAAATACATAGTGCGATGCGACCCTGCCTCGTCCAGGGTTAATACAGGCTCACAAGGCTATACATAGTAGACTTGTTACGGGCCCAGTCTTGACGGCATCATCAAAAGTCTCCAAGTCAGTCCTTTCGCCTGGCGCAGTTTGATCGTCTACGGCAGGTGCCTGTTTCTTTCAACGTCTCCTCTACGACACATCGATTCCTGCTTCTTCTCGGCTGGCCCATGGGATATTGCTATCGTTAACGAGTCGCTGGTATTTGTCTCTCTTTCCTGAATCCTGCGATAACTCGTACCATTCATTCTACACGCCCGTTTTACGTGATCCCTGGCCTGCACCGTCGGATCTACGATCTTGTCACACGTTGATTTTATCCCACCGGCCGGTTGAGTTGGCACCGGGACGCACACTCAGCATGAGTTACCAATCTTTCTTAAAGGCGACTTCCAACTCGAAGCCAGCCATTCAGACGCCTTCACCAAGCTCCATCCAGAGAAAACCTCCCGTCTCTGCGAGCCCAACCCCGTCTTCCGTACACTCTGCGACCACGCACAACCCGTCCCTAAGTCTCACATCCAACCCACCATTCACTCCTGCCTCGTCTGCTCCTTCGCCAACGACTACTTCGAAACCCCTTGCGCAGCCTGAACCGAGTCAGGCCGTCCAAGCAGCTCAGACAAGTCTCCAGCCGCTGACCAAGGCACAAATCGATGCAGCGTTGGAGACTTGTCTGAGCTTACAAAATACTGCCACCAAATATCATGAAAAAAGACCGTTTGCGGCGCTTCTTCTGGGACCCGACAACAGCACTGTGCTTCTGACTCACTACTCCATTTCCCACGTACAACACGCAGAAACAGAATTGGCGCGGTTAGCCTCGATACACTTCTCGCAACCTTTCCTGGCTGGGTGTACGCTGGTGTCGACTTGGGAACCCTGCGCCATGTGTACGGGAACACTGTACTGGAGTAACATTGGACGGCTTGTCTATGCTGCCAGCGAGGAAAAGCTCAATGAACTCACCGGGGGCGGCAATGATGAGAACATGACAATGTCTCTGCCATGCCGCGACGTGCTGAAGGCTGGCCAGAAGGACGTCAAAGTCATCGGACCCGTCAGCGGCTGGGAAGAACGAGTGATTGCAGAGAGCGGGAAATGGTGGAGGGATCATCAGTCTACCGAGAATGGGCAGCATCTACGAGCGGCTAGTGTCAATGGTAGTGAGAAGCCCGAGAGTGTCTCCAGCGTGCGACAAGGAACTCCGACCACCTGGACAGGTGAGGACAGTGTCCTGAGCCGCATAGACGATGAAGGGGAATACAAGGCTGATCTAGACATTGACTGGATGAGGTGAGGTGTGAAATCTGACCGCTGCAAGGAGAGATAGACTGTATGCGCAGGTATCTGTAAGCAATAGCAGTACGCAGTGCTCCGGAAAACAATGTTCGATTTCTTTTGCGAAGGGCATCGTCCCTCTCTATCGAGTTCCTGGGACGAACGGGGAGGGAACTCGGCGTCCAGAGTATACCTATTATGTAGTCACAGGTTCCTGTTGTGCGCACGAGTGAGAGCGAAAGTGCATCCCTGTTATATGTGGGTTCGTATTCGCCTCGTATTCCGTAATGACCCCCCCAAACTGCCAAGGCTGACGTCGACTGTTGAGCTCACTTCACTGCCCTAAGCCAAAAAGAGCCGAGTCAAATCTTTGGGCGCATCCGGATCGCAAAGAGCCCGAAGGCGAACGCTGAGCATCATACGAGAACCAGTTTGTGCAGCCCGAGATCACCGGCGGTACACTCTACTCCCGGAGACATGGAAGACTCTCATTCTGTCTTGTTTTTCTTGCGATAATAATCCTAATCCTCATTGACGACAATGGCCGCCGCCCATGCTGCAGATTCGGAAGGAAACCTCCTTCGTCCGCGACCTCTGAGGGTATTACCTGAGGCATTACGCGCTGCCGGTAATCATGGACTCAACGGTTTCTCCGAGGCGCCCTCTGGGATATCGAGGTAGATTCATCATACGCTCTCCATGGATAATGCTAACTTCAACTTCCAGTGGACGGTCGACACCCATTCCTCAGGATGCACCGCCGTCTGTACAGTCCCTCTCGTCCGCTCGAAAACAGGCCCGCGCCCAGGCGAAGCACCGACTCTACCACACGATCGTGTACAAGAACCGAGTGTCTCACTTCGACCCCCGCAGCGACTACCGGGACTTTCGAGGCTTCTTTGTCCTGTTCTGGATCAGTCTGACCATCATGGTCTTGACGACAGGACTTCGGAACATCAAAGAGACAGGCTATCCGCTGCGAGTACAAGTGTACGAGCTCCTGTCGAGAAATGTAGTGTCGATGGCCTTGAGCGACGCCGTCATGGTGTCGAGTACCGCCTTGAGTTTAGTCATCCAGAAATGGATTCGAGGCCAGACTGGGATCCTGCGATGGAAACGGGCGGGCATCTGGATCCAGAGCATATATCAAGCGCTATGGCTCACGCTTTGGGTGGAGTGGCCGTTTCTTCTCGGCTGGACGTGGACGGCGCAGGTCTTCTTCGCCCTGCACACCCTTACTATTCTGATGAAAATGCATTCTTACGCCTTTTACAACGGTCATCTCAGCGAGACCGAACGACGTCTGCATGAGCTTGACAAACCAGAAACCGCCGACCGAGCAAAAGCTGTCATCTACCCCAGTTCGCCAACACGTCTGCAAGAACTCGATCCCGACAGTCTCAGCGAAACAAGCGCTGAATCTCTGGAAGAACTCTCCCAGCTGCGGCAAGACTTGGCGACCGAGCTGACCTCTCCTCTCGGCCGAGTCACCTATCCGCAGAATCTGACCCTGGCCAACTACGTCGACTACATCCTCTGTCCGACGTTGTGCTACGAGCTGGAGTATCCGAGGACACCACACATTCGCTGGCTCGAACTGTCGCAGAAGACGCTAGCCGTCTTCGGGTGCATCTTCCTCATGATCACTGTGAGCGAGGAGTTTATCACTCCTGTGCTCGCAGACTCGGCGATCCATCTCCGTAACAGCGCCTCATTCGCCGACAGCGCGCTCGTGCTAGCGGAGACGACCAGTATGCTACTGTTCCCCTTCATGATAACCTTCCTGCTCGTCTTTCTCGTTATCTGGGAGTATATTCTCGGCGCGTTTGCCGAAATTACCTGCTTCGCCGACCGACACTTCTACTCGGACTGGTGGAACAGCAGCGATTGGCTTGAGTTCTCACGCGAGTGGAATATCCCCGTCTACCACTTTCTCCGACGACATGTCTTTTTCTCTTCCAAGTCGTACGTCTCGACTCCGATCGCCATGACCATCACTTTCCTGATCAGCGCACTCGGGCACGAACTCATCATGGGTTGTATCACCAAGAAATTGCGAGGCTACGGGTTTGTGGCCATGATGTTGCAACTTCCCATTGTTGCCGTTCAACGCAGTCCCCTGATTCGCGGTCGGTGGGTTTTCAACAATGCGGCGTTTTGGTTTAGCATGATCCTGGGTCTTAGCGGCATGTGTAGCTTGTATGTCCTCGTTTGAGCGGAAATCTGGAGCACCAAAATTCGAACCGGCGCCTCAACTTCGGAGAGAGCGAGCGAGGGAGGAGGATCCGAGAAACGATCCGCAAAGCTCCCAGCCAGAAACAGGTTCCAAAGGCACGAGAAGAATATTCACCCGTGTCCAACCAACTGTGAAAACAATGGTCAAAAGGCCGAAACGACCAAAACCACCTACCTAGGTACCTACCTCAGGTATCTGAACTGTTTAGTCCTTGATCCATTTGCCTGGAGCAAGGGCCCACTCACCTACTCAAGGTACTTGCTTCGTACCATTGACTGTGATTCTACCTAATATGTACCACTACCTACCTTTCTAACTTATCTGATCGCGGAGTGTCATCAAAGACTGGAAAGACAGACGGAGAGAAGAGACGCCAAAACATACAAAGGACCTCAGAGATATATACGATCATCCTTTGTGTCTCGAGCCAGCTGAATCTACCTGACTGGATTCAGGGGCAGACTTGGCCGAAATGAAATGGTTTCGATAGATATCTTCATCGGCCGAAACAACAAAGTCTCGTCCAAAGGCTGAGCTCTCTTCCTGCGTACCTTCCTTCTCTTAGCTTCTCTTACCTTGGCTTACCTTAGGAGGTAGACAGACACCAGACAGATTACCTGAGTTCAACGGCCTCCATGGATGTACATATGGATATACATATACAAATACTTGGACATGTACTTGTACTTGGACCTTACCTTTCAACGATAGAAATCCGCTCCCTACTATACAGAACTTTTGTCAGGTCGAATGACGCTCCGGGCAACAAAAAAGAGACGAAACCGGTTCCACCCTTATTGGATCATCACGTCTAACTACTCTCGGTCTCGGTGGGTAATCCAGGAGTAGAAAAGCAACATCGCATGCGCATGATACGTATATTCCGGGATAGAACGTTCGACGTCGACGTCGACATCGACATCGACATTGTACATACACACTCAACGACAAAGATCTATCGCCTGCGTAGGTAGGAGGGCAAAACCCACCTACGACGAACATTACCAACCCAGATCTACGTGAGATCGGAAGGTAGTTAGTTGGTGGGCGAGTCCCCATACAGCTCACCCACTCACTCTCGTCGAAACTTCATACAGATGGACCCCCCCGGGCAGGCAGGCAGGCAGATGCTTCGTGACCACACACAAAACAAGAAAATCCTGATCGGAAAAAGACAGAACAACATGGCGCAGTATAAACCCGGTACATGATCATCACACTCATATTCTCGTGTAGACCCTCCCTGTCCCCCTTTACATAAACTCCAGCTTCACTTTCCCCCGAACCCTCGGTCGGGAAAAAGACGCCAGATCCAAAAAAAAAATATAATCCCTGTTGAATGGCACGCATGCGGATGGAAGTAAGCCTGAATTCACCTCATTGATATCCACACCACCGCCACAACGTCAAATCACATCACTACACAGCCGCCGCTACGAGCACGGCGTCGTCCAGCGTGTGGTGGGCGCGTTGTTGCATAATCCAAACCGCTTCCTTCGTCGCCTGTTCCAGTATCCTGGGCGGTGCCGTCCTCGTCGTCGCGCACTCTGTTTTCTGCTTCGCGAGCTCGTCGGCGCCTGCGTCTTGAGCTCCAGCCGTGGCCAATGACACCCACCTCTTCGCTCGCCACCATCCATTCCGCCCACTTCTCTTCCAGACGGGCGGCCGCATTCCAGCGACCAGTCACGCATCTCTTGTAGTGCTCCTCCACGGTCTGCTGCCAGCCGTAGAAGGCCTTGAGGTGGATGATCTGGCTCGGATAAAGCAGCTCCTGGATCTCAATCACTTTCCTGTACTTCTTCTCGTCGCCAAGCTCTTCCACTACGGTCTGGACAACCGATTTCTTCCGCCCTTGCATCACACGGCCGTTCCCCTGGAGAATCTCCCGGACGCCTGCCCATGTCACGTTTGCGCAATCAAAGGCGACCAGTTCCAGACCTTTCTTGGGTATCTGAGACCTCTTGGTAGTACTGCCTCGTCTTCGGACTTGTTCCGAAGCTTCCATCAGGACGAGATCCGAGATCCTGGTGTTGTCCAGGCAGAGAGACTTGATCTCTGGGCACGCTTTAAGTAAAGGGAGCACACCGACGTCGCCGATCTGCTCGCAGTATGAGATGCTCAGATGTTCCAGCGTGCTTGCCGCTCTGGATTTGGATAGATTGATCAACGTTGCGTTCGTCAAGAGCTCCGCCTCTTCCACTTCTAGATGGGTTAGTCGATGTGTCGACTGCAGAAGATCCTCTAGCGCGTCGTCTGTCAATGCGGCGTTCTGACAAAGGCGCAGTCCTTCAAGGAACGGAACATTATGAGCAAGGGATCTGACACCACGGTCGGTAAGCCTCCTGCATCTCGAGATATCTAGGTGGCGTAGCCTCCGCGGCGGCACAAGGGGTCGATCGGTCAGCACGTCTCGCTCGGGATCCAGTCCGTGAACCATTATCTGTAGAGCCTCGTCCGTGAGACTCTCGCAGTGCTGCAGAATAAGCCTTTCGAGAGTATTGCGCTGGAAAAGTTCCAACATGAAGTCGTTGTCGTCCAGCCCTCTAACCTCGGACGCCCGTAGATCTCTCAAGTTTGGACATGACTGGATCACTTGCCTGAGACCCTTGGTATCAATCTGAGAGCACCAGTCGATGTTTAGCATCTCCAGTTGCGGGCAGTGACAGGCAATGATTTTCATAGTTGCGTTGTTAATGTTCTGCATGTTAGGCATGTTGATATGGACGAGCCGCGGATTTCTCAACAGAAAGAAATGTATCGAAGACCGTTCAATCTTGCATCCTTCAATGCTGAAGCTCTCGAGGTTCCGGCATTCTTGGTTTGTCATTCTCGTACCCAAACTTAACCACTGGTCCCGCAGCTGGACACAGCCTCTCAAGTTGAGATTCTTGACGAACGCGCCGGCCTTGAGCATGATCTTGATCAGAGCATCCGACGTTATCTGCTGATAATATGTCTGGCAGTCGAGACTGGTCCATAACTGCCCGTCAAAGCACATGTCATGCCATTGCTTGGACACGGACGATACTCTGATGATCTCTTTCGGCGACAAGAAACGGAAAATATGTAGTCGGAGCTCATGGGGCATATCTTTCCAAAAATCAAAGTTCGGCCGACGTACGAAGGGTTTCTCCGAGATCTCGGGCAACGGTGTAGAGATAGGTTTGCCCGTTCGGATATCGAGGGGGAGAGAGGCCGTAGCGGCTTCGTTCGAATCGATCGGACGCAGTCTGGAGTTGGCCTCGAAGTAGGACTGCTGACTCCCCGGCGTCCCTGGGGTGGTAGGTGCGGTAGAGTAACCGCCGTTGGAAAGCTGGGGAGTGTAAGGGTTCGGTGGTGATAGGGAATATGAGCCGGTGGGAGAACCCAGGGAGACGCAGGATATGGATGCTTTCTGTCCCGACTTGTAAACCCTCTCGCTCGACCTCGTCCTCCCCAGCTTGGCCAGCGAGGGGGAGGAAGACATGCGCTGCAGGCCTTGAAGCAGTCGATGGCGCGATTTCAGCTTCACTGGCTGGTCGAAGGCGGTGGTAGCCTCGATCATCGGGCTTGCGGGGGTCATTGGCCTTGGTGAGTCCGGCTGGCGTTGAGGAGTGAGGGAAGACCTCGTTGTGATGGTGGATATGGGCTCCATGGTGTAGAGATACTATGCGAAGTACAACTCGCAGACTCAACGACGAGGGCAGAGTCGTGCAGAGGAATCAACCCCTCGCACGGCAGGGAGGAAGTGTAACGAGGCTGTGAGTACTCGTAGAGAGGTTCAGAGAGTGCAGACCGACCAGCAGGGTCAGACGAGCAAAGGGATCGGGTCAATCGTCAGCGGACGCTGGTCGACAGGGCGCACGCCATCGAGAGTCGGAGGTGTGAGGTCAGGCGACGGGGATATGTGTATATTGCAAAGGGTACAAATATGTAGGGGATACCCGTAGAGGCAGAGGTGTTGGAACGAGCCTGAGGAGGTCAAGTGCCGATACAGGGTGAAGGATGCAGGGATGATTTTAGTCGGGCCTGAAGAAGAGTAGAGCAGATCAGGGTAGGATGACCAGGTGGTGATGGGTGGTGATGGGTGGTGAGGATGGTGGTGAGGATGGTCCGCAGACACCTTACCCAGAGGTGGCCAGGGTACAATACCGTACTGTACTGTACCTCTGGCGATGGCAGAGAGTGGGCGGGTGGCGGAGGGGCAGAGAGGGGTAAGTGTGTATCCGTACGGTAAAGACCTGTACCCGCCGTTATCGCTATCAGCCGTATCTCCATCATACAATATCAATCGCCGCCGCTACGGAGAATCCCATCGGCCTCCAAGTCGGTGGCTACAGCAGTTTGGGCATGGTCTGGGGACCTGTAGCGCCCTCAAAAACCTGTCTACACGCAGCAGTAGTCCATCCTGCAGGCACACAACTACAGGTTCTAGGTCCGAGGTCACAGGCAAAGATCCATCAAGCGAACCGAACCCACCGGACTGCCGCTCCCCCCAGCAGCCTAGTGAGCCACCATGGGCCTGGATCCCTACAGCAATGGACGAACCAACCGCCTTCACTGCTGAGCCTGTGCCGCCCTCCACCTCTTCAGACTGCAGCGCGACAAGTTTGCCTCTCTTTATCCCGGGCTCTGTTGTACTTGTACAATATAACGGCGAGTCCTCATGACACTATCCAGTCTCAAAAGTCAGCAGACAGGGCAGCGATGACCTTCCCTCACTTCGCATCGGTATCGTCCACCTCGCTTAGCACGGCCGATCTCAACGCAGGACGGAGTATTGCACAATAATGACACCCGTGCTCCGTCCACACAGAATGGCGTTTGCGTCTCCTTTCGACGCTGGGCCGCTGGCCACCTTGTGGGACCGAGGTGCGCGTGTGCAGCTGGCAGCTTGCAGTAGCTCATCCGTCGTGGCTTGGACCCTTTTAACCCCAATCGCCTCATGCTCTTCACTGGATGTCGCATCTCCTTCACTTTAGCCGAGGAAAACGATTTTACCCTTGCAAGGCACTGCTGTGTCGAATCGATTTGCTCTGACTTAGAAGTTACGGATAACCGCCCCTCTCCACAAGGCCCTCTGGGGTTACGAGTACGGATACTCTGGAATACCGCTGGAAGACCGAAATAGCGCCACATGATACGGCGTATCTCGGCCGCTAAAAGGGCTGGGAGTTCCGAGTGATCGGCTCCGCCTGCACGCTTTGGGGATGGTGTTGCTAGCCTTCCTTGGTTGCCTTCCTACCTATGTAATGAGAACGACTTTGGGCCTCCTACGAATTGGAATCCGGGATGATTTCGGGCAATGGGAGTGCTGCTTGAGACAGGCATTGGACGGCTACGTCAACAGTCACTGGGTGCTCGCCGAGCTCGTCCATTGCCAACTTCAGCAATCTGTAGAGGTGTTTTCCGGTGAAGGTAATTCGTCTCCCGGACGCAGCGTAGAAGTCCGGATCACTCAGTATCATGCCTGTATGCGTTGCACTGGGAATCTTGAGGAAGAACTCGCCCGATATCAGAGAAAGTCAGTTCCACCCTCCTATATTCCACAATCGTCGGGCCTGAGGACTCGTGGATCGACAGACGAAAACAAGTCTCTAGGATTGGGCCACTTCGTATCGGTGAGAATGCAATACTGCCAATGCACAGTAGCTCCGTCATGGCGTGAACGTCAGAGTCGGGGTAAGCCACTGCATACAAGGTGACGGTTATAAAACTCTCGATGCGGCTGAGCGTGAACACTCCGATATCACAGAGAATAGAGTTCCGTCCACAGCGCGGTAATGCTGTTCCAGGAACATCACCGAAGGAATTTGCCCTTGCATCGTCCATCGGACCCTCGTAAGAAAACACGCACGTCGTACCCGGTTCATTGGCTTAAAGACACTGGTCAGAGACGCCGCCTTTTGTTCTCAGTTTCCTCTCGACATCGAATGGACCAGGAGGGTTCAGTTGGTGTTCTCGCCCCTTCTACAAGCACAAGAAGCAAACCCATGGCCGGAACGAGGAATAATAAAATTGATCATGCTGTTCCGCTTCATACACGTTGACGAGTGTTTGATATCCAGCTGAAACCGCTTCCGCGATATGTACCTTGTATGCACCGCGGCTACCAACTGGCGACATTCGACCGCGGCTCGACAAGTCTTTTCTAAAGAGTCTTCGTCTTCTTGTCCATGCACCGCATTCACCACTGGGGATCTCAAACGTCCGCCTTAGTCCTCTCCACCCCAGTGGTTTTACTGCCGCATGGGGGAACACAATTGTCCAATACGTTCGCTGTAATGTTGTTTCGCCTTTAAATCACCTCGCTCATCATAGGTATTCGAGATTTATATGGCGTTCTTCGTCGTAAATGTCATCGCTCTCGTAATCATCTTTCTCAGAACAAACCTTGTCAAAGGAGTAGATAGACCCTCGATCAGGCTTTCGTCAATCGTCCTCGAGCCACACATCGTTCCGCACTGCCTCAATCGTGATTCGTTTCTCTACATCTCTGTCGAGCATTTTGCGAATGAGGTCCAGGCACTCTTCGGAAAACGGCAGATACGGAACTCGTAAGGGGTGGTCAAGTATTTCATCTGTGCCAAGTCAGCCTTCCATAATCACAATCTCTCGATGTATGTTTACCCAAGTTATAGAACGGATCTGGATCACAAGGTTAGTCTTGGGAATCCTCATACGGCGAGGCACTACTTACTCTCCTTGTACGCAATCGTGTACAACAGAATCCCCAATGCCCACACGTCCTGTTCTTTCCCTCCGTATCGTTTCCCTTGCAGAACCTCCGGAGCGGCATAATCTAATCACTTCTTAGCGTCAACAAAAGTAAGAAGTTCTGGAGACCAACCTATAGTACCGACGAATACATCGAAGGGTCCGTTCTTGATATAAGCAGCACTTCCAAAGTCGATCAATTTTATGCGACCCTCGCCGTCCAGAACCACATTTTCGTCCTTAATATCACGGTGGACCACGAGCGCTTTGGTATGCAGGTGGTGGATGGCATCGACAACCTGGCGGAAAATACTTTGACTTTCTGCTTCCGTCATATTCGTCCGAAGTTCGATGTAGTCGAACAGATCCATGCCAGGGATGCCGTGCGGTAACATTTCAATATAGTAGTTCACGTCGTCCTCAAAAAAGTCAATCATCTCCACTATGTTTGGGTGGCGAAGTCCATCACCACGAAGGTAGTCGAGAACGTGGATTTCCAAAGGCACCGTCCCCAAACGCCGATCCCTGGTCCACGTATCAACAAGGATTCGTTTCTTGGTCACATATTTCAGCACCATTTTTCTGGCTTCTCCTCTTTTGTACCGAGCAAGTTTGACCTGACCATACGCACCAGATCCCATTTCCTCCAAGATGGTAAAGTCCTCAATCGTCTTTCTTTCATGCGGGACATATGGTGTATGCGGAGGTGGGTGGTCCAAGGGCTCATCCATTGCAACCGAGTCTGTTTCATCCGGCTCGTCCGAAGGGCTCAACACTCGGGGACTGTCAGTTGAGGTCCTAGGTGGCGGCGATGGTATAGACGTAGGTGGCTCTGGTTGGGAGGGTGGTGACAGAGGACGCGATTGAGGCTCATGGTCAGTAATGGATCCACCCATACTGGTGGAGTGGATATTTCGCGAGTAGATGATCCAGACGGCGTAAACAAGTTCGGCGACTGCAACCCCTGATCCAGCGAGATCCTCTCCCTCTTCGTCCTCCTTCTCCTCAATTATAGCATCGTCGGACATGGGGAATAACGACTCACTTCGAACCACTCGCATTTGGACGTCAACCATGATATCAGAGCCGTCATGATGTTTCGCAGGTAGTCCACAAGGCCGCAGAAAGATGTCGCTTGGGTTCTCATTGCCTTCGCGGAGTGCGAGCAGGCCACGAGCTCGACGGAAACTGTGCTCTGGTATCACAATTCCATCCGACAGCTGAACGTCGTCCTCGCTGGCCAATATATGTAGCATGTCACCGAAGTTTGGGATTAGGCTGGTAAATTCCAGGCCTTCGGGCTTTTCATAGCCAAACAATGCGGCGGCAAAGATGTTGTTAGAACTACTGATCTTGAGGTTGGCGGGATTGAGTACCATCACGCCCGCGATGTGTGGCAGGCTCGAAACTCGCAGTTGATTTTCCGTAGGTGACTTCTCCACTGTTGTGGGAACGTTGAAATGGTCAACGGTTCGAGCCGTATAATACCCTGGATGTATCTTTTCAGATGAGTTCATAGTGTTCAAAGGGAACTTGGGAAGCAGGCTCTGCAGAGGAGCACCTTCAAGATTCGATTGTCCCCATATGGCTTCGGTGTCCCCATAAGCGCCTTTAACTGTGCCGTCATCATCCACGTTCACATACGCAACATCCTCCGCGATCTCTTCTACTACCCAGATGAGACCGCCTCTCTTCTCCATGACCCAGAAGCTTGCAGCGCCTTTGGTGCCGTCGCGCCTCTGGACAGGCACGATATCGCCACAAAGAAGAACGCCTCGGGATTTGGTAGGCGGGTGATTATTGGATTTGGACCGGCTATAACCACCAGAGCCGTCAACCGTCTTTGCTCTTTTGTCTGAAGATTTGTTAGCTCTAGAGGGAGCTTTACTCAGCAGTCTAGCAGTAATACCGCTCTTTGACCCGATCGACGACATGCTACCACTTCCTGTTCCATTCTTGAAGGTTGTGGGACGTATGCTCTCTGCAGGTTCTTCGGGGCGAGCGAGCCTTGTCTCTAGCCAATGCCTTCGTTCTTCTTGGATGATCCCCAAGATGCTAAGAGAACGGACCTCGGCTCTTGAGATGCCGAAGATGAGGCAGGCCAAGTCGTTGGCAGCTAGAATAGTCCAGGGAGCATCCCCTTCGGTTCGAAACACAGCTTGATGGGTTGGCGACCATTTGCTACTGTGGCTGTGCACGTTTGGTGGATTGGCGACCGAGGGTGTAGGAGGAACGCTGGTTCTGGACATTGTCGTGGCGCCTTGAGGGTAAGAGACCTCGTCGGTTGAGTAAGGCTGTGCAAGAGCCTCTATCAACTTCTGCTGGAGAGACACAGAATGCACGTCAGTATATGTCCTCCGAAGAGCTGTTCGGCGCGGGGCGCTCATAGAATCCGACCGTGATGGAGGTATTCTCATCTCTAGATCTGGCTCCCGTAAGGCCTCTTCGTCCTCGTCATCGTCAATCGAATATTTGCGCCCAGCGCTTTGGTCTTCTGCATATTGTACCCCGGCCTGTTTTTGGGCATGTTCCAATTCCTGGCTGAAGCTCTTCTCGAAGATATTGCGTCCGTCGTGATGAGCCGGACCCGTGAGAGGCCCTGCTCCAACTCCTCGAGAGTTGGCACGACCAGTATCAACTGGTATGAGATTGGCCTTTTTGAGGAGGGCCATCATTCCTTGTACCTCAACGTTCCCGCTGGCTCGTGCTTGGGCGTCAGCCAGGGCAGGGTTTGCGGCCCATTGAGACCGATCTCGCACGAAATCCACCGACCTTTGCAGTATGTTTTGTCTGCTATGGAGAAACTCTTCCGATTGTTTGGCAAAGGAGAATGAGTGCAATGACTCCGACGGGAAACGGTGAAGGTCCTCAATGACAGGGGACGTTGGACCGCTTAGCAGCTGTCCGGTCGAAACGGATCGAGATGAAGAACCAGACATCGGCATGGTCTTTGAGCGCTCTATGGGTGAGGCGAGAAAGTCGCCATCTCCCAAGACCAAAGAGGGCGCCCGCAGTGAAGGGCCCAGTCTTCTGATTCTTCGCAGGCCGGACTTTCCGAGGTCATGGTCAAAACGCGTGGCCCTGCCTGAGTCAGAGATCACAGCACATATATCAGAATATCGCACACACCTCTTCAGATTGCTTATCTCCTGCGCCGTCCCAGCGTCAAAGGAAAAGCGCGTCCGGGGATTGAACGAAGGAAATACGGACGCATCGTTGCCAGCCAGCGGTAGATTCGACGTGCTCTTGTTCTTTGGGATCCGTAATGGCTGGACGTCCAGTGTGCTTGATCTGAGCACGGGCGATACGGGAGGCGGGTTGTTTCCTACAAACGATCAGTGCTACAGCTCCCAGATGTCTGTCGCGTCAAGAGAGGCCCGATTTGGGGATTTTGCAGCCTCGTTCTTTGCCAGGCCTCCCTCAACAGAACAGTGGTGCCGTACCATGGCTGTCTTGTCCATCGTGGGTCATACTGAACACACCCTCTCCACGCCACGTACGGAGCAGCTGAAGGATCAGTGCAGTGTGATTGTCACAACCCTATAATGCCCAGAGATACATGGTCCAAAAGAAAGGAAAGATATCGGCACACCACGGTGACGCTCACAGACTCTTCTGAAAACAGTCTGAAGGGGCTAATCGCACCGAAGCTCCGGAACGGACTGATGGCATCTGAATCAGAAGAGAGAGCAACGTTGGGAAGCAAAGTCAGTCAAGAAGAATGTCGATCGGCATGTCCAGCTGCGGTCTGGGTGGGCGGCGAGTTGTTGGCTTGTTGAAGGGTCCTCGTAGTCGCGACTAAAATTGGAGCTGGTGGGGGGTTTCAGGCCCAGCGCATTCGCGGTGCAATGGAGCGAGCATCTCAATCGCTCTCGTTATCGATCTGTGTCTGAGCACTGACGGGTACTCGTACGAGGAATACCTTCGGAAGCATCGTCCCTTCTTGCGCCTGCTAAGTGAACTTGTGTCGATGGCAAACGATAGCTTCTCCGCAGACCATCCTAGCTACCTCACGTAGTCTGTGTTTGCACCAGCGCGATCTGACCCAGCCGGAATGTCCCAACCAGCTTCTCGCAAGACTTCTGTCAACCAAAACCCTATTTGCTACCTACAGGTATCTACATACCTAGGTTCCTAGGATCTTGAATCTGCCAGACTCGAGTTCACGGGCTTCGGAACGTGACGATTCGGAGGGCCTTGCGAGGGCTCGACTCCCATACCTTCGCCTGCAACTGCTACGTGATGTATACAAAACGACCACTTATCTTTGTGCTAGGAGCCCCTTGTAGGAATACCAAAACTCGTAGCAGTCTTTGTGACCCCAATGTTCGGTCCAGAACTCTCCAAAAAGGTCGTCGGTATCAACATCGACGTCAACTAGTCGTTCTGTCCTTTTCAGCCCGCATAATGCGCATTGCTTGATGTCGGAGGAGCCCCAAGACTTCTGGATTCTCAGATTCGGGGCCGCAGACATTTTCAGCCGTTGAGGTGGCAGTCCAGCATGAGCAATGATGCTGTTGTATTCATGAATGTTTTTCATCCAATCGTGAATCATTTCTTCCAAGTCTCGGCTCTCCTTTGCAGCTTCGCCCTTGTCCACTGATGCAAGCTTCATGCCTCCCCTTGCTCCCGCCTGTCCTATCTTCATACTCTGCGACAGAAGGGCATCCCGTTTCCATCGAAGCGATCGCCCGGCTGCCAGTCGGCTCGCTGTTCTATAAACTAAAAGCACCTTTGTTGCCAAAGCTGGCTTGGATATGTTATTCGTAACATTTGCCTGGTGGAGTTGATCGAACACGGTACTCATTAATTGTAGCAGCGAAGACGGTGGGGGGACATTTGTAGGTCGCTCGAAGGAAGGAATCGCCGCTTGGAACGTCGAAATTGGCCTTGAACCTGTTGATGCAATTTCTGGCTCTACCGAAGGAGGTGGTTGCGGTGGCATGTCGGTTTGCCCATCTTCGAAAGGTTCCCATTCGTCCTCGTCATTGACTGTGGTTCCTTGAGATGGGAAGGGTTTGTCTTCAGGCTTTTTGAAAGGCTCCTCAGGTGTTCGTACATCGTCGACATTTTGGGCATCTTCAAACTCTGACCAACCCTCCGAAGTGCCTTGGTCCTGGGATCCCTCTGACCGGGTTTCAAGCTTGGTCGGTGGCAAGTTCGTCTGGTTTATGGCACCTGGATTTGTCACAATGGTCGAGGCAGTAGGCGGCCCAGAGAAAGACAGCTTTCTGTGGTTGCCATCGTCAAGGAGGTCTGGGATGAGCCTTCCCAAGGACACACTCTCATGGCTTGTATGATGGAGTTGGTTATGAGGAGCCGTTCCCTCCGATGCGTTCGCTATTTCAAAGTCGCCAAAATCATCGTCTTCAACATTTGGTTCGTCTTCGGCGTCGAAGAGGACGTCGTTTCCACCGACATCTCGTTTCCAGAGGGGTGTCGCTTGAAGCCCGGGGGCTGTCCCTCCTGGAGTAGTTACATTTCGCACCGAGAAGTCGTGGCCATCTAAGTCTTGCTCGACCTTTCCAAGGGGTGGCTGGATCGCGTCTCCCACCTCGCCATGATTATCATCTGCTGTTACAAAGGCAGCAAATAGATCGGCGGACATATTACGACCGGATCATGGTCGCGATCCTGATAGGATTGGCGCCACGAGACTTTGGCTAAAGAGAATAAGGTTGATCAGAAGGGAGTGAGAGATACACCCAGTTGCACTCTATGGCCGACGTTAAGCCAGCGGTAGTTCTTCCGTATCACTACTGCAAGTACCAGGATATCGCCATACAAGATTTAAGGATCAAACAGCACCAAGGGGATGATAGCATCTACCTCTGATGACTGTGTGTCTGGAAATTAAGATGTCTGTCCTTCGTGATTGGCATGCGGTGACACTGCCCATTGGTGCGTGCACTCCTCACCAGAGCGCACGGCGTCGGTATATGCTGTGATCCGCCGTAGCAGACCGGCCGGGGTAAACCTCGTCCAACTCGACCTCATCCGATCAACCCACCTGATCTGTCACCTGAGTATCGATAGAAGTTGGGACGCACGAAAGAGTGGTGGCTGTCATGCGGCCTTTCGAGGAAAATCAGTGAGTTTAGTTTCCATCGTGTTACTTTTTCGTATAGGCTCATCCCAGCAGGCGGCGCTGGTCTTCGCTATTTAGCACCTCGATTGGAGTTGACTTGCGGCAAGCCATAAGGGAGAAAGATGGCTTCGACCCTTGTGAAGATGGTTTGCGGTCAGTCTGTTGGAAGGCTAGTATCTCAACGAGTTGCTGTTGCAGTCGTTATTGACTGTGATAGGCTCTCCTTCTTTATGGCCCTCTCAGTCGAGGATCGTGGCCTAAAAAGCTCGCGGAATCGAGGGCGGCGTACGATTCTCTGAAAAGCCACTTTCTACGCTATATCGAGCATCCAAACAACCTTCACTCCTCATCAGACCCCCTCGCGGATGATGACAATGTAGGTAATTGATTTTCAAAGCCTGCCCCTCTGGTCTGACGTCTGACGAAGTGAAGTCTCCGTGGTCAACGCTACGGCAGGATGAGATTGCTAGAGAGGAAATATTTCAGGATGTGACTCGCTGCATGCAAGACAACTACTTCTTCCGCGAACCTGCGACGCAAAAGAGACTCCTGGATATTCTATTTATCTATTCAAAGCTTAACCCAGACGTTGGTTACAGGCAGGGCATGCACGAGCTGCTAGCACCTATATTGTGGGTGGTCCAACAAGATGCAGTTGATCCCACGAGTGTCCCTGCTGCAGCTCAAACTATGGACGATGTCGATTTTATGCAAGAGGCGCTAGGGCACAAATACGTTGAGCATGACTCATTCAGCCTCTTTTGCGCCGTCATGCAGAATGCAAAGGGCTCGTATGAGACGGGAGACAGCAAGGATGCGTCGCCAATCATTGCGAGAAGCAAGAAAATCCATGACGACATCCTTGCAGCTGTTGACCCCGAGTTAGCTCTTCACCTACACGTTGTTGGTATCCTTCCCCAGATATACTCGATGTGAGTCTATTCCGTGGCTCCGATCATCAAGCAGCTAACGAAACAGCCGATGGATTCGTCTCCTCTTTGGCCGCGAGTTTGAGTTTCAAGAGGTACTTCGCGTCTGGGATCTCCTCTTTGCAGAGAATCTGAGACCGGACATTGTCGACCTGACTTGCGTCGCGATGCTGCTGCGATCCCGCTGGACCTTGATCGATGCCGATTATACCACTGCGATTACTGCGTTGACTCATTACACGCTGCCGCATTCCTCTGGAGGGCCCCGCTCACTTGTCAGAGATGCAGTATTCCTCGAGAGAAACAGAACCATTGAAGCTGGAGCGACAGTCATCCAGCATTATACAGGGCGTCGTCCAAAACAGACAGACCCACAAAGTAGCCGCAGCTCTTCGACCGCGAGAACAGTAAGGTCTCCTCAGCTGCGACAATCACCAAGCCACTCGCCTGGTAGATTTACTTCTTCTCAGAAACAACTCGAGAGCCTGTTCCAAGAAGTGACAGGTGGACTACAGAAGCGGACCGAGGGGTGGAACGTCTCGAAAGCTGTAAGGAGTGCGGTTGGCGAAGTCCGCCGCAATATGAACAATTATCAAACATCCCATTCCCGCCAGACTAGCCGCGACACACCCGATGCTGGGAAGTCGGATTCGGCTCAATTCTTGCAACAGAGGCTCAACGAACTGCAGGAGCGAAACCACTTGCTATCCAAAATGCTCGAAGATGCTGTTGACTCTTTGAGAACAGTCAAGCTGACGACCAAGGAAGGTGTCGATGAAGCCGAGCACAATCTCAATATTTCTCTGGCCAAGATACAATTTGTCTCCGTCTACCTCGCCGATCCGGAGATACCCATTCCCAAAGGGGAGAGTACGGCGGATGTGGAAGTAGACCATCAGTTGGACGAGAAGACCGCGACCGCAGCACCCGCAGCACAGGCGACCGCGCTTACGGGAAACTTGGTAAGACCGAAGAACCACGAGGCTGGAAAAGTGGCCGCCGAAGTCGGGAGCGGGCTACAGCCAGCTCCAGCACGCCCGTCGTTGATGGATTCTTCGTTCTCGTTTATGCTAGGAGAGAACAGACATCGCTCAAGCTTTGTCAGTTCCGTGGCCGCATTGCCAGAGCAGGAAAGAGGGAACGACCTGAAGAGTGGACAGAAGATGGCAGCAGAAGATGAGAAACGACAGCAGGATGGCTCGCGTAAAGGATCTGCTGTTGACGATGGAGGCTTCACGTTGGCTAAAATTCAAGGCGGACGGCAAGGCTGAGGGACAGACAAAGTATCAACGATCATAATCATACCCTGCAAGAGTGTCCACGATATGGAATGTACATTGGTATTAGTTCTGCTGACCGACTAATGGAGAGCAAACCTTCACCTGCACTGATGGCTAGGTAATGATCAGCGAGGTACAAGAAGCACTTCGACCCCGTCTGCTTATCTTGAGGGTTCGTAGGGAGGATACTGGGAGATAAACTCAAGAAGATACATACAAAGCTAAACTAAGCTTGGTGCGACCTCGTTCGATGGTGTCAACTTAGCTTCACATTCTGCCATATTGTTTGTGAAAGATCGTGTCAACCAACCGACGGTCCCTGTTTACCGGGCATTGTACCTGTATGTACGGAGTACCTCAGGCAACTTGGCGGGGGATTGACGGTGCCCAAGGCACCTGTAGTCCAAGGCCTAAGCTAGTGAGTCTGTAGCTTATTATTACCTGAGGGTGGAAGCAGTACCGTACCGTACAGTATTTTACAACACGTCAATTCATCATCAGTCATCTCGACGATCGTTCCCAACTCTCCCCGCAAGTCATCGTTTGTCTAACTCTCGTACCTACTATACTGCGTCAGGTCTCATATCTCGAAAACACTACATTCTGAGCAGCACTCGCACATACCCTACTATACACATACTCCGCTGACCACCTACCTCGTTTATCAAGAAAGAGTTGCTTAGTCGATCCGTTCAACATCAGTTGACATCCGTGCCATCATCACACGCTCGACACCGGTGACCCCTCGTTCTGCCTACCGGCCTCCCACCTCCCTCGCCGCAACGACTGCGGTCTCGTTGGATCTACTATAGTGGTGCACCGTCGTGGTGTGAATAAACCGCGTTAAGAAGCCAGGGTACGCTCAAAAAGATCTAGGGCACCAGTCTTGCGGAACGAAAGCAGCAACGCTCGAGGCTCGGGTACGGCGGATTCGCCTGTTGTTCTTTTCTGCCAGTGAAACAGACGCGTGGGAGCCAGACTCCCAGCCCATCCAACCATGGGTCTTACATACAATGTCTATCTGAATTCAGCCAAAATCTTCGGCTGCAAGGTATGTGTTATGCATGCATCGGGTTGTTGAATATGGGCTTCTTTTGGGGAGGCATGTCTCGGTCGGGAGAAGATCCGTGTTAACCACCCTTTCGGTGTTTGTACAGAAATGCAGGACGCACCTGGCCGACTTTGACGACATCATCTCTCGCAACTTCCGAGGCCAGCATGGCAAAGCCTTCTTGTTCTCCACCGTCGTCAACATCAAGCAGGCCGAAGCGATGGAGCGCAACATGACGACGGGAAGACACATTGTGCGAGACATCAAATGCAAGCAGTGCGACGAGACGGTGGGCTGGAAATACGACAAGGCGTACGAAGCCAGTGAGAAGTACAAGGAAGGCAAATACATCTTGGAGTCCGAGCTGCTGTGTACAGTGTCATGAAGCAAGGAACAAGACTGCCCCAAGGGGCCAGATGCATGCAACGTCATTCGGTTTGAAGGAGTTATAGATACGGCGCGTTTTGGGTGGCTCCCGGCAGGGAAGCAATGGAAGGCGAGGGAGCTTCAGGCGTTATAACCCATGGGTAAGGAGCATCTGATAGACGTCCACGACACTCATATTTCCATCATCGGTCATCATCATCAGTCCTACACGTTTGAATTCAAGCTTATTTATACAGCCATCTTCAAAGCTTAGGAGGGGTGCAAGAGATGACGAGGCTGGTACTGCCTCGATGAGGGCATATCCTCACAGCAATCTGCTCTCCAGACCTTGATCATGTCCGGGCCAGCAGCAGTAAGAATTGCGTGCAGTTGCTCCTCGTCTCTTCCCGTGCCGAAGAGTGACATTGACAGGGTATCAAACAACGATTCACGGGACCTACACCCTGCTGACTGGAAGGACAATGATATCCATCTCCCCATGGATGATGTTGACAAGATCAAGCTTCATTACCACATTACCCACAGTGTCGGTGCCAATTGTTAACCAGACAGGATTCTGTTTTCGAATCTCTGTTTTCGCAATATCTTGTACGATTTCTACCGTAAAACGGGGCACCGGTACACTGGAGTCATTGGTCGTTGGTGGACCTCAGTGTTTGCCATTACCAAAGTAAAGGCGAAGCCCAAGAGTTTCAGCGCCTTATTCTTTTTATATGTATACTGGTGATATTGCACGACATCAATTTTAAAACTAACAATATACGCTGTTTAGAAATTTCAGCGGGCGTTGTCTCGGTCATAGAGCTGCTTGGGTTTTTATCGTGGTTACCGAATATATATATAAATAAGTAATTCACAATTTTAGCCAATATTTCTTCAATACTTCATGCCTTCCTAGGCTGTATCTCTTATACGATAGATTTCCTGCTTTGCCGCTGCCTGGATGATGAGTAGTTTTGTAGAGTATTTATCTGTCAGAATCTGGGCCAAGATTGGCAAGAGAATCTGAGATTTAAACATATCTACATCTTAAGATGTTGGATACCCTGGTAACAACAATACGATGTGTGAGAGGGAATCAATCAATCTTAGCGGTATCTCCCAGAGAGACCATAGTATTGATATGTAGCTTAACACTGTCTACGTTTGTGAATTTCAGCACCTGTTTCTGTGTCGTTGAGGCCTGTCTCTCGATCGCATCCGGCGCTACAACTTGGACTTCAAGGGTGTCGTCGACTCGTCGCTCTCCATCGATGGACGCTACCAAAACGAGAACAACTTCTACTGAAAGATCCTAGGGTGTCTCCAATCGCCCATACTTAAAGACCCAGAGATTGAGAACATCGAGGAGAACTGCGGTATCCGCATCTGAGTAATGTAGTCGTTGCAGATCTGGATTCTCGGGGTGCATCAACTTAGCAATACGGCCGAGTTTGTAAGAGGCCAGTCCTATGAGTACAATTAGATGAGCCAGGATACAACCAAGTCACGCGTTGACTTACCTGGTAGACAGAGCATGAAATCTTGCAGAACTGTCCAGCATTTGTGGCGAGGCGGTAGGATTGATTCGGGCGACATCCCAGCGTTTTTAATGAGGAGCGTCATGCACTGTCGATCGAAGTAACCTCTGGAGTATTCTATCCAGAGTGCGCTAGGGTCAAGGCCTGCGGCGATTAGAATGTCGACTATCTCTTTTGGTGTTTTGGCGTTGTGGGGAAGCTTGTTTTCTGTAGGTCCTCGGTGTCTCCTCACCCCTAGCTCGTCTGGATTGGTATAACCTGCGCGCCTAAGTTCATCCGCGAACATGGTGTTCGTGACCCCTGTTTTGTTGATAATGCAGCTCACAATTATCTTACCATTTCCATCACGAGCAGTAACTTCGAGGAGATACTGAGGTAGATTTGGCGTAGGACGATACACCGTTTCAAAGTCGATGACGAAAATGCGCAAGGGGGATGTTAGCTTGAGGCTCTGAAAGTACTCTGCCCTAGGAGGGATTCTCAGAGGCTCTCTTTGCATCACCATGTGGAAAGAGACGTGATTGTCGATGGATTTACCAATGCCAACTCGCTTCTTCGGCACCAGCCCATGCCTGTCTCTAAAAGAAAATGGCAGCGGCAGACTCGCCAGAGGCCTTGAGATCAGCGACATGACGTAGATACAAAAGTCACACGTCGGTGCGACTGTATATCGTCGTAGTCCCGGGACAAAGATCGCCATGGCTGTGTCGAGGTTCAAGGGAACAGAGTCCGCACAAGGGAAATGGCGATCATGAAACCAAAATCCGGTGCAAGTCCTCGCTCTGCCGAGAACAACGACTTCTTCGCGGCCGCCCAGGAACTGGTAATTTTTCGATTGTCGGTGAAGCCTCCGTTCAGTGTCTAGATACGCGCCGCTTCGTCCAGAAAAGGTCTCACGGTATTCATCATCGGAAGGAATTCGCCCTTCAGGCACACGGACTGTACTTAGTAAATCTGAATCTCGTGTTACGATGGGAATCCGAGAGCTGTTTCGGCCTCTGCTGAAATGGGCCTCAAAATGTCGACGAAGATTAGCGTAGTTCATGTGACCTCTGCTTGCGATGTGAAGCCGTGCATATACTTGGCTACAGTGCCGATGACCACACTGTAAAGGGCTACCAATGTGGCACATCATTCTGTGCCGTTCCTGTAGCTCCGGTTCTCGATACCTAGCATATTCGCAACCATTTAAAGGACATCGCCAAGCGCATCCCAGATGGTAGCGTACAAAATGGAGGCGCAATAGTGGAGGGTGGCTTGTATTCTGCGTACAATTTGGCCACGGGCATTGGTGAGTATGACTGGGACGTTTAGACTCGCTTTCTTGCTGTCTTGATTCTTCAGTCTGGCCTCTTTCTTGGCCTCCTTCCTGGCGTGCTTCTGGGCCGGCTTCTGCCAGTGTTTCGAAACGTCTTGTCTCTGTATTATCCGGCCACCGAGCCCATCTCAGGACCTCTCTCGGATCCAAATGCGACAGGGTGTACCCTCCCAGTCCGTGGAGAGACGCGATATATCTTGATGCATCTGTTTCAGATAGATCGACAACTCCTACCGAGGTTTTAATCCGATAGAAGACCTGATCTACAGGTTTCCTCTCTGTAAGCACTTCGTATCTTTCTGCCTCGCCTCCGTTAAATTCTATGACCGGACAAGGATCATGCGGGGAAAAAGCGCACTCTTCCACGCCGAGATCCAAGAGATACCTCCTGGCATCGTGTTCGAGTAACTCCACAAAACCAGTGGATGTTGTGATTCGATAAAATACGTGCTTGACATGGTTCTGTACCTCACAGGGCTCCCCGCCGTGCTCGTGGCCGTGCTCGGCTTCAACGTTTTTGGCCGGTTCCTGGCTGCTTTGCTGGCTTCGGGGATTTTTCAGTTTTCCAATGAGGCTGCTCACCAGGCAGTCCATCTTTGGCACTCGTCGCCCAGCTGCACTGCTATAGGGTGAGCTCATATGACACGTTTTAATATGTGATTCCAGTGCAGCACGATCGTCAAAAACCATTTCCTTTCCGGTTGAGCAGGTGACATCGCCACAATACCATCTTGTGAGGCGTATTGTGCCGTGTGCTTGCAGGTGTAAATCGACACCCACTACATGTGGAAATGTGGCACCACAATGAGGAACCTGACATTCCCAAAGGTTGTCTCTGAACATCGCAAAGACCACGTTGTCGAGGTCGGGGGAAAGCTTCACATCGCTTGGCAGATTCCGAGTAACACGATAGGTGCCACTCTCCAGAACTTTCGTTTCGTGGTCTCCAAAGATGTCAGCCACATCTTTGACCTTGGATGCTTTCAGACAACCCATGACTGTGTTCCGCAGGGTCTCTTCGTCAAGGTCCGAGGGTTTTGCTGCTAGCGCTGGCATTTCGTCCATTTCGTCCAGGCCCATAGCTTGTTCCTTTGAGGCCCAGTCGGTTAATTCTTCTCCAGGGTTGACTTGGACATCAGTAGTTTTTGTATCGTCCTCGGTATTTTCATCTCCGTCGACTGCCTTTTCATGCAGTTCATGGTTGATTTCCTCTTTCTCGTCATCTGTCGCAAAACACTTCCAGTCTTCCAGGATGTCGTCACTGGGGGTGGAAGCAAGTTCGTTTAACACCAAAGTATGATTTAAATCGACGATTATGAGGTGCCGATCCCGGATATGCCTTCTCATCGCCGGATGTGTACAGCGGACCAAATCGCCACAGTCTGGGCAGGGCTTTTCCGAAGCCACCACATATTTCTGGCTCTCTAAGTGCGATTCGTGGCCCCATTGCTCCTCGACAGGATCGTTGTGCTCTTGGGGACTGTGAACGTCGACTTGGCCTTGATGACTATCAACGTCGATTGGGTGTTGGGGACCGTCGACGTCCATTGGGTCTTGAAGTCCTTGGACGTCAATCTCCTCGTCAAGATCGTCAATGTCCATATCGTCAATATCCATATCGTCAATATCCATATCGTCAATATCCATATCGTCAATATCCATATCGTCAATATCCATATCGTCAATATCCAT